TAAAAATAATACAACAGCTAAAGCTTACACCTTGTTTTTACAGCATTTAAAGCACTATTCCAGTACGAAGCAGGTTCTTACTACAAGGTGAAATATTATTTAAGTGGAGTTGAAGCAACAGTTACGTGTAACCTAAACATCTAATAAAACACTCACCTTTTAACCAAATGTAATCCTGTTTTAACCTCAACACTCACTAACAATATTAAAAATGCAGACATCTAACATTAACTCCCATCACCAGTGTACATCTGTGAAGATTTAGCCGGCTAAATCACAAACCTGAAAATAAACACCACCATATCCTGCTCCTGATCAATAAATAAATTATATTAGGGCGATCTATTAACAGCTCTACACATAAACTCCTCAAATCCTTCAAGGCTCTAATTTCCTTTCTCACACACACAGAGACGCCATCACAGCTTTCACACCTGAGAGACATGTGACTTTGCAGAGAGACATTAAGCCTGTAAATAGTGTGATTAATTGAGATTTCTTATTTATATCTGACCTGTGGGCCCCCGAGAGGCTCCAAGAGGGTTAGGGATTAGAGATTTTGCTTTGGGCAATCATCCATCTTCTCAAAGGAGAAGAGGAGCTGACACTCTCTCACTGCTCCTCTTCACTTTGACAGTTGCTCAGGCTGCTTTAACACGTACACGCACACCCCAGCTGCTCCAACCTCGGTTGCTCATGTATTTGTCATTGTTCCATCTTATAATTCATCATCAATTTAGCAGAAAAGAACCTTTAAAAACCCAGGACGAAAACACAATGCTTCAAATCATCCACTAAAAAACAACAATCTGATGTGATCCGAGTCATGTCCATAGAAACGGTGTGATTGGACAGAGTATAAAATAAATGAGTCAGTGGCGGTGAAACGCCACAAGACATCTCAAGATGCTCCTGGGAGGAATGAGCATCATTTAAGATGAGTATTTAAACAGATGAACGGGGGGGATATAGTGACATGACTTCATCTCAACACGTACATCTAACCTGTCTGCTCAGGTTTCCTGTATATCGGTATTTATATCCACCAACACATGAAAACAGCAATGACTTTACAAGGCTGCGGCTTGAGAAGGCGTACAGATAGAAGGCGAGAAAAAGGGACATATAGAAGCAAGGTGATTAAGGACATAATCCGGACGATGCAAAAAATAAATAAAAATAACAACCACCGAATGCAAGCGATCAAATAAGAGCTTGGTGTGTTCACACCAAATAAATAATAAAATTCATTTTATCTATCGCCTTCGCTCAGTGTTTCATTATGTGGGTAGTGTGAAACCAGCAGAGACTGTTAATGTGTTCGAGGGCTGTACAAATAAACTTGCTATAAAGTTGCAGAAATCTCGCTCAGGAAGTAAATAGAACAGAGGAGGAGGAAGATAGCTGAGATGAAAAAAATTGATTAAACACAAGGCCATTGGGAGGGCTGTGTGTGATGTAGTAGAGAAACAGGAAAGATATAAAGCGCTGCTTGTTGATGAGGCAGGATGCAATAGATGAAAACAAATGACCAGAAGAAAATTGTGGAAGAAAAGTAATGACATTTAGGTGTGAAAGAATCAGGAAAAATAAGGAAGGAGCAGAAACAGAGACAGGTAGGTAGATGGAGAGATGATGGAGAGGCAGGTGAAGTGACATTAAATGAGGGGGGAAAGGAAGGACATTATAAGAGGCAGATAGGACAGCAGACAGGCAGGCAGGTAAAGGAAGATTTGGTAAAGTCCTACCAGGGTCTGTTGGTATCTCAGAGCCTTCCTTTGCGACGCATCTGCAGCCATTGACACGCTGTCACTGATCCAAAAATAACCTAGCTGGACACCCCAGCATTTCCAGTGGCGTGGGCAACACCATACACGCACTCTCTCTCTCTCACTTATATACTGTATACACACTTTAGACCAGGTGAAATAAACACGCACACATCTTCTTAAGTTTCTTACTCTCCTATAAACGCATTCTCACACACTGGTTACACAGAGAAAATCAAAACACACAGATGAGATCCTTCGCGACCACGCTCTTCTCCAGATGATCCAGAGGCTGCGAGCCATCCAGCTCCACTGCAGGACTGACAGACGCACAGACACAAATCAGACAGGCCGACAAAGCAGAGTAAAGCCATCTGATGAGGCAGTGAAGGACGCAGCGCTTTCCTTTATTAGAACTGCAGACACCTAATAACACACGCACACGCACACACACACACATACACACCAACACACACACACAACTTGTTGCCCTTAGCAGCACCCTCCCTGCCAGCCGGCCATTAGGTGTGTGTGTGTGTGTGTGTGTGTGTGTGTTTGGATGGACTGTTCTTGTTTGGACAGGGGAGGTGAGGGTGGGGGTAAGGGTTGGAAGGGCACCCCCCATAGGGCTGCCCCTGCAACGTGAGCAGGAAGGTGCACACGACACCCCTATGACAGCTCACACCTTATCAGCCAATGATGCAAGGCAATCCCCATAACACTCACATGCTACGGCAGTCCTCCCTCGGGGGGTGGGTGGGGGGCACTGAATGTGCCCTCCCACGGTAAAACACACACCCCAAAAATGCTCATAACGGTAAAGTGATCTCCATATTGCCTAACTTCAGCAGCAGGTTCAGATATCAACAGGAGCTAATGCAGGAAGAGAGCTGAGTGTATATGTGCTGCACATCCTTCACTAGGAACTGAAAAGCTCCCAGGCCTTCCGGGTAGACCGCCACCACTCTGCACCCCCAGAGAGAGTCCACATCCCACTCAGACAAGTTAATCTAAACGTCTCTAACTCATGGAGTTCTGGTTCTTCCTCTCATGTTTGATGAGACAGGCAGCCATTATGAAAACCACAAAGACACACAGACACACACAGATCCCTCTTAACCCCGCCCTGCTTTGTGGCCCACACGCCAGCACATAACAGGCTAATCTCACAGCTACACCGGAGGCCAGCGAGAAATGTGTTACTCTGACCGCCGGCGTGTGTGTGTGTGTGTATGTTTGTGTGTGTGTGTGTGTGTGTGTGTGTGTCATGGGAGAATGACTGTGGACAGCTGGCTGGGCCTCTATCTGATACACTAAGAACATTATCACTGGGCAGTGGGCAGTGTAAGAGAGATACATACGTCCCAGTCACAGCATGGAGAGACCTGAGCGCAGCGGAATAGTGGGGAGCTAGTTATACTATACCTGAGAACGGAGAGGACAGGCTGTACGCCGGGAACAACACACACAAACACAGCAACAAGGAGGATCAAATAAAGCGTAGCATGCACCGGCACAGCCTCGGTGTTGCATTTGTACAGAAGCCACACACACTCACTCTGCAGCGTTCAGCTTAGACCAGACGTATGCAGCCCAAATACACACATGTGCACATGCAGCTTTAAGAAAAAAATACTTCAATGTATCTTGTTTAAAAACCATGGCCTGTTTATTGTACAGTATATTGGCAGTCACTGGTGTTGACAGAAATAAAAGTTTCTCCTGACCCCCCCCCCCCCCCCCCCCCCCCCCCACCCAAACTGCACCTCAGCAGAACTTGGCAACAAATATCAACCTTCTCACTCTGCAGCAGTGTTACCCTTTTACACGACTCCAGTGATTTTGTTTTACAAATTATATTGCCTAATTATAATAACTAAAAGGAGGAGAGGAGAGGAGTGAGCGCTCTCTATCACGAACACCTCACACGCAGCTTCAAGTGTCTTTGTTTACAGGTGGTTAACAATCAATACTGTTTTGACCATATATTCTGTTTCTTTCCTCACAACAACACTGTTGTAACTAAACACACTTCGTCTGGTCAGGCCTTTTCTGGGAAACATCAATGCTCACACACAGCCTTAAGAAATAGATTTCCTCAGTGTGTGTGTGTGTGTGGGGGGGGGGGGGGGTGCCAAAGTGATACAATATACTGTGAAAGCACCACCATAGTCCTAAAATTGTCCAATAGATCATCCTCACATGGCACAGAGGGCTGTAGGAAACTGCAAATAGTTTGTGGAAGACATAAGAAATACATGTTTTGTCCTTACTGCATCAGATAAAGTAAAAATAACACGAATATACAGTAAGGGCACTGAGTGTGCAGCACTCACATTGGTGGAAACACCATCAGGAGTCAAAGTTAAAGTAAAGGTCAAAGTTCATACAGTAGATGTATGACCCACAAGTAGCACCACATTCCCCTGGCAGCCCACCACCCCGACAGGGACAGATCTACAGTAACAGAGTTTCATTGGGTGCGTTCATGAAATTTTAAAAATGCTGATTTTTTTTTGCTGGTTGAAAATCTACATGGAAATAAAGAAAAGGAAAAAATGACTAAAAACAAAATTTTGTTTTGAAGCTGCCCTGCAGGTACTTTCCTCTTCATAAGGCTATGTGAAGAAGAAAAACATAAACCACTCTGACAAGAGCAGTTACAAACCTGCAACTATGACTTTACTTCTTCATCATCAATGTAGCTGTAGACTGTCACTTAAATAAAAACTATCTGCAATCATAACAGTAAAGATCATTTTGAACTGCAGGGGACATATATAATATTGGTGAAAGCGAGATGATGAAATGGATTTTTCTCTGCTGTACTGCCCCCTGCCTGTCACTTCACTAAAAACAAGAAATGGTCATAACTTTTAACAAACAGTATGTACAAATAAAAGAAAATGGGATTAAAAATCCTTATAAAAACAATTTCATACAAAATAAAGCCACAAAAATAGATCTGTGTACAAAATACAGTTTAAAAAGAGAGACGTGTGAAACCTCAATGTAGCTGTGCAGTCAGAAAAAAATAAATGTGTCTCTACTAAAAAGGATCAAAATCTAACTGGCATAGACACAGACACACAGATAAATGCATAAATTGTATGCTAATATGTTGCTCTTTTCTGAGTACATGTAGATTAACATAAGCTTGCTCCTTTTTTCTTTCCAAGATCTGTGTGAGTATGTGCGTGCTTGTTTGTGTGTGTGTGTTTGTGTGTGTGTGTGTGTGTGTGTGTGTGTGTGTGTGTGTGTGTGTGTGTGGAGGCAGTATTTACACAGAAAATATGAATGAATAAACCCTGTGTTTGGATGTAAAGTTGTAACAGGGGAATGTCTGAGTGTGTGGCATTAATTGGCTGAATGAAAGTTGTGTGCCCTTGTTGAGATGCTTTGATGCAAGGAATGATGGTCTGTGTGTGTTAATCACTGTATGTTCATATTTGCATATATTAATACTGGGGCTGGTACTTGGGGAACAGGTAGAGGTCTTTGCACAATGAGCTGGTGAACTCTGACATCTCTTTGCAGCGATGGTGGGCGGTGCCCGGGGCGTAACCCTCCCGCTCCTTGATACGACCGTTGACCTAGAAACAGGTGAGAGAAAAAAGATGAGAGGAGAAAATTACAGGCAAGAAAGCAAAATGTACACTGTGCATTTAGTATATGAAAGTATAGGACACTTATATCCACCTGTACAAGGATGTCTGCAAGGTGTGTGTCTCTGGCGTGGAGGCGGAGTGCTGTGTTAAGTTCCTGGATAAACCAGGATCCTCTCTTGGTGTTTCGCATGGCTGCTGTGCCTTGAAGAGGAAGAGATCAAACAATAAAGGCTTAATACATTGAGATGAGATGCAGGGAGACAGAGCAAAGGTGTCTGGTATTTACATTACTGGAAACAGAGACTGAAAATAATGAATTTATATCATACACCGGGATTTCAATATGAAGTATTTCTGCATTTCACACAGCATTTAACTGTATGGCCTAACTCTGACCAAAATGAGTAAATCAGGAAACTAATTTGACCAATATAATTTTAAGGTTTTTCCCCTCACACACTTGAAAGCCAACAATGTCATCCATGTTGGATTTTTCTTGTAGTTAGTTCCTGTGCATGCATTACTGGTGGAAAACCAGTGCAAATTCAAATTCAATCCCAGCTGGGTAGAAGAGCATGACAAAATCAGTATTATGGAGTGGAAAAAAAAGCCCACACACTGATTTAATTTTCACGGTTGAAATGCTGCTTCAATGACTAAATAGGAGCTTGTAAAACCTCTCTTTTCCCATTGCATACATTACTGCACATCTGTACTGCCTCATTAATTTGCCCACACATTTTTTTTTTTTTTTTAAACTGTACAATTTTCAGTTAATTAATATGTTTCTACATGCAACAATTAAATCCATCCCAGAATAGCAAAAAAAGGGACAAACTTACAAATTCTCTGACCTTTGAGAGATGCGAAGCCACAGATCATGTCAGACCGCTGGGGCAGTTTAATCCTGGGCCTCCCCAAGTCCCCTCTCTGTCTGGAGTCTGCATCCCCTTGTCCTTCCCTCCCAGCATCTCGCTGTTCACAGCTCGGGGAGCAGGTCCTCACTGGTCCATCTATCTGCTCCACTCCACAGTCCATTTCATCTGGAAGACAAAAAGGTTTCAATTTAGCCTCTAATATGAGTTTTTTTTTTAAATATTTGGTGTAAAAACCAGTGATGAGTTTGGTCTTAGTCCTGAGACATTTTTTGTACAATTGTTGGTTTGTCTTGCCTATTATAGTCTTTGGTCACAACAGAGTTAAATTGATATTTTATCAGTCTTCACTCATACTCAACCCTTATTTGGACTCATTTGGTCTCGACTTAAGTGGTCTTGACCAGAGTTCTGGCAAAAACACACTTCTGAGCAAATACAAGACAAAGCTGTTTAATGATCAGTGTCAAGCCCATGGACACACACTGATTTTCTTCAACTCAACCTTCTGTGATGAACCAAAAACTGAAAAACTATTTCTGTAATCATCAAATATCAGGGACCATTATTTCAAATGGATTATTAGAAATGCATGAGCCTTGGTTAAAAATCACACGGTGCCTTAACTGCATGACAAAACCCAGATTTTCACCTACTGTAGGTAATTTTTACATAACCCATGAAACCACAAACACTGGGACAAAACAATTATTGATTTTCACTGAAGCTGTTTGCAGAGGCATTGGCCAACCACATCTAATGGCCTTTGAGTAGCACACCTGTAGTGGGCTCTGTGGTGGAGCGAGGAAATGCATGACAGTAATTAGGATTTCTCCTGAGGGGTCTGAGGATTTGTCAGAGGCGTCATCAGCAGTGTAGTCAGGCCATAACCTCCCTCATAGAAACGGACTAATTAGCCAGGAGCTTGGTAAAGCCACAGATTAATATCATGTTTATGGAGAGTTATTGTACTCATTGTATTCTATTTATTCAGGCCTTATGAAGAACATTAGAATTTGACATATTTTGATACCATTTATAAACTGCCACCCGCTTACCTCCTCTGCAGGCCTGGATGAAAAACATCTTCGGTTTATTTTGTAGCAGTGGACAGTGCGCATTGTCAAAGGCCTCAAACACCCAGTCCAGCTGAAAATGACACGTCTCAAATTAAATGTCTGAATAGAGGATTGCATCTTTACCATTCTGTGACATTACATACATCAGCAAAGAAAAATATTAAAGAACCACACCTGCAGGAGCTCTCCGTCTGTGCCATATACAGCTCCTTCCACTCCATGGGAGAGAAGACACACCACACAGCTGTCCACTGTCCGGTGGTCTGGCCGTCGGCAAAAATTCTCAATGCACGACCTCATACCCTACACAAAGAATAAAGAATTAGAGAATGGTGAGGAACATATAAGAATGTGTCTAAAGCTTTCCAAGCTTTTGTATGCAGGTTGCTTTTTTAATACTGAAGTGGTTGGTAAGGCAACCAGGTGGTTACATAGATCATTCTGGATTTCAGCAGCAATTTCATTTAAAGTCAAGGTCTCCCCACTCTCAAAGCTAATACCTACACTTCTAACAAGTTTCTGTGAGCAAGACAATGACAACCAACATGCTTACTCATTCCTCGTTTCAAGTTTCTTAGAACAGACGAAATGACTGAAATGTAGAATATGTGTTTACTTTGCTATAACATTGCCACGCAGAACAGCCCTGAAATGGGAAATGAGTTGAACAAACAAAAAGCGTTTTTTCTACAAACACCGGCTAAGTGACTTTGTCGGAATGGCTCAAGGTCGTAAGGTTCCTCTCACTTTTATAGTTTCCTTTTTTTATGTTTATAGACTAAATAAGATAAAAGAAATGCCGGCACTCAGAGTTAAATACTCTTATTGTTTAATATCAATCAAAGAAAGCGTTTCAGCTATAAGTCATCGTCAGTCGACTAAATGTGATAGTTCACGTTTCAAACAGCATCCTGTGAATTCATATTGAGCCTGCGACTGTGTGAGTGCTACCTGAGCAGTGAGGTCTCTGTGGACAGCAACCATGTAGTCGAGCTCTGTGAAGACCTTCCTGAGGACTTCATCATCGACTTCACCTCCCTTCCTGGGGTCAAGGTCAGCAGCAGCACAAGTGTCAAAGGTCACATTACTGATCACCAAGGCAAAGCCACGAGGGGATGAATTCATTCTGTAAGACTGGAGTGGGTCAAGTGAGAGAATAAAATGGATCAGTGAGTCCAAAATAGCCTCATGCCAACATATCTCAATGTAGAATCTCAAAGTTTTATGCATCTCAGTATTTAGTGCTCTACATTATCCAGTGTGATGGTGTGACACTGAAGATGTATGACATGTGCTCTGAAGAAGCCACAGGTAAATTATATCAGAGTTAAGAAGCTGCAAACCTGTTGATGAAGAAAAGTATTTTACCTGCTGGCAGTGAGAGAGGTAAAAGTCAGGAGTGCACGGGAGCACGGGAGTGTTGATGGGACTATCTGCATCCAGACTAAACTCCATGGATTCTGCAGAAGACACAAACACACACACACTTATTACAAACTAAAATGCTGATGCACATTTTCAAATCGCCAGCAATGGTGTGATAACAAACTGTGTACTACACTGCTGTGAATGAGTCACTCTTGGGGAGTGGCACCTGCAGGTACAGGCAGTAGCCAAATACTAGAGCAACCACACTCCTACACTTCTCCCAGTGATAAGATTATATAATAGGCAGTTCACACAGATTAAACTCATCTAAGCAGCTCTTAGCCACAGAATGTTTTTGTGTTAAAGTGTATTAATTTACCTGTGTTTTAAAACTGAACGGATAAACTCTTTTGTCCAGGCACCGCCCAGTGTCTCCAGGGAAACAGAAAAATATTGACAACAACACTGAACACAAAGAAACCTATTTTAACATTAATGCAGGCCACACGGCAATACCACTCACCATGTGTCCGTGCTCTCTTGGCTGCAATACCCTCCTGGGTGGGAAGTGGGAGAGGAGACCTCTGAAATTTAACAACATGCACAAATTATTAAAGACAAAACATTAGCTGCTAAAACACAAGCTATATTATACAGATAATGAGGGATTTTGTTCTTTCAGTGGCAACAGCAGCTGTTGTTTGTTGTGGGAATATGACAACTGCAATTGTAACTTAACTATTAGGGAATCTCTTGCCTGCTGTCTGACTACCCCAGCAGGCCATCTGCTTGTCAACATAAGATGGATGTGGTTTGTAATTCTCACATCGGTTTGCTGATCTCTTCCTCCTCTCTTCATCCTTCGTCTCTCTTTGTTCCTGTCCTCCTCCCTGACTGGGACCAACCCTCTGAATGATGACCCTGAGTGGAGGCAGCTATCTGAAGCTTGGTCAGGGCATGATGTGGTGCTGCTCACCTCACTCTTTTCCTCTCTGTCTAATAAGGATATCTGCAGAAGACCATTTGACTGGAACATACCATTATTAGAACTTTAACTTCAAATTGTGAGCATGTGTAACTGAGCTGACAATTGTGAAACCGCCTTAAAAACATATATTTAATGATACAAACTTCTCCCAACAGTAGTTTTTTATCAGTAATCCTGTTTGAGGGACTGCAGGCCCTCTGCTCACCTCTCTCTTTTTTTCTGTTGTCTGCATGGCCTTTCCTTCTGGCTCTTCCTCAGGCTGAATCCTCTGTGAGTATAAAACACTCTAAAAAACTGCACTAACTCGAATAATATTCTGCTGTGTATAGCTTTGTGCCGTGTGTGAGGTGAGGTGCAATGATGTTAAATGATGTATACACTTACCTCTACATGTGTCTCTTTGTCATCTTTTTGTGGTGACTGTGTGAGCAGGTCACACAGATGCTGCTGCTCAGTTTCTTGCAGAGCTGCGCAGAAGCTGCTGAAGGCTCTGGGCCCTCGCTTTGGTAAGAGTAGTAGCAAACGCCAGCTTCGTTTCTGAGATGTTTGCTCAGCCTAGAGTAGAGGTGATCAGATCAGAAAACTTAAGATCACTGACAAAGACTAAGTGTAATAATACATTTGATTTACTACTTTCGCATTCCTAATATTTTGTGTCCCAACCACCCACTGTTGACTCTCCATGTCACTAAGATTTGTCTATAATAGACAAAACAGTAAAAAATGAAGCATCTCCATTGTCATTGTTTGATTTCACAGATTTATCGCGTGACCCCTTATTGTTTCTGACTACCAGGTTGGGATACACTCATTCCAAGCATTCAAGTTGTAGGTACTTCACAGAAATTACAGATGACTACTGTTAACTAAGATCATTTGCGTTGACAGATAATGGATAGGTATGTACTATATACTATTAATCGTGTGTCAAGTATGAGTCTTCACATACCATGATGGTCTCTGCCATGCTCTCGGTTAGGATGTCGTCTGCCTGCAGTGACTGAATGAGCATCTCATCTACCACCAGTTGTTTGCAGAGAACAGCAGAGCGTCTCCGAAGAGTCTGTCTGTCCCGCTCCAGCATGCCACACTCCAACATTTTGTCCCAACAGACTGGTTACAGGACAGGAAAAAATACACATGAACCTCCATAACAGTAAAAGGAAAATTAAACCACACTATATATATCGAGGCGATGGGCAATGTCAGTAACTGTAGTGTGTCACTACAAGACATACTGTGCCGTGTGTTTCTTGTTTGTTTTTTGGGTTTTTTTTTGTTTCTGTGTAATTGTGCCGGATACTCTATCACTGGGTCATGTCGCTAAATAATTAATTGCATGTTAAAAGTGCATTAGTGTTGGTTAAAATTTGTAGTTAAGTTAACGCTATATTGACAGGTAACCTGAACGCTGGTGGCTAATTACCAATGCTAACTTGCGAGCTAGCTAACTTCGATTGCCCCTTTTTTCCCTGCATTAAAATAAGCGAAATGTTATTCTTTCCGCACCTTCTTCTTACCGCTGTTCTGTTTATGCAACGGCGTGTGGAAATATCCAGAAAAACCACAGCAAAATGTCGACGTGTTTCACACTATTTCACGCAAATTAACAACATCCCGTTCTCACTCCAAAACCTTCCAACTTCCGCGGGTACTCAATTCTGCAATGAGAAGGGGCGGGGCTACAAACTCGTTGTTTTGGATCGGGGCCAATGACAGCGCAATACAATTTGATTGGCGTTTCAAGTGGCCAATTGCCTGGCTTCTTACAGGCGGTCGCCACCTACTGTAAAACTACTGTAAAATCGTGGATTCAAGGGCATTTTGAATTTGAATCTGTTTTCTGTAAATAAGTAACCAATTGATAAGAAGCGCTTTGAAGACAGGCACAAACAGCTCTCTAATAGTAGGCCGACTGACAAGAAGAGGGCGGATTGTTATTTTCTGGGAAGAAGGAATTGAGTGGGATTCAAAGTAAAAATCATTTCCATTCATGAAGATAGGCGTGATCATTGCTGAAAAACACACAAACATATAATTAAGATATGTAAGCCAAGAGGAATGTAACTGAGACATGTGCTTAAGTAAAATTTTGGGGAACTTGTACTTTACTCCAGTATATCTATTTTATGCTATTTTATACTTCAAGCACATACTTCTAAAACATACATAATATGTTGATATGTTGTTTGATACATTTGTTGAAGATAAAACTACCCAACAACAGTTTGTAGAAAGTAGCCTAGTTGAAAAAATAATCTCCATTTTAACTAGCTACAACATAAAAAGTCTGCTTAGACATTATTGAATATTATAGTGATAATCCAACACTGATAGGACCATCTGCATATGCTCATTCTTGAAAAAAAAATCTTACTTTTCTGGTATGGTATTCTGCAAAATTTCATATAATTTGAAATGTGAAAAACTGTAATTTCACTTTTACATAGGTAGCGTTTTAAAAGAGGGACTATTAGTTGTAATGGTGTATTTTTAAATTGTGGTATTTGTACTTTTTCCCCCACCTCTGGTCAAAAGAGATATGATAGATAGCTTTTTAAAGGTTGCAAGTATAGGTCTACAAGTGAGGGGCTTTTACTTTTAGCCTTTACTATAGTCAAAATTTCACTTGCAGGTGTTTGATAAATACAGATTATGTAGGCTATAACTCTGTTACCAACCATCTAATTAAGATGCATATTTAATAGAAATAATGCAATTTGTGTCATGTGAGACACCATGCACACCTCCTCTGTCTCTTTCTTTTTGTCTTCCTCCCTCTCCTGAGGCCTACTTCACCCTCCCCTGCTGTCTATCTCCTCACCCTCACTGTGTGTGCTGTCAATAATTGATGATCCTTACTGACTCAAAGGGTAACTGAAAATGTCTCCTCCATTTCTTTATCTATTTACAAGTATACCTTTAAGCCCAGTCAGTCCAACAAACCATGTGAAAATTCAAGCACAAGGATCGATCGATAGCATGAAGTAACTTGGCCATGTCTGCTGTATAGTTTGTGATGGCTGCTACACCTGCGACCATGATTGGGTTAACGCTGCCTGCCTGGCTGACAGCAGGACCAGGGAGGGGAGGAAGGGGAAACTTAAATGAGTGAGAGGCAGGGGGCAGAGAGGAGGAGGAGTGACAGAATGATAGAGTGAATTAATTCAACCATAGCCAGCCCTGATTGACTCGGCAACAAACTGGCATGTACAAACACTCACAGTGACACCAAAGCCATGGAGAGAGAAAAGAGGAATGACACGTCCTTCTCCAGGAAGAGAAGTTTCACTTTTGGGGCGTATGGAGGGTGAGTAGAAACACTATTTGTCTCATATTAGGACTGACAATCTCTACAAAAAGTCAACTGAGTAGCTACAAATACTGAATCAATATCATTATTTTTAGATATAAGTGAATCTAGTGGTTTAAGATGATACGTTTTCCTCTCTGAGCAGTTTTCACTTCCTTGTTTACAGTGTGGACAGATTCACATGTGGAGATGAAACAAGGTGAGGTTATTTCTATTGTTAACATTCCAGCTTTACTGTAAACTGTGAGAACTGAATGAGAAGCAAAGAACTATGCTGTCTTGTTGTGTAAATCAACCTGTTGCTGCAGACCTGAATCTGCAGAAGACAACATACTGGACATCCTGGACTCTCCTGCCAGTGAGAGCAAGCCTTTCCTCTCATCCAGCAGCAACCAGAAGGTGATATCATTATTATGTTCAGCACTCGCCGTCCCTTCTTATTGTAATTCAATATACTTAATGTATTTCCATACACAGCATTTCTGCAGAAGTCACTTTCCACTTGTGGCTGAGTCATTTGTCTTGTTCCTCTTCCTGCCCATGTTTCCCTTCCTTCTCTCCATCTGCATTTCTGTCTGATGTCTGCTGCCTGTTGTTCATATCAGGACACAGAGCTGTTTGAAATCATTGAAAAGCTGCAGGTGAGTTGCAGTACGATTGATCTTGTGTTGGTGTGTCCAGTGATGCCTGAGCAGCAGAAGTTTCTTATCATCAATGTTCCTTTTGTCCATCAGGGCAGCAGGATCGATGAGCAGCGGTGTGAATTCCCTCTGCCTCTGAAGGTTAGTCTTTAATCTGAGAATGAAAACCACAGAGCTGACTCTATATACGGGTGCGATCCCGTGTGTGTGTTGACACTGACCTTTTCATGATCACCATTACATTTGTTTCCCAAAACAACAAACAAGACAAGCCCTTGTCAGAACTATCAGGTTCTTCTTTGTGTCTATTTTAGTCTCAGCTTTTAACAATAGGTGGAGAACTGCCGCTCATTCTCCCTTCAAAGTCAGGGGGCTACTGGATAGACCCCTCACTGGAGAGGCTTGTAGATGTGAGTCCAACCTCTTCCCACCATGGCCTTGATCCAGAGAGCTACGACATCATGGAAAGAGACAGAGAGGCCAAAATCTACCACGAGTTCTTCTGCTCAAGGGTTAGTAGACTTCAAATAAAGCTTTATCTAGCTAAATAAATGTATTCATATTCAAACTAAGTGTATTAATACCCATTGTGCAATTTCAAGGAATATATTGCTTTGCCCCTCTAGTACCATCATTCATTCACAGCAGTGGATGCATCTCTGGGGCCGCTGGTTCTCTCTGTGTGTTTGGAGGAAGAGGAGAATAAGCTACGGGTGATACTAAGGTTAAGATCTTTGGCCATTTTAGCCAACTATGAGACACTTTTTGAATATTGTAAGCTGCGGGTATTGTTACCTCACTTGGACGTGAGCTTCATTGTGCAGAATGATGTGTGTTGAATTTCTTTTTAAATTTAATTAAAATACAAGTCACGAGATAATTGAACTTTGTTATGGAAGACCCAAATGATAATTCGAAGCATAGTATATTTATAAAACATGTCCGAAGGTGATGCAACTGCATCACAGAAATTTTTAATTTTGTCTCGCAGAATGAAGGAGTGCTCTTTGCATGGGGTTTTCTCCGTGTCTCTCTTCCCTAACATCCCATCTGCTGTTGAATTAGCAAAGGTACCAAACTATTTATTCTGGTGGGAAAAGTATCCAGATCTAATACTTCAGTAAATGTTACATACACTGTAAAAATATTATGAATTATATTACTTGCTCATTTTTATTGATGCATTAACACATATGACGCATTTTATTTATCGTAGCTGGTTGAAATGGAGTTCATTTTAACAACTTTATATACTTTTGGGAAGTTTGATGTATGATAATCTATCCTATAGTTACATATAAAACTTGTATGTAGAATAAAATAATTATCTGTCATGTAATTAGTAACTGTAACTCTCAAATAAATGTAGTGGAGTAGAAAGTTCAGTATTTACCTTTGAAAAGTAGCGAAACAGAAGTATAAAGTGGCATAAAGTAGTCAAGTAAAGTAACTCATAATTTTAATTCATTACAGTGCTTGAGTAAATGTACTCAGATACTTTCAATCACTGGTAGATGGCTGATTAAGAGATGTCAATAGAGTCAAAATTAATTATATTCTTTCTAGATGCTCTGTGACAGAGTGACTGTCTCAAAGTTTGAAGTGGTCAGCTACCTCAAGGTAATGTTGATTACAACAAAACAAACAAACAAAAAAAAGACCAACCACTTATTTGAGACCAGTCCTCTTAAAGCTGATCTCCCATTCTCATCCTTCAGGCTCCAGAACTCATAACTGCATTTGATGAACACAGAGTGTCTCCTAATTTCAAGTTTGGCGTTTTGTACCAGAAGGATGGGCAGGTAAGGACTGGTGCTTTACTTTACAATGTCCTGCATTTTTATAAAAATAAATGAATAAATAAAAAACACTGAAATATGGCATCATATCATAACTACTCCCTCTCAGACACCATCCGTCTCTCTCTAGTTCACCGAGGAGGACATACTCAGTAACAACGACGAAAGCGAAGAGTTTAAAGAGTTCCTGTCCGTTTTGGGAGAGACAATTCAGCTGCAAGGCTTTACCGGGTAACCCACGACGTTGTTGTTTAGTTGCAGAAATGACAAATGCATTGTGTAAAATCATATGATTTCTTCTCCTCACTCCCTTTTCTCAGGTTCAGGGGTGGACTGGATGTGTGTCATGGTCAGACAGGAAGTGAAGCAGTCTTCACTTCCTTTCATGGAAGAGAAATCATCTTCCATGTTGCAACTAAACTGCCTTTCACAGAGGGGGACCAACAGCAGGTCTCTGATTCTCAGTCTGTTGTGCGCTGATGATTCATAACTCATTCTCTCTGAGGATATTTTTGGGACAAGTTACTTGAACAGACACTGACACACTTTTTCTCCTTCTCCTCACCATCCTACACAGTTACAAAGAAAAAGACACATTGGTAATGACATTGTAGCTTTGGTCTACCAGGAGGGCCAAACCCCTTTTCTATCTGATGTTATCAAGTCTCACTTTCTGCACTGTTTCGTGGTGGTGCGGAGGATTCAGAGGGGGGAGGAGACAGGTGGAGCTGCGTACCAGGTGAGTAAAAAAACAGAATATAAGTGGCGTCCTGTTTTTGAAAGTTTATTGATTTCCCTCTATACTAAAAATCCTTCTAGAGCCCAACTGTGAGGATGATCCTAACATTGGTATTTGAGACTTCAATAAAACCAACAATATGTCAGCTGATATTCATTTATTCAAGATAAACAATCAACATGAAAAACATTTTCAGTAGAATAAAATTGTCAGTGCTCCCTGGTGGACAAACAATGCAAGCAGTTACCCCGTAAAACCCTGCAGAATGAAAGCGACCATTGCAAGACCCATATGGCGCTTTCTTCTGTCTTCATTCTCTCCACGCTTGCCTCTTGTGTTTTGTTATTTATCAGCAGACATAGCATACAGTTTATACTGATACAGATCTGTGATGAGCTAATATTGGCTCATAATACCAGCCAAGCCAGTTCATAAGTTATGCTCTATCTGTTTTTTTCCTCCTCTACACAGGTGTGTGTCACAGCCAGAGAGGATGTTCCTCCTTTTGGTCCAGTCATCCCACATCCTCCCGTCTTCACAGATGTAAGAAACGATACAGAGGCCAACAAGTGCCTGAGTCAGCTGCTCTCATTTTTCTTGATACTTCAAAAAGCCAAATTCAAAAGATTTTTCTTTGTTGTCAACCTTTCAGTTGATAATAGTTATTTCAACCCCTGTCATTTCCCCCTAAGCCATGGCTAATGTTATTAGTAACATTCCTACGATGACCTTTGTCTTATCATCTTGTCTGCCTCAGGTTTTATTGGCCTTCCTGCTTATGCTCCTTGTCTTGTTAACAAACCTTGCTTTGATTATTGACCTGGTGAACTTTGGTTTACTCCACCTGTGAGCACTGCCTGTGAGAAATTGAGTCCATGTCTTGCTTCTCTGGATTGTTACAGTTTTATACATTATTGAGATTCTTCACATGTCTTGGTTCCCTGTCTTGTCTTTTAGCGCTCTGTCTTGAGAGAATTCCTTCTGACCAAGCTCATCAATGCAGAGATTTCCTGCTATAAGGCTGAGCGCTTCAGCAAATTAGAGGTAGAGGGAAAAACAGCACAACACGTGTTTTAACCGTATTAATGTTTGCTCATGAGTATTAATCTCTCTGCCCTGTCTGCACCATTTACTAAGCTCCGGACTCGTTCGTCGCTCCTAGAGAGCTTGCAGGCTGAACTCTCCACTCGTTCCCAGTGCATGATGGGGGATCCATCACTCTCTGCTTTCCCCTCTTCTGAGGGTGTACGGGGGGCATCTGAGGGGAGCGGAGGATTCATTGAAAATTTTAAGGTGAATGTTGGCCTCGCTCGTCTTTGAAATTTGAGAAACTATCAAATGCTTGACTTCACTATTTTAAAATGTACATTTTTTCCTTCCAATGTCTCTTATTAGAGAGCCATCAGAGTCCGGAGCCATTCTTTTGAGACTCTTGGAGTACCCAGGAAGACAGGTAGCAGTGCATCACAGAAGCCAAAGGTAAGACCTTACAATGAGATGGAAGATGTTTGACTGATTATTAATAATAACAACAATAATAATAATAATAATAATCTTCTCTATCTTTTGTTGCAGACAGAGAAAGATGGAGAGAGGTATGAATCATGAAAACTATCTTTTGTATGATTTAATTAAATGATATAGACGAGTAAGACGAAGTAATACTCTCTTCCCTGGTTTTCAGTGACAAATCTCCCGCTGACAGTTTGGGACCAGCTGAAGTCAAAGATCAAGCAAGTCCTCAAGAGGAGACATAGAAATAAATATCAATTTGTAGATTTTAGACACAAATGCACATATAGACATTGCTAGGTTATTATTTTATTATCCAGGTGGATGACTGCTATGTAAATAGATTCTAAAAGTAAATAGTATTTCTGAGAGTATATATTTTACCGTCATAGCAGTGATATTCTAGATGAATAAGAATCTTTAAATTGTATTTCAGTGAAATGTACGACATGTGAAACTGCAGAGAAACATTTAAAGAAAGCAATGAGTTCACTGCTCTTGTTATTCAATGTGAAAATGTTTCTTGTGTGTAAATAATCAGGAAATCAGTTGTGTGATAATGTTGGATATACATACAGATGAAGGAGACATAGTTTGGGAACAGCAGCAGAAATTATATTAAAAAGATGGGTTTAACGTTACACTCAAAAAAGTGCTGGGTTGTTTCTGTAAACACATTGTGGGGTTGATTATGCTGGTTCATAAATCTGGGTTGTTTTGGGTCCTATGAACAAACTGCTGGGTTGCTCATGCTGTGTCAAAGGGGTTTTACCTCGATACTGTAGTGAATGGTCAATGTATCAGCTAAGATTACTGACATTTCATCACATCACATTGACTTTAGAATCATCACATTGTCTTTTTTCTTTCTTTTCACCTTGCTACTAGATTTTTTGTATGCAGTGCTGGAAGATACAGTAACTGTCACTATTTCATATGAATATCAAATTTGTATTGGGCAGAATTAGCAGCTAATGTTACTGTCACTTAATATTAATCTACCATAAACACCATGTGTCCTGAGAATCTCTGACCCTCTGAACCTCAATTCAGACAGTTCTGCAGTGGCAGGGTGGGGAAATGAATGAACAAGCGTTCGTGTCAAATCAACCTGACCAGCGGGTCGGCTGCAAATGCACCCCTGAAAAAATGATATTTTCAATAACATTAGCAACTAACTTTGACCATAATATAATGTTACGATGAAATAAAAAAAAAAACTCATTAACATTATCTTTGAAAATGGTGATCAAACTCCATGTTACATTAACTGCAAAGTTTGGCCATTAAACATATTTCCTATTAAATGACACTATTTCAGTAACTTTAGCTGCCGGGCTTTTTACAGACATTATGACTTTTTCACAAAAAACAACCAGATTAATTGCAGAAATTCATCATATATCACATATGTTTCTATATTGTTTGGAATTGAGATAAAAACAATATATATTAAGGATCTTTATGGTAATCTGTATTTCTGTTTTCCTTTTTAAGAAATTGAACATAATACAAGGGTTAAAGGAACAAAAAGTGTATCAGAGAAAATCTTTTTGAATGTGATAGACTCCAGTCCGGTAGGTGGAGGTAATACAGCTGTGCTTTGTCTTAACAAGAAGAAGAAGAAGAAGAAGAAGAGGAAAACTTGTGGCTGTTGGTTGCGGTTGCTCCAGAAGAGGGCGGTAATGTGTGTGTTTAGCTAGCTGTTGCTAACTTTAAGCTGTGTCTAATTCAACAAATGTTCACAGCCAGTCCAGCTAAAGTTTGTTAAATCTAGCTGAAGGGATTTGCATGGTCGTATTTCACCGGATTTGACCTTGAACACAACACCGAGCTGCCCTCTGACAGGTCAGTTGAACTTTGACACACTGAGCGGTGCAGTGCATTGAGCCTGTTTGCAGGCACAGGAGACTCTTTCTGGGTTATTGGTTCATTGCACAACAGTTACACATTTAAATCAAAGCGTAGTAACTGCGAACAAAAATAAGACCCGAAGATGACCTCCAAGAAAGTGATCGAGTTGTTCTACGATGTGGTTTCTCCGTACTCCTGGCTCGGCTTTGAGGTTTGTGCCTTTAAAAAGATAAAATAAAATAAAGTCAGCTTCCATAACACAACCACAGACTTCGGTATGAATAAAGTTTCACACGGATAATTTGTCTGTACAGATCATGTGTCGCTACAGGAACGTGTGGAACATAGAGCTCAAACTGCGCCCTGCATTTCTGGGTGGCATCATGCAAGGATCAGGTGTGTATAGATTCAACACCTGTAAACTGTCACAGGGCATGCTGCATGTTCATATCCACTGTTTTTACTCTGATTGTTCGTGTCCCGTGTGTCTGTCATGACAGGCAACAAACCTCCAGGTCTGGTTCCAAACAAATTCATGTACATGACCAAGGATCTGAACCGCTTGGCTCAGTATTTTGATGTTCCCTTGCAGCCTCCGTCTGATCCCTTCGAGGCCATGTTCAAAAAAGGTACATGCCAGCAGGATCTGATGGGACCTGTAATGTAGTAGTAGGAGTCAGCGTTTTCTGGGTCTCAGATTAGAGGATTTGATGCTTTTCTTTGTCATATATGATAATATGATGATATTGGTTGGACTGTTTGCCAAATAAAGGCAAGTTCCCATAGCCCAAGAGAATTATGGGCTAACTTTGACAGACATTTTTCACTATTTTCTGACATTTTGTGCTAATAATGCAGTGATTTCCTCTTTCATCTTCCTTCTTCTGATGTCTTTTACTAGGCTCCTTGTCTGCAATGCGATTCGTGGCAGCAGTACAAGAGAGGGAAAAGGGCGGAGACAAACAGGTGGAGCAGGTGTCCCGGGAGCTGTGGAGAAGGATCTGGAGTGAAGACAAAGACATCACAGAACCCGCATCACTGTCTGAGGTGCCAACTAATCCAACCTGGTTGCATTTAAAAGACTAAGAAGTGCCATTTATTTAGTTTTGTCACGTTACCTTATTTTCTTCTTGCAGGCAGCGAAGAAAGCGGGCCTGTCTGACGGTGAGATTAAAGAGGTGCTGCAGATGTCCACCTCAAAGGAGATCAAAGACAAGCTGAAAAGCACAACACAGGATGCACTTGATATTGGGGTCAGTTGTCCCTCAGCTCTTCCTTATCGATTCAGTCGAGAGAGACAAGATATTACAATATAACAAAGCAAAATCTCTCCTCGTGTCTCTTCCCAGGCGTTTGGCTTCCCCCTGGTGGTTTGTCATGTTGATGGAAAGCCAGAGATGTTTTTTGGATCTGACAGATTCGAGCTGATGGCCCACTGCATTGGTGAGAACATTACTGTACTGTGCATCATTCACAGATACATATAATGTCAAAGTGACAAGATGAAGATTGAAAAGACACTTGACACAGTCATAATCCACTGTTGCGTTTACTCTGCCTTGATAAGAGAATCAGATAAATGCCTAAAATGTAAATACACTGCTTAAGACACAGCGGAGACACAGATACCTTTATTTAGACACTGATAAACATTTGACCACATGACAAACTGCATTGCAACTTTTCTCTTTTGTTTTCTGTGGTTTGTACGTTGTGCAGTGTCTCATTAGAAATTCATATTGATGCTGAGATTCTCATTTTTCTTCTCTGTTTCAGGAGAGAAGTGGCTGGGGCCTCAGCCTGGCAAATCAGCTGCCAAGCTTTGAGACAGAAGCTGCCAATTATCTCAATTTAATGATGTCTTTCATTTTCTCTAATACTAATACTCTAATTTGTATGCTGTGCCTCATTAACAAATATAACATGTAAATAATCTAACATACCACTGAACTGTTCAATATGTGCCAATTAAAAAAGAGTGACAAATTCTAAATTTCTTTTCTCTGGAAATACAAGGTATGCAAGAAGGATTTGGTTGTTAAGTCTCTAAACTACACAAAAAATGTATATCTATAGTATGTTTTTTTCATTAATGCTATATTTGTAACCTCACCTTTTTAGCTTAATATTAACACATCAATAGTTTATAAAATGCCATGAGCATTTTGTACTAAATGTAAAGACGGATCAGAGTTTAAAGTCAGCAAACCACTTTCATCATCTTAAAATCAGGTATTTACTGTTCTGACTGAATCAATCTTACTTCAACCTCTTAGTGTGAAGTAAAATACATTTTTGACACTTACTAAATCACTTTTTTGGCTCAGTGGTCACCTCACAGCAGGTAGGTCCTGAGGTCAAACCCACTGGCAGGCAAGCAGAGACTTTTCTGAGTGGGTTTCTCCCCCTAGGTCCAAACACATGCAGGTCAGGTTGATTGGAAACTAAACTGCCATAAGTATGAATGCTGGTGTGTATGTGGTTTTTTTGTCTGTGTTAACTTTGTGGTAGACTGATGATCTGTCCGGGGTGTAACCCTCCTCTGTCCCAGTGTGAGCTGGGAAACGCTTCAGCTGCTGCAACACTAAACAGGATGTGGGTGTAGGAAATGGATGGATGGATTAAACCATGTTCGTGACATGAATATCAAGGTCGCATCACGTGTCACAACATAAAACATGAAAAATGAAGAGTGAAGAAATTTAATTAAAAAGTGGTGGAGGAGTGCGCCATGCCTCTCTACTTTAAATATGAAGTAATGGTGCATTTTCCAGTTTTTACAAATACACATTTGTTTTAGGTTTACACTTTAAATTCTTTATTTCTCTCTGTTTCATCTTTTGATTAGTAAAAGATTGCATTACATTAATAAAACTCACACATCATCACAATCATTATAGGGTAATCAGTGATTTTCAATCCACTTTATCGTTTTTTTTTGCACGTTTCCTTGTTGTCTGAGTATTTGGCAACACATTTGCTTTTTATCAGACTCTCTATTATCTTTACTTTTACATGTGTGCTCTGGAAACCTGAGAGCTGGTGCTTCTATTTTTTACTTCCTTTTATTTATTTGCTGAGGAGAAAAGCCTGTGACGCGTCATAATAATACATGATCTGAAATGACAGGAGTGGGATTATGTATGTGTGCTTGATACCAGTTCCTGGAAGGAAATGCAGTTTATTACTGCTGACTAAACACTCCAGAGATTACAGAGCTTGTCATACGAGTCAATGGGCTAAGTGGGGCAAACAGGCTTAACCGAAGGCTGGAGACTAAAAAATGACAAGAGCTGCAGGACCAGTTTCCCTAAACAAAGAGGAGAAAGGCAGGGCTGGAAGCAGCTGACATATGTCGGCCTCAAAAGACAAAGCAAATTACAGAATGTGGTAGAGGAAACCTTAAGAAAGACGGGACACAACTGTGGATTACTACACCTGGATATCAGAGTGGTGCATCACCGCTCCAACTGGGGAGGACAGAGACAGAAAGGAGGAAAAAAGGAAGGAGAGGAGAGGGATAAGGAGCAGGTGAGGAGGGTGGAGTTAAGAAAACATTGACGGTGGAACGTAGACAAACAGAGAGCAGCACATTGATCCCTTGAGCCTGACCTATCGCCTGAGAAAAACAAGACAATGAAGAGCTGAACGGCACGACAGAACCCAGACTCGTCCTTCAGGTGGGAGGAATGTATGAAAAGTGCCTAACTGCATGAAGGAGGGAAGCATGAGCCTGTAATAACAGGATCTAACATTTTCTTTGGGATATAAGAGACAACCGAAGGAGCTGAGGTAAGGATTTGTTTTCTGGATGTCTCCTCTGTTACACTTTCATTCTGTCTGTTTTTTTTACGACATATCATAATAATACTAAAGTAGCAGAGGGAGCATGAGTTTCATGTAATAAAAGTTTTATCTGTGCATCTCCCTCTGGCTTCAATCCTCCTGTGATAATCAAGAAAATGTTTTTCTTCATTGGTTGGAATACGCGAGCCAGGGCTGTTTTGACATTTATGTTTGCACTTTGGGTGTGTAGAACAACACTAGAATTAATGTGTTAAAAAATGCAGATGAACAGGTTTCAGAGTGCTTGGGTCTGATGTAAAAGGAAGATCACAGGGTTGAAGTGTTTCCCTGAGTGTCATTTTTGTACCTGCACACTGCATCTAAGCATTAAGCATAAAGCAGCTTCAGGTAGAGAGGATACAGTTTTTTCTGTATACAGCTTTGGTGTAAGGCATCTATTCTGGTTAAACTAGCTCATATAATATAACTTCATATTTAAGATTGACCAACCACAGAAGTGTGTGCTGTGAGGCCAAAAGGTTCAAGGTTCTCTGTCACGGTAAAAAGATACGGTGAAGTTTCAGCGTTTTCGTTCTGATTACCAGGAAGAAGACGTTTGGCATATTCTCAGAGGCTGTGATAGAACAGCTGAAGTTCCTTGTCTCAGTTACGTGTTCACTCAGACACCTTCTCATACCGGTTACCTGTAAGAGTCATGTTACCATTCACAGACTCAGCCCCTGAGACAAAGTGGGGTTCAGGACTATCACTTTATCTGTTGTTTTCAATCATGGTCATCTATTTATTTATACACATCGAAGACTACAAACCTGCTAAATATGAAGTTTGACAAAAGCGAATCAAATATTCTCAGCAACATTTCATCTCATCTTCTTTTTACATTTGACAGGATGTCTTCATTATCAGACGCAGACTCCCACTGCCAACATGGAGATACAATCTGCGGTAAGTTTCATCTGCAGAGATAAAAGTCGAAGATAGTGGCCCCTAGCCTGATCTGAGTCTGACCACTGGAGGCCAAAGTGTTCACATATGTTGACAGATGAACAGACGTACCAGCACACGCTGTACAAACATGTCTGCTATGCTACTCTGAGATCAGTGAGTGATTATAAAGACCGATGTTTCCTTGTGCCTGTTCCTGTTTGCAGAGATCCGTGTCTATGAGCAGGAGGTGATCATAGTGCCCATCTTGCTGCTGGCCAGCTTCCTGGTTACGCTGGTCTTCATCTTACTGCTGCGCTTTTGTCCAGAGAAAGTTGACCGGATCCGTCCACAGGCCTCAAAGTCGGCCTCCAGGAGGGTGCTGCATGGTATCGATGGTAAGACACTGGAACAGACATGGTTTAAGTGAATATTGTTTGCTTTGAACAGTCAGCAATATGTTTCCATGTGTATATTTAAAATAATGAGCAATTTATTGAGTTTTACAGTTTTCTAGAGGTGTAGTGAGATATTTACAGTTGGCAGCAAAGCATCGATCAGATTGAACTTTTTATACTGTTTCTTGCACTATTCCAGGTAACTGATGAAACTGAAGTTGCAAATGAATCACCTTCTATCAGGCTGTCACTGACACATATATTTCCCTGCAACAAACTTTTATTTTTCCTTTGCTGCTGTGCGACATACAGATTATTGCCACTGGGCAACACTGAACACAAACATTTAATAAATGGTTCATAACACACTATAATGGAGTGGTAAGCAGATATAAGTCTTCATTAAAGTATATGTTAACAACTATAACCACCATGGATAGAGGCCCACGGGGTAATGCATCACAATCTAATAATGAAAATATACATACACAAAATATGCTTTTATAGGAAAAGTTATGTTGTTGTTGACAATGTCCTTATAGCTGCATTGAACTACATTATAGTGTGTTACAAAGCATTTTTCAAATGTTTGTATACTTTTTTTTTTTACAAAGGCTAAATATAAGGACTGTGGTTTTATGTATTAAACTGCAGAGCAGCATTCGTGTGTTTTCTTGTTCTAGTGTCCACTGTATAATATAGTTTAGTTTCATTTAGGCATTTTTAAACACTACACAAAAAGACTAATAGTTCTATTTACCCTTTCTCACGTAAATTATTATTCTCTTTCTCCCTCTCTATCTGTCTCTTAACTCTCTGTCCATAGCTCCACCAGGTATCAATGTCCTGGAGCATGAAAGCATCGCTCTGGACATGCCCAGTTCCTACTCCACCTTCCACCCCCCAAACACCTACTCCTCAAAAAACCCCTCCATGTCTGTGAGCACACTCTCTCTCCCACCCAACCCCCACCCACAGCCGCTCATGCCTAGTTTCACTCCAATTGTCCAGCCCAGGGAGTTGCCCCGCCAGAGGTTGCCCGAGTCCTTCAACCTGGTCTCCCCTCTGCCTTCTGCCTTCTCCGTGCGCTCCGACTCCTCTGTGTCCCTCTACAGGGCCCGTATGGAAAACAGGAATGTGGTACTGCGGGTGCTAAACGGTGAGAAAAGAGCTCTTAATTATCTCATTCGCAGGTTCTTTCTCGTCTGACTTCTTCAGCTACAGTGTTTCTTTTTCCCTCTCGTCACCTCCCTGTCATTTGTACCCTCTACAGATTCGGCTGACGCTGAAGAAAGACACAGCTTCCTGGGTTTTGCATCCTTCTTGGCCCAGCTCGGACCCCATCCATTCCTGCCAGAGCTTCTCGGCGTGGTCTCCTTGCGGGCTCCTCTGGTGACAGTTGTGGAGGAGCTGGAGAACAGAGACCTGCTCAGCTTCCTGTGGAGATGCAGGCAGGTAGGAAGTGTGAGGTTTATTTTTACAAAAGGGGAAACTACTCCAGTGTGCGTAAACTCAAACACCAAACCATATAACTGAAGTTAAAAAGCATTCAAATGACAAAAATATAATTTCTGCTTGTGTTTGGTTTTTTCAGGAACGTGTGGATCCTCCATGTGAGATGACTGAGAGACGAATATTTACCATGGCCAAACAGGTGGCCTCAGCCCTGGTCAGTATGCTAATAACTATGTCCTCACCTTTTCTTTCTATGCCACATGTTTGACTTTCAAATTAGTGACATAACTCAGCCATAACTAATTAAACTACTTTTATTTCATTGGTTATCATTTTTAATAACCTATACATTTGCATGTTTCAAATCTGTCACACTGTCCCAGCAGTACCAAAATGCTCTCAAAATGCAGTTCCTGTGCGGCGTCGGAAGGACCTGTACCTTATATCAGCAAAGATGGGAGAGGTGACATTAACTGCACAGACTTATCTGCTTAATCCTGAGACACCTTTGTCTTGTTGCCCAATCAGGAGTTCCTACACAGCAAAGACCTTGTCCACGGAAACCTCCGTGCCCACAGCGTACTGGTCAGCAAGGAGTTCACGGCCAAGCTTTGGGGTCTGCATGGGGTCTACACAAGGAAGAACCAGGGAGCCACTCAGAGGGATGATCCCAGCATGAAGAAATGGCAGGCACCAGAGGTGTTAGCCAAGAGGCCTGCCAGTCAGAGCAGTGACATGTGAGTTCTTTTTATGCCTCCATTCACTAACTTATTAAAAGTTGACATGAAATGCATCTTCTGTGTGTTTACTATTAAGAACATTTACTTAGTGGAGGGCTAACCATTGCTTGCCTATGTGTGTCCCCGTCTAGCTGGTCATTTGGCATCTTACTGTATGAAATGGCAACACTGGGTAAGTTCACCTGTAACCTCTCAGAAAACAGACTATTAATAATGGATGAGTGTACTTACTTAGGTAGGCAATATAAATACATACTGAGTCTGAAAATATTCGTTCTGAACACAGTGACATTTTCCCAAACCATTTACACTCTCATTCACTCCAATGCAATATCTCTGGTTGCATCAGGCATTTATAGGCAATGTTGAAAATCAATAAACAGGACTACTTTATGTCAATATTGGATTTGAATAGGATTTTTGCATAAACATGGTAAAGTACCTTTATCTGTAAGTTATCTAATTTGCTGGATCATGGACTTTGCGCATCTATCCGTAAAGAGTTTCTCTAGCGATTTTCCAGGAAATATATTATACTACACATAATACACTGATATCACAATGTAAAAGTACATAGAGGATGTTATCCATATCTCCCATTCTTACCTCCTACTTTTACTGTTTTCTCTCCAGGTGAAGCTCCGTTTGCAGAAATCTCAGTTAATGAACTTCTTCAGTTTCATCAACGAGGGAAAAGTCTGAAAAAACCTTCCAACTGCTCTAACACGCTGTGAGTATCCGGATAATACACACCTAACCTGAGCCAACTCGTTGACTGAAGAATTTCTCCCATTAACAAGTATGCTCTAAAGTTCAGACTATTTTCTCTTTCTCTCTCTCAGGTACTCCATCATTAAGGGTTGCTGCCATTGGAAGGATCAAGATCGTCCCTCCCTGGCTGACGTGAGCCGAAAGCTCGTCTCAGGAGAGAAGAATGCCTCTGACAAACTCCTCAAGGTGCCTGGGACAGTCAACATCGAGCAGTACCTGCAGGAAGCAGGATATGGGGAAACAAACAGCTACACTGTTTTCTGAGCACTGCTCGTACTAGAAAAACAAATTGCACTATTTCTCAAGCACCCTAGTGGTGCACTTTTCCTACACAAGTCTTTCAGGTGCAATAAAAGTGTTCCAAGATCTGTTTACAAGTGCTTTGGGCACTGAAATTTATGTACGCTCATACTTCAGGTTCATGCAACAAAAATGATGAAAAGTCTTATATGTTAAATAAGTTATTTACTTTTGGGAAACATGCATTTTAATCCAAGACCTCAACTGTGGGGAAATACTGTACATCTAGTAGACTTTTCAGATATGTAAACTTGATGAACGTACAGTTGTTGCATCCTGAACTTGTAGTTGATACTGTAAATATATGATATTTTACACGTTTACATCCTAAAGCCAATGTATATTAAAAGTTAATATGTTATTACTACATTTTTGTATTATTCCGTATCAGGCATAGCTGTGGAAATGAAGGACATAATGCAATTGAATTATTAATACATTCAATGTTTTCTCTATAAGCTCAGTTCACGGAGACAGATAGCTTTAAGCAAGAAATGAACTGAACTGTTTACATTTGAATAAATAATCATTATGGGGCCTGGAATGACCTTTTCTTTTTCTCATGGATGTCTTGTGGGTAATAAATGTATACACAAATACTTCCAGTAACAGGTATTGTTTATTGGTAGTACTGCATACATGTACACAGAGCACTTCCACTCAGCCCTTGAGAGAGCAAACCATGAGGAATACCTATTTTCAGGTAGTTAGGTTGATTAAAGCTACTAAAACTATATTGTATCCATGAAAAAATAATTTTGATTGTAGTACAAAATGGAAAAGATATAAAACTAAACTTTTAATAACTGGTAAAATGAACTAATTAAAATGCCAGGCTTTTTGAGTGTCCTTAGCTCGATGTGATTGGAGCCTGGATTGAACATCTATGGTGAAAAAAAACAAATAACTACTACAAGACTAAGACATTTAAATGAAGTGACTGTTGCTGACGTCAAAAATCATATCACTAAAGTTAAAGCACCGTTTGAGATACAGCAAGAAGGCAACGTTTCTTTTTTTTTTTTTCTTTTTCTTTTTTTACCCAACGGGTGAACCGTCCCAGCTAGAAGACCTAGCACCGATTACTGCAGGCTGGCGTATAGTATACATACAAAAGGTCTCTACTCACAATGACAGAAAAAAAGTGACAAACACTACTGACAGGGGTACTTCAGACTGCCCATGCACACCACTCAGACATAACAGTATGCATACAACATGTTTTTTTTGCACATTCAATGTCCAGAAAGTAAACTGTCCATCCCCATGTCTTCGCATGACTGATGTAGCACCATTATTTTGTAAAAAAAAAACAAAACATCCATACTGTCCCTGGAGATCTCAGTCTTAGGTTTTAAATTCTTACTAACAGAGGAGCAAGTCCAGGTATTGATTTCAGTGAGAAATTATCAATGAGAAAACGATCCCTGTGCGCCTCTGAAGTACTGACTTCATCACTCACGCAGGCTGTTGATGGAGGCACAGATCTTGAGAGCAGGACCCAGCTTGATATTCATGGTGGAGATGAGATGGTCCTCTCGCAGGAGCAGGAGAGCCTGCCCGTCTATTTCCTGTGACAGAAACTGGGCAGCCAGCTCTTCACAACCTGAGCGCAACAGAAAGACAAGATGATACAACTAGCACAAAAACAGACCAGGAGTCACGGCTAAGACTTTAATCACTGAGCACGAACCTTGAAGTGAAGAAATGAACCTGCAGACTTCTTCAACGCTCCACTGAGCAGGAGTTGCCGAGAGAAAGTTGGCGCCCTCCAGTGGGAGGCTACCAGGAGCTGAGCTGTCGGACTGAGGAGCGCTGTGGTCAGCTCGAGAGCAGGAGTGTGAAGAGCTTGGGGAAAGTGACGGAGAATCGTCCTCTTCCTCTTCTCCATCGCTCGACACGTCCTCTGAGCGACTGGACTCAGAGTGACACTGCACCCAAAAGAGCGGAAATTCGGATACAAAAGCCAACGATAAAACAATTTGCTGGCAATAAAGTGACATGGTATAAAACCATCCAGTGTGTTAGTCTGACTCTCGATGCTGATACTTTCCTACTAAGGCAGTCAGGTCAAATAAAGCTAATTTGTTCTCACCAAAGATTTAAATTTTTATAAAGACGGGTCACAAATATTAAGTTTCATTTTAAAGAAAATGTTAAATGATTTCCTCTCAACAGCTGGGCACTGTAGTTTTTTTTTGCAAATGTTACTTAAACAGAAGTAAATAGTGCATTTGTTAGGGACTATTTTCATCAGCGGAGTAGTACACATTTGGTGGTCTAGTGAGTATTTACAGCAGCAAAGTGTACGTGGGATTGATTCAAAATAAACTATAGAGCCAGTGTTCATTGCAATAAAGGAGCATGTGGCTCACTGGTGTGTTTTTACAAGTTGTTGTTTAAAATCAATGTACAATGAAAAAATGGATGTCTAACCACACCCAGCTTTAGATAAACAGAAAATACTTGTTAGTTGGATTAATTCATTGCTGTTTTGATTTTTTCATGGGATTTGCTGACAACAGGAAAAGCAGAATATTTCCAACCTCACCCTTCGAACAGCGGAGCTCACCTTGACAGGTAGATGCCTGCTTGATAATTTATTACAGGCGATATTAGAACTGTTCCTGCGAGAGGGGCCCCTGCGCCTCGCAGCGCTCTCAGTGGGTGCTGGAGGCGATGCCAGTCCTGCACCACTTCTCCCCCTGCTTGTCTTGAAGTGTTGGCTGCAACTTACATTATACCTGTGGATAGCAGAGCACAGTCAATACTCAGGAAAACATTTGGATTTTTACTCCAACCAAACAACCATTGTGGACAAGGTGCTTAATCAGTGGCATCACTGGGTACAGTTGTTGGCTGGAATGAAAACCTGCTAACTCTTGGTACTTCATTAGTGAAGCTCATAGAGTTTTTAGTTTATTTCATACAAGACAGCACAAAATAAAGTTAAATTATGCTGAATAGAGAAGCTTGGGGATGTTAGTGGAAATCCTACCTCTTAGCACAAGTATTTGAACAGAACCTCTTTGATCCTCTGAATTGGCTGGCTGGAGCGAGGCTTCCACAGTATTCACATTTCAACACTGGAGAGGAAGAGGAAAGAAAAGCTCCATTACATTTAGTAAAATTATCACCATACAAAGTCGTTAATGGTTATCATACTTGATCATCAAAAAATAAATCTTATTCCACCACTTACAAGGAGGTCCGTTTTCAGAGCGGCCTACCAGAGCAAAATCTCTGTCTTTGAGGAGTCCAGCCACCTGTCACATCAAATATTAGCCAGACAGTAAGGAACGTTATCACAGAAAAGTGCACAGTCAATATTATTCAAACCTAAGATCGCATTTAATATGAAATGTGTGCTTTCATGGCAGAGCAGCCTTACAGGGAAGGGTTCAGCTCCCTCCTGAATGACAAAGCCCTCTATGAGGTGGGTGAGAACTTGAGGTTTGACCACTGCCTGGGGAACAGGCGCTCTTTCCTTGTCCCCATGCCCGACTCTTGACAAGGGCAGAGGTAAGGATAGGGTGGGAGGAGATGAGAATGCAGCGGCTACAGGAGGAGCTACATTCAGGATTGAAACAAACAGGGGACAGAATTAATTTTTAACCAGATTTCAAGATTTATGGTCACAATTTGCAGGTGTTGCTACAAATAATTTATGCTTGATTTGTAGATGACAAAATCAACAGACCTGAGTCCTTTGTAGGGGCGGGGGATAAGGGAGGAGCAGAATCTTTCATTGGTGCCGAGTCTGAAGATTCTGTTGCCATCTCATTTGGAGCATCACAGTCTGATTTTCTCTTCAGAGAGCCATTGGGAGGCTTTGTCTGATGGTATGTGAGGAAAAAAGCAGCAGGTGTTAGAATTCTTACCCAAAACAGTGTCAGTGTCACTAAGCGCATCTTTCCAGTTGTCTTACCATAGCGTTGCTGTTGAAGACCGCATTAACATTCCCACCAGCTGTGTTTTCCAGGGCTGTGCTGCTCCTTGCTTGTGCAAGGGCTACAGCCTGTGCATTTCCTGCTAAGCCCTGCCTGGCTCCCACCAGCTGCACAGGGATGTGGGGAGGGTTGTGCCCCCCAGTGCTGGCCTGGCTGTTGTTAGGTGGTGCTGGAAGAATGGGAGGTGGGTGTCTAGGAGGCAGCTGCACAGGTAAACGGTGTCCCTGAGCTGTCTTGGGCTGGATAGGCACAGGGCCTTTGTCTGCGGTAGTGCTGGCCTGTTGTAACGGCTGCACCACCAGAGTCTGCGTGTTGACGTTGGCTTTTGGGGCCACTGAGCCGATTGGGTAGCCCTGGGTGGAGGTAGGAACATTTGAGGTGGGCACCAAGATCACAGGGGCAGCAGAGGGGGAAAGGAGGAGCTGGGAGAGAGGGAGTGCTGGAGAGGAGGTGGAGGAGGGAGCTACAGACGCAGCGGGAGTAACAGTCATTGCCGCCTGGTTTCCAGTTTTTACAGTCATAGTCTTGGGGGTGGACTGCTGAGTAAAGTTAGGTTTGGCCATTTGTTGTTGCTGTTGTGGTTGTACTTGCTGCTGCTGAGCTGTCTGGGGGAAAGTCTGCTGCTGTTGACCAAGAGGAAAGCTGGCAGCATCTTTCCTCTCTGGAAGCTCAGACTTGACAGCAACTGCTCTGGGAGTGGAAGCACAGTGCAGCGCCAGGTTCTGCACCTGGGACAGGAAGAAAGGTGTAGATTGTGGTGAAATGCAGTTGAGAAATCAAATTTCCAGGACTGTATGACTTTAAATGGCTCAGACTTAACATTACAGGTAGGTAATGGTACTCAAACCTGATCATTGTCAGACTGTGCACTGGCAGTGGTAGGAGCAACTTCATGCTGTTGCTGCTGTTGCTGTTGCTGTTGCTGTTGTTGCTGCTGCTGTTGCTGCTGCTGCTGCTGCGGCTGTGTCTGGGCAACTGTTGCTACAGTAGCTGTTGCTGTACCACCAGGCATAAAGATGAGCTGAGAAGCAAGGGGAGCCCTGAGAGAGCGGTTGACCTGTGTGAGGAACAGGACAAATGATTAATCTTGTAAACACCAAATATTTCTGTGAATGACTTCTTAACTACATTGAATATTTAATGACATTATCAATTTTGATGATTATTGTCAATATTATTTTATTGTCAATCAGCTCTTTCAAGTTATTAACCACTATCATTAGTACCCAATTAGGTTTATGGAACACCAAACATACAAGCTTTTTCAGAGATTATTGCCAAAAATGGACACAGTGCAAGATAAAATTTTAACTCACTCTAAGATACATCTGTCCCTGTCCTGCCGAGTTTCCGCTCAGTAACACCGACTGGTTGAGAGCTGGAGTTGTTGCAGAGGTGACTGGCCCATGGGGACGGGGATTAGTCATTGTCCCACCTGCAGACGTGGTGCTTAGGTTGACCTGGGAAGAACAGAAAATTAAGTTTTTAACCAAAACTGCCGACTATTTTCATAAATAAGCTGTGTAACTGATCATTCCAAAATGACTGACATAAAAACTCACTGTGGTGGGCGCCTGGGACATGCTGTTACTCGGGGTATTGGACTGGCGACTAGCTGCAAGGGTGGCCTGGTTTAAAGAGAGAAATCATATAGATGGAGCGTGACGTTTCTGCTGACCATACTTTTGTACAACCTATTTTTTTCTGTAATTATTATGGTTACCTGTTGCACAGCAGCCAAGTTATGGAGTTGGGCACTATTGATCTGCTGCTGCAGCATGAGCTGCTGAAAGTACTGAGCTGCATTTGGCTGTCTTTGCAGTGCTTGGAGAGCCTAAACAAACACAGACACACATACACAGACTGTTTAAGAATAATTTATAAGTATCTATATTTACATATTATTAACAATTCAATATATGAAACATTAGTCTTCTCATCATACCTGTGCTTTATTTTATGCACACAAACTCTCACCTGTACAGCCTGTCTCTCATATAGAGACATGTGGGCTATCTGGGGTGCACGTGAGTTCCCACTTGTCTGAGGATTTCCATTGGTGGTGCCTGTGTTTTGGTCTTCACCTGCATCCATGTTTGCTGCACAAAACCAAAAGCAGTTGTGAGAGAACGCTTGTGCTCTATACATAACAACTGCTTCTACTTCTACAGCATAACTTTTAAACTGTAAATACCTAGGCATAAAAACTTGTTGAACATGCAATGTAGTACCCCTTGCTGGGACCACATACTAAAAATAATTTAAAGAAAAATAACTAGGTCAAACAGATTTACATATGAAAACTCAAATTATCAGTTATTATAGCTTCAGTACATAGAAAAAAAACTTGGGTTAAATCAGTGGGTTTCAAATGTCTCACAGGCACTGCTGGCATAAATGGGGTGATACGTGGTGAAACCTCTAGGGTCCCACTGCAGGAGTACTACCTCAAAGTTTCCAGTACTGGGTTCATTATATATAAACAGAGGTGCCTGGGATTACTCTTACAGAGAGACAATAAATCACAGCCAGCTACACCCCTGCACAGAGTTGTGACTACTTAAGAGCTTGGCAGACGTTATCGCTGACCCGGTTTGGCTACTGATGGTGGCGAGCAGGAGCGTTGTGGTATTTTCATTAACACAGCAGTTGTCAACATGATAGATGGATACGAGAGAAAGAACAACATGGAGGAAAGCTCATAAACACAAAGTAAGACAGAGGCTAGCCAGCTGTGGCTAACTACAATGGACTTTGCTAGTTAGCTTTCCCCAAACACAAGTCTGACATGTCATAATAAAAATATATTAACTTTTGTAACGGTGCTAGAAAAAAGGCCGAGTGCAGAAGTGTTAAATGCAAGTAGAAGATCCGTTGGGTTGTTGCTAACACTAACGTTTACTGACATAAAAGATGCAGCGTTAGTTTATAGGCTAACCGACTAGCAATGCTAGCAGGTATAAAGCTAGCATCTATCCAGCTTTCACTACTGCATGAAGTTAACATTTAATGGTTTTCGGCGTGCTCGGGTGTGTACCTCTCAATGACTTTTCTGTTCTTTTCAGAGTTATAAGCAATTAGTTTTATATTCCGATCTTGGTTTTACCTGAAAATAACGACAGCCCCTTTCAGGATTTTTGCCTCCAACAAAACCCCGCCCCTCACAGGTTTTCTTCTTCTTCTTCTGCTTCTTCTTCTGCCTCTTCTGCTTCTTCTTCTTCTTCTTCTTCTTCTTCTTCTTCTTCTTCTTCTTCTTCTTCTTCCTCAGTAACGGCCGCTGGTCATATTACTGCCATCCTCTGGATTCAGGCAGCTCCTACATTGTCCCGACTACTAAACTTTTAACATCAGTCCTGTTTTACTTTCCCCCACGAAGTTTACGAAGCATATCCTGCTCTGTTTACTTCCAACCCACTCCAGTATCTCCTTTAACTCTCTTCCTCTCATCAGAAAATCTTTGCATTTCCTCCATCATATCCTCCCTTTCTGATAACATGTTCTACACTTTCTGGTGCGTCACAGAGACTGGTTGGATGCTACCCCATAGGTGTCTTTTACACAGGGGACCCTCACTTTTTAAAAAGCATTATTTGTTGAGCCTGTTCTGGAAAATAGCTTGCACCAAGAAACACTAAAACAAATGAGAATGTTTTGAGAAAGGTTTATTTGCACAATAAGAAAACAGAATGCAGTGTAAATATAGAAAATAACATTGGCATTGTTCGATTGATGAGGTGTTGCAGCGCTGGATGTGATGAGCGAGTTATGTTGAGTTTTATGCCCAATAGTAGCCTAGGCAATGCCCTGTTATTGGCCTACATTTTCTTCCTGCCATAATTATCTACTTTGATCTCATAGCAATCCCCCCAAAGTACATTATCTAAAATTGCATATAGTGAAGACTATTTAAAAATGTTTTTTCATCTAAGCCTTTCACAACACAAAGCAAGTGTCCTACCTCAGGACAGTAAATGAGTTGTAAAATCTTTGCAGCCATGTTACTCTGTGATAAAGATTTCTGGGTAATTGTGTGTTTTTAGTCTTTGGGACTGGTTTAAGAACCACTGATAAAGGAACCTGGTAAAGCAGATTCTTTTCCCTGAAACATCTACCAACACCAGGTGTATGTTCAATAACAGTGCTCACCATATCAAAGATCTTTATCATAGGTTAATTTAAAATACAGTAAATTGCCAATAAAAATATATTGTGCATATAGTTTTTATTAAAACAAACTCCAGTGTACTTTGGTGTGTAAAGAGTTCATCAACACAATGATCATAAATAAACTAGAAACTAGTTTCATATTGTATTTTTTAATGCAATCAGAACCAAACTAAAAGTTGTGTGATTTAAAGTCATCCTTGAACCAAACAGGCTATTACATCAATCTATAGGCTGTTCAGTTCAATACAACCACAGGTGTAACCATTTCAACCAGAGTATAATTCGCTGAATTGAGCAAAGAAATATCAACATTAATAAAGACAAAAAGGCAAATGACAGAAAACAAACAGTTCTCACACAAGTGCTCACACTGATAGTAACTTAAATTTCACTGACACCTACTAACATAATTTTCCCATCAAGTTCAAAAAGCCTGCTTTAGTCCATAGCAGCATGAATAATTTGAATAGATTTATGTAAAAATATTAGAAACCTCATTATTGATATCCTCAGAACTATAACATTTTTACTGCTATATTGATACAAGAGAATTACAGAAGTGCTTTCATTGCTACGTATCTTATGTATCTTGCTAAAGAAGCAATATATCAGGCACAAAGCAGCCTGAGTATTTGGTCAAACATGAGTCTACAGACTGTAAGGTCGGTGTGTGTACCTAGCAGTGTATCTGGTGTTTGGGTCAATTTTATCATGTAGGCAGAGATTAGTTTGCCCACTATAATATTCATTATTGAGGAGCTTTGTGAAAATGAACATTTTTCTTTTGCAGTGAATGTTCTTCTATTCTATGAGAAATACAAGTACATATTCTATGTATGTACTATACTTTTCGAAATCGTAAATTATGAATAGTAGAATTCATTTAGGAATCTCTTACAGTAGTATTAGTAAGATAGGTTTAATTTAGGAATTTAATAGCTTTGTTGACCTTTGTGACGAACATTTAAGAGAGGAGTATGGGAAGTTACAACTGTCAAGCTCAGGAAGCTGACTTTAGTAAAACCATTTTTGGGAAATATAAGCATTGATGTAGAAGCTTTTCCCTACATTGTGGGAAAAAGGCAAGGGGCAAACTTAAAGTGAAATTCATCTATGGTTTTTGCAGTGATTTCCATTTGTGTAGCAATGCTGTAAGAATAGTCACAGTAAAATTAAGTGTTTACATTCTCATATTCTATACGTTCAAAACAAAACAAACGGATTAAAGCCAAATTACACAAGCAAAAGCACTCGTGAGTTTAGTAACCTGCAACTGTCAGTGCACAACCAGGACCCCAGGAAGAACAGCTTGTTGCAACCTGCACACATGTCAAACAACATCAATAATTAGCCAAGCAAAAAAGATGAACAGTATGCCATTAAGTTTAGATCACGTAGAAATCCAACTTCTTAACCTCTGCCTTTTGTGTCAGATTTCCATGGAAGAAGAGTTGTTCTTTATTGTCACTTTACAATCTTGGATGAATTACTCATTTGTCTGACATCAATGAAATGCATGGTTTAGAGAGAAGACAAGTCTGTCAGCCCCGTGGAGTAACATGTCCTCTTAAGACACAAGCAGATCATCAGTAGTTACCCTAGGCACAAGTCTGATATACACACAAATGTGTGAGGAGGTCCTGACCTAAACCAGCAAGCCAAAACAGACTTGTGTCTAGCAGTAATTTCATCTAACCTGTGAAAGAGTAAACTGCGTCACACAGTGAAAAATTCTGTCCCATTCTGTTCTGACATATTGAGGTCACATAGGTAGTAAGTGGTCATCTCTCTCTTCTGGCTCTTCCGCTAAAGTTTCAGGGGCCACTCCCCTGTAAGCTGGGGATTCCTCTCGATTCCGTGAGCGGCACACAAAGTCACACCCATCCTGTAAGGGAGAGGTAAAGTTTCTTATGAATTTAAAACAAACACACATCATCTTGAGCGTGTACTGATGTTATTTATCAAGTGGATCATGCTTACTGCTGTCAGGTTGCCAATCTCCACCCAGAAGGCATAATTGGGGAATTGCTCCATCCCTTTGGCTCCAACAATCAGCCGTTGGTAGAGGAAACCTCCAATTAAGTAAACACCCAGAATACTGAACCCACTGAAAGAAGAGAGAACTTATGATCATTGAATATTTATGCTGCAACATTAAGGGGTTTTGTGTCACTACAGACTGTCTTTACGCACATGATGAGTAGTATGGAGCCAGTGCTGAGCTTGGACTCAATAGCTGGGCACACCGCACTGGAGTCAAGCTCAAACAAGTAGAAACATTGCTCCCCCCTACTCCTGTCCTCCAGAACCACCTCCAGGTTGCCCTGGAAGTGAGATAGAAGGAGACAAAGGTAAGTAAAAGGTAACACACATTTAGAAAAGGAGACAGGGTGCAAGACTACATGACATTTGGGAGGAGCATTAGGCTGTGTTCAGACTCCTGTGAGCAGTGTGTGAAAAAAAATGTAGTCCGATTATTTATGTCAATGAAACCAGAGAGTTGATCCTGATTGAAATTTTTTAATCAAATTTCACCTTCATAATGGTACCTGAAGCAACGCTCCAGCACCAACGCAGCCCCTTGTATTTTTTTTTAATGCAGTGTAATTTTGATCTAAACAACCAGTAATTTTGTTTCTCACATCAGGTGATCTAAAAGCCATCTGTATTTCTTTTACCATGTCTTTCTTCCTGTCGCAAGAGATCATAACAATGGCCCTCCTCTTTTCCTTGTTACAGTGATCTTTATATGTGTCGCCATTTCCGTAGATCAACATCACCCAGTCACCTGGAAGGGCAGGGAAAAAGATACAATACTGAACTAAAGCACCGCATGAAAGGTTTGGTCCCATGTCAAGATTAATTCCAATCTTAGGCTTCAGACTGATTATTCTTATAGTTTGTCTCAAAAACATAATCCTGCAACCTAAAATCCTTGTTTTAGAATGGTTAACAATCCATCATATCATGCAAAAGTGTCATGTAAGATACCAAAACAAAGTCAGTGTAAATTACTTACTTCCTCCAATGGCTTGTGTTGCATTATACATGCCAATCACAGTTTGTTTCTTTCCTGTTTCCTTTTTGTCCATTTGAATAAGCCCAGCTCCTGGGACACCCCCTGCATCGCCACACAACTGGAACACATATCTGTAACTCTCGTCTTCTACTGTAAAGCTGTCAACATGAGAACACATCCCAGTAAAAAGTCAACACTGAATGGCAAAGTATTATTAGGCAAAATCCCTCTGTCAAGGCTGGATTACACATTCAATATGTGCTGAGTGATAACAGGCAATCCAAAAACAATCTGCTGTTATATCGCTGACACTGAATATGCAGATACAAAACGGAGTCATTTCTTACTTCTTATTGGCGAGTGGCTCTAGTCGCTTGAGGACAGTCCACTCTGACGAAGAGTTAGCGAGCAGTTTACAGCTGTTGATGCCCTCAGCAGCGGACACCCAACTCCCACACAGGACCAGCTGAACCGCCAGGGTCCACACCAGGAAGGGCCTTCCACTGGGACTTCTGAACAGCTGGAACAGATGTTACAAGAAAAACACACTGACTTTTTCAAAAGAAAGACTGTTATTTTATTTATCACAGAGCAAGCGATTCTCAAATATAATTACTTTCTATTCATTTGACATTAGGGTTAGACACCATATCATCAGAGACTTCTTTCAATATCGTTTATACTATGGTAGTATAATTATGGTGGTACTATGATCACAATCCCTTTTTGAGCTGAAAGGTATTAATCAAGTGATTAACTGAGCATTTATTTTCATATTAGGTTCAGTTTCAGTCATTTCTCAATCAATAATGCAAAATATCTGTTGATTCCAGATTCACAAATTTGATGATTTGCTGCTTTTCTTTGTCATATGATGTTATGACAAAGAACAAAACAAACAATCTGAATATGCCTCATGGAAACTATAATGGGATGTTTCTGATATTTTTAAATTTTTTAAAACTTTATTTAAAAAAAAAAATTACTGATTAATCAGTCATCTGAGAAAATATTCAGGATATTAAATCACACAGGAAAATAATTGTTAATTGTAAACATAATCCACATAATGAAGTTATGGCATTTTGTGACAATGTGATATCTTAGTTTGTGAGGTATTTCATATGATTTACGATGGGTTTTATCTGTATCATTCACTTACTATTTCTGATCAGTCAAAATTTAATTGCAAGAAGTAGTGCTCCTATATTCAATTTATTCCACATTACCATTAATCTTCACATTTGATAATCTTGAACCTGTGAATGTTGGCATTTTTGTTATAAAAATAAATATAAAATATAATATAAATTAAACACTGAATTGCTGATATCATTTCAGCACTAGTTAGAATTACAAATGCTCCTACTGACTAGGGCCACAACTAGTCAGTCAGCCTAGTCAGTAATAGTTTTGTCCACAAGATGTCCAAATTAGTTTGTATAATTTGCCACATCCCAGGTTGACCAACAATTCCTACACTAACAGATATTCATTACAATCATATGACGTGCAAAATATAAAGTCTTAAATGGATTATCAATTATCATAATATCTGTCGATTATTTGATTAATCATCTCATCGCTGCAGCTCTGCTACTGAGTAAAAGTAATATGTGCACTCATTTAAATGCTTCCTGAATTTAAAAAAAAAAAAACTGGGAGGAAAGTAGCAGCACATTTTTTGGAAAAACTATTTTCAGTGTGTTCTACAATATGTAAGTTCAGAACAAATAGAATAAGAACTGTATAAACAGTTCGTGTAATTGGAAATAGGAAGTTTTGAAAGTAAACATACGTGTATGTAAAATGTCTGTTCCTCTCAACACGAGGCATTAAGTTTTCCTGAGGAAACGCAGTCAGGTAAAAAAAAAAAAAAGAAAAAGAAAAGAAAAGCTGCACAGAGTTAAACTTTTAGCTACATTGTGCACCTACCTTCATGACTTCTCCTACTGTGAACAAGTGGGGAAAGCTCCTTTGTCAGTTACAGGTTTACATAAAGGCTGACAGATGTTTAAAATGTAGCCAGTTGATGATGTAGTGAGCTTCCTCACGCTAACGTCGCTTCCTGGTTGACTTTAAAAGGAATAAAGCTTCTTATTTCGTTATGCAGACGAAAAAAAGTTAATCTGAATGTAGTCAGGAGTCATAGGCTGCACGTTTTTCTGTCCGTGATAATTAACGTGCTCTTCCCCAAAATGTGAGAGATGGATGCCCAAGAGGCTAACAGGCTACAGACAGTAGCGGAGTGCGGAAGTGAAACTAAACACACACATTCACGCGCGCGCATGTGACCGTCCATATGAAGCGCGACCAATGAGCTGCGGCTGAACCCGCACACCCGCATCAGCTGACCCGAGAGCTGCCCAGTTCAATATTAGTGGAGGAATAAAAGTGAAAAGAGAAACTATCTTTTCTGTCTGCTCCATTTCTGTTGAGCGCTGCACATCCCGGAACATGTTACTTTAATGAGATATGCATGTCTTTTATCACTTCGCACATTATTTAACCTTCCACCAAATTCCCTTCTTTTAAATAAAATAGCGGAATATTGGTAAAAACATAATAGGTAACATTATTTATATCGTATTATATATTGTGGTGCACGAGGAAAAGGCAACCTATAATAACTGTCAAGATGTTTCACTCCAAGCCACAGACGTCAACCTCATGGTGGCGCTAGAGGAAGGGCCAGAGGCTCACCAAAGTCAGTAGGTCTCATCATTTATACATCTAATAATTGTGAAGATATTTCAACCTGGACAAAAGTGGTGGACTGATTGACCACCTGAAGTTACCATCATAAGAATTATATAATAACTTTCCACATTAACCTTTGATCTAGCTCTTTTGAGGTAGGGGTCCTGGGTGCAAAAACTTCTTATGTTGTTAAATTGTAGAGCCTCATAATTCAACTTTATGTTAATTTTGGAGGGTGTAATTTGTGGTGTACATTATAATTAAAAATATACAACATTAACATTACTCAGAATAATGCAATACAGGTTAGCAGTGCCACAAACTACAAATGAGGTAACCACCATAACTTTAAAAAGAAGGATAAGAATAGCTTTCTATTGGGTTGTTGGTAATAATGTCACCTAGTCATACACTCTTTTATCTTTACTCTCTTTACAACAAGTACCACAATGGAAACAGGACTTTTTGTAATCCATGACATTATACTGTTAGGTTGTGCTGTGATTTAATTTTCTCCGTTCTTAATGTCAACTAAACCAAACTAAACTGCAGCCATGAAGTTGATTCAACACCTCTCTAAAACCCTTTGTAACCAAAACAATACATTATAATCTTCATGAAGGCAGGATTTATTACAAGGCTGTTGTGTTACACTGCGTTAGTTTTATTTATTTTACCTGGCGACTGTTGCAGCTGAGAGTATTTTGTCACTGAAATTGCATGATAATATGCAATCACTTATTTAACAAGTGAAAGGATGGTGTTACAGTAGAGATATGTACTACCATGTTCCTCAAATATGTTGTTTAATAAAGTGCTCGTGTTGAAAATATTTTGCTTTTGAAGGAATTAAATGTTAGTAAGTTTCAAATATTTTGGCCCATCAAAACCCTGATGCTTTCATTATAATAGTGCATTAGTATACCAGCTTATCCAGTATACTGTTACAGTTGAATTCACATTTTTCGAGTGCCTCAGTAACAACATATGACTATACACAAAGTTTGCTTTCTCTACAGTAGTCTGTATCACATCCTTCAAATTTATCACCATGAATTTAAATACAAGATCACCTTTGCCCTGTTTAGAGTTTGATCTAATTTGCCTGAAACAATGTCCCATTCTTCTAATCATAACGTAAGTTGCATAAAAGAAGTTTAAGATTAAAGATCAATAACGCTCACTCAGTGGCCTTCATGTCTTATTGCTGTGCAAGTGAGCACTGCCTTATATTTGGTAGTACTTTTTTATGCATTGTTCCTATTTAATACAAAAGTCCTATCCATGAAGAAATGAATGAAATAAAAATACATGAGAAGTTTAGTTTCAACTTCAATTACCTGACACATTTTTAAACCCATCCTATTTAGCCGTCATCGTTAGCTTCTTAATCTTAACAGAAATTAAATTCCTTATTTTATTGGAAGAAAAATGCCTATACAGCACTCAATTACATTCATTTCAGTTACTTTATTGACATTTACAACTGCAACACCATTATTTTGCAACTTCACGGTTGGTACACATAAAGGAAATGAGCAACACATTTAAAGAAATTTCTAAATTTTTTAGAAGATGTGAATGTGGACAGGCTTCAGCATCAGCAAAGGATAAGGGAATAAAGTTAATGGACGTAAAGGCCATTCTTTAGGTGTTGATTCATCTGCATCCCAGCTTCATGCCCCATTTAACAACAATCTTTGGACTCCTGCACTATCCGACTGAACTGAAAAAACCCTGAACAGTAGAAAACAATGACAATAGGCCAGTGGCTCTAATCGCCATCACTATTAAATACTTTGAAAAGCTGGTTGTGTCTAAGCTTAAAGCAGAAGTAAACTCAGTTTTAGATCCATTTCACTTTGCTTCACAGACTGCAAGAGTGCTATCAAGTTTCTCATCTAGCTCTCAGTAAGACGGTGAGTAAGTCTGTTTCCCCAAAATATTAAAGTATTCCTTTACTTACCATCCATACACACTCAGATGGGAGTTTAGCATATACTAATGCCCTCACCACAAACTATATGACCATAAACGTGAATCAACACCGAACACTTTAACCTTCATGGTGGTTTTATTACTTTTATTGTTTTATTAGACTCTTTCAGTTTCAGTTAGGTAACAAACTGGCTAATGAAATGTAAAATAGTAAAATAATCCAGGTTATAAAGGCCTTCATCAAAATGTATACAAATCTAAATAAGAAAGTGTGAAGGTAAAGTGAAGGTAAAGGTGAAGAAAAACCAGGGCAGTTCTAATGGGGAGCAACAAAACAGGGAAACAAGTGAATAGGAAAGTGATGATAGTTAGTTGTTACTGTCTTTACCCAGTAATGCTAATGACAAGGAGCCGTGGTACTCCAACCTTTCAGTCTCAGCTGACCTCAGTCGTCAATCAACATAGTAAAGCACTCATTGTCAAACAAATAATTCACAGATCACCACTGTAATACACCCCTCCCTTGGTTTCCTCCTCTGTGATTGCTTAATCTTGGCTTTTCTTTAACAGTTTGTGTTTCCCTGTCTTTCCCCTCTTTACAACCTCTCAAGGGAATGTGGAGAAGTTTTTATAGGCCATAGTGAACTCTCCTCCAGTGTGTGTGTGCTCTCAATCCTCACTCTCTTTCTCCCCTTCCCCCACTCTCCTTTAGCTCTTACCTTACCTGGCTGTGTGTGTCGTCCAGACACACCCGGCTACTGCATATCAACCAATCGCTGCTCCAAGACAGACGCACCAAGTAGGTGTACTTCCTGTGTTTCGTGAGAGAAGAATGGGGCAGGAGAGAGTTGTGTACTATTATTTTGCCAGGGGGGGTCCACACAGATCCGCAGTCCTGTCGGCGGTAGAGGGAAGGGAAATGAAGTAGTGGACAAACTTGGCAGACTTTTGTTTGATTTATGGGAGATCTCCATGTTGAGCAGCAGCGACTGAGAGGACAAGACTGAGAGCAGGAGGAGGGGAAAGATAAGTGTCAATCTGTTGAGACTTGTTTGAGAATTTGAGGGAGGAGGGGAGGTGGAGAGAGACTGAGAGAGAGGCAGCAAAACGGAAAGCAAGGAGAGCTCAGGCGTAAACATTCAGTTTTTCACCAGAGTTAAAGTAGTGAGAGAAAAAGAAAAAGGGATTTGGGATTTATTTGAAAAGAAAGAAGCCGTTTCGTCACCTAGACATTGTGAATACATGGAATGAATTCTTATGGGTTGTGCAATCCCATGCTTTTGAGCTGAGCTGGACTGGAGGGAGGGAGGAACGGGGGTGGACTGGATCTCCCCAGGATACCACATTCAGGTGAGTCGCTTTACTATTTTTTCATGCATTTCAGATGAACACTTCTCTAGACTGTTTCTGGTTTGAGAACAGATTTAGATCTGTCTTAGTTGTGGTTTACATGTTACATGCCGTGCCTATGTGTCACAGGCCCTTGCTTTCTGAAAGACTTCTTTTGGTATGCTGTGCTTTGCAGGTCTGTGCTGCATTCTTAGATAACTGTAAGAGGGTGTCACCTTTTCTCTAGCCTTCTCTCTATTCTACTGTAGAGTTTCTAGATTTAGTCTTAAAGAATCATGTGGCTTTTAGCTTGGAATTACAACTGTAGCTATTTGGTGTGTTTGACAAATCAAAATAACTCAGCTGACCTCTTGCAGAGGACATAACTTTTTCAGAGGCAGCAGTAACATTACTGGAATAAACAGTAGTTTTCCAGGCAATTCATATTCAGCTCTGTGAAATTAACTAAGTATTCAAGTTTGATTTTGTTTAATGTGACCTGCATTTTAGTGATCTGTCCCTGAAAATGCCTTGACTGTTACTGACCCATTTCTAAACTGATGACTGTTACTGTCTTCCAGGTTCACCATATTATGGTACAATGGGGACCAAAAGGCCCAGCTGCACCCTCTTTGACACTTTATCTAACATAAACACGTCTGACCGCAAGCTTCAGCCAGGTGGAAAAATCTCCAGGGATCCAAGTCCCAGGCCAGCGATGACCGCCCAGTCGGAGCGAGAGAGAGACAGCAGCCGAGAGGAAGACTGGAGGAGGGAAAGAGAAATGGAGAAAATGAGAGACAAGGCGAGATACAAAGATGTGGACCCACGAGAGAGACACTATGAAAGAGCTACTGCACCCAGGGTGAGAGAGGGAGAAAGAGAGTGGAGGGAGAGAGAAAGGAGGCAAGAAGAGGACAGAAGCAGAAACTGGCGGCCAGTGTCGACTCTAGAGAGGGGCGCCGACAGAGAGGTGGAAAGGGGAATGAAGAAAGGCGACACATTTCCCAGAATGAGAAAACGCAGCGCAGAACGGGACAGAAGAGTGATGTCCAACACCGACATTGATGAAGAAAAAGGAGAAAGGAGGCCGAGGGATAGGCCGAGGCGAACAGAGGCAGATGACTGGGAGAGAGAGAGAGGGAAGGCAGGGCAGAGAGAGAGGTACAGAGAGACAGAAAGGGATGAGATCCGAAGCAGGGGAAAGGAAGATGGGAAAAAAAGGGGAGGACGAACGGTAGAAGATGAGAAATTGCGACAGAGGGAAAGATATCAGGAGTCTGATGCTTTTCAAGACAGGGGGAGAGAAGTGGGTGATTCATGGGATAGAAGAGAAAGAGACGCAACAAGAAAAAGAGAAAAACCAAGGCCTAACATGGGCGAGAGGGAGGCCACGATGCCATCCCCACACAGGCGAAGAGACAGAGAGATCTACTCAGATAGGAAGGAGAGGGAAGAGGTTGGGAGGAGAGAGGGAAGGAGGGACACCAGGAGTGAAGGAGACAGTGATGAGAGAGAGTTTAGGAGGGAAAGAGTGAGGGACAGAGAGGGGGAGGAGTTGATATATCAACACAGCAGAAGTGAGGGGGACGACATGGGCAAAAGAACAAGGGAGAGAGATCAAAATAGGCAGGGGTATAGGGAGGAGGACAGGCAGAGATACAGGGACAGGGACAGAGAGCGAGAAGTGGATAGATCCAGGAGGAGGGGAGTGGAGAAAGATAGGGAGAGGTACAGAGAGGCTGACAGGAGAACAGCAAGGGAGGCAGAGAGGGAGGGAGAGAGGCGGAAGGAGAGTGGGGGAGACTTGAGAGCGTGGTCAAATGACAGGAGGGAGGGTGACAGATACAAAGAGTACGAGCAGAGGAGAGACAAGGAAAGAAAGGAAAGAGAGGCTGATCCTAGGTGGGATGATACAACAGGCAGAAGCAGCCGATCCCTGAACAGGACAGCTCCAAGGGTGCCACCACGATCCCAGAGCAGTGGAGAGTGGAGCAGCGACGTGGACAGTGAGACGAGATATAGAAGAGGTAAAGACAGTTATGAGGAGCGGGAATCCGGGAGAGAGAGAACCACTGAGAGCAAAAGAGACGCGGAGGAACAGAGAGATCGAGAGAGAGCTGCTGAAAGAAGTCAAAGGGAGCAAAAGAGGGGTGACAGACAAGAGAGAGATAGAGGAAAAATGACAGGCAGCGTGCCAGGGCAGAGAAGGATGTGGTTAGAGCCGCAGAGGGGTAAGAATAGTAAGGAAGAATTTCTAGACAGAGACAAACATACAAGACGGAAAGAGAGGAGGAGAGAAGAAGAGAGGAGTATGGAGTCACAGGCTGAATGGGGAAGAGAAGGGCAGCCAGTAAAAGAGGAACCAAACGAGAGGTACTTGGACCAAAGCGGTTACAGACAAAGACATGCCGGGAGAAATGAGTACAGGGGAAACATGGAGAGGGAGACAGAGGGCGTAAGTGTACATGCAGATGAGGTCTGGAGAGAGACAGATAAGAGAGGGAAGACACATCTGTCTGACAGCAGCGGTGGCATAGAGGGAAGCCAGCAGAGAGATGCAGAGGGAGAGAACATGACAGATAATACAGAGGAGAGTGACAGAGAGGAAGAGGGTGGGATCAATTATTTGGCCGGCTCTGAGAAAGAAGGAGGAAGTACGTCGGGGTGGAAGCAAGAGAGAGACAGTATGCTGTCGGTAGAGGACGGCTTTGTGACCGTGTCCAGTGGCGGAGACGAGGAGGAAGAGAGAGACGAAGAGGGAGATGAGGAGTTTGAGGACTGTCAGGAGTTCTTGGAAGGTGGAGTTGCATATGACGAGTCCTCACATGTTGGCTTCAAGGGGTGTGAGGGAGATGAGGAGAGGGAAAGGACAGGGGGCAAGGAGGAGGCGGTCGATGAGGAGGAACGAGAGAAGGAAAAGCAGACACAATACATCTTCTATGTGACTGGACAAACTTTGCCCCAGTCAAAACTGGACGATGTGTCACCATCACAAGTTGAACCGATGCGAGGTGTGGAAAGAGATAATGCAAATTTAAAAAGTTCTCATCACTGTAGCGATGACATCACACAGCAACCTCTGGATGACCAGCATCTGACACTGAGTAGAAATGATGAATACCTGATCATCAACAACCAGAACACAAAAGGCCAAAGTGAGCGTGACACACCAAGGGAGGAGAGGGTCACTGTAGGAGAAACAGCTGAAGCAGATGTCAGTCACGGAGCGTCTTCAGAGCTTCAAGACACAGACACTGGAGAGGGAATGAAGAGCAAAGCGGAGCACCCATATGATGAAATAGGATCGATTAAAAGAGACTCACAGACTGAAAGACTCCTCGTAGAGTGGAGAGAGAAAAATAAAGAACTGGCTGAAAGAAGAAGGGAGCAACCTCCTCTGGGCCTGAGGAATCCCTATGCTGATGTTTGTTCTCAGGCTGATTTTGAACAAATTCAACCCATCTTGGATGGGATAAACACTGGAGCAATGAGTCCAGAAGAGGTGGAAGCCATTCGAATCCGACTGAGTGGGGCATGGAGCATGTCCGAGGAGACCAAGCGGCATTCCCAAGCCCCCCACCTAAAATGGGCCAAAAATGTGGTCCGCGAGATCCTGGGACACTCGGAGGAACAGACTGTTGATGAACCAAACTCGGAGGAACAAGGAGGCCACGTGGTCAACCAGTCCGAGATGACGATCCAGGACGACAAACAGCAGGAGGAGGTTTCACAGGGGACCGGAGAGATTGCTGGCGTTAAGTTGACAAGGAACGAACGGCACTCCGAGCCAGAGCTGGAGGACGAAGAGCCGCTGGTGGTGGAGGGACTGAGAGGTATGGGGCAGAGCCAAGCTGACATGCATGCTGACCAATTCACAGCTATGCATGGTGACACACCCACACACACTCACGCTGACACACTGTTAGACACAGAAGGGAAGGAGGATCACAATACGGACAAAGAGACTGAGCCTCCTGGTCACCTTCACTTAGAAAAGCTGGATACAGAGGTTGAAGTTACTCAAGAGGGAGGCGATATGGTCACGTTATCAGAAATAGAGAAAGAAGTGAGCGGAGAAAAAGAAGTGGAGATGTATTTATCTGTGAGCAACACGCTGTACAAGCCTAACAGCTGCCCCATTCTTAATTATGAATCTGATGCTGACCTCCTCACGCCCTCCAGAGAGGGTAAGAGCCAGGAGGAGGAAGACAGAATGGGTGAGAGTGAAGAGGAAAGGCAGGGAGAGGAGCCTGAGGAGAGGGGTGCCGCAGTGGAGGAGGGAAACACAAGAGTGGGAGAAGAAATAGAAGTGGAAAGCAGAGAGGGAGAGGAGGTGGCAGAGAGGCAAATAGAAGGAGGGACTCTGACGAGCACCTGCAGTTTCCGAGATTTGGGTCCTGAGGCTCGAATGCGAAGGAGGGGAATCCGTAAAACCACTGAAAGAAGAAGAAATGGAGAGCTTGTAGAAGCGGAAGAAGAGGAAGGTGTTGGAAGGGATCGCAGAACCAGAATATTCTCTACAACAGGTAAAGACAGATGATTGAGGATGGAAACACTGGTTATCCGCTCAAATCAGTCCCAATGTTTCCAAAAGGGCACATGATTACCTCACCTTCTGTCTTGTCGTCAATCAGCATTACTGATTATTTAATCATTTAATCAGTGTGATTTTCTCGTCTTCTAGTCACTTCCTCTGTTTAGTGTTTTTGAGTTTCTCACATCATTTTGTTGATACATCAAACACAAATCTGAGGCAGACATCTGTCAGTAGATATCAGTGCACTGATGTCAACACATTGCATTGCTTTTAAGTGGAACTTGCGTCATGGGTGTTGTGGTTACAGGTAGTGGGTGGAGTGAAGGGGAGGTAGAAGGAGCACGAGCTAAAAGGCTTGGGTTGATACAGGTCTGAGACATAAGACGAGAAACAGGGCTACAAAGTTAACTAACTATTATTTTTTTTTTTTTTTTATTTGTTACTTATTTATTTGATTGTTTTTTTGTATTTTGTTTTCATTCATTTGAGTGGTATGCTGTTGTATAATGTTTCGACGAATGGATACTTTTTCATTCCAGATGATGAAGATGATCGCAGCAAAAGCTGGGGAGAAGTGGAGCTGAGGTGAGTGAAGCAGTCACACACAATATGATCCATTAGATTGAGATGCATGTTAAATTATAATTGTGGCCGGGACCTATCCACGTCTTTCACATATTTAAATATTTACTTTGCTTCCCTGGTCTTTAAAAACTGTCAAGGTTTAGTTCTTGGAGGGATAATGCTTAAGTTCTGTAGTGTCAGTAAAGGTCACTGCNTATTTGTTACTTATTTATTTGATTGTTTTTTTGTATTTTGTTTTCATTCATTTGAGTGGTATGCTGTTGTATAATGTTTCGACGAATGGATACTTTTTCATTCCAGATGATGAAGATGATCGCAGCAAAAGCTGGGGAGAAGTGGAGCTGAGGTGAGTGAAGCAGTCACACACAATATGATCCATTAGATTGAGATGCATGTTAAATTATAATTGTGGCCGGGACCTATCCACGTCTTTCACATATTTAAATATTTACTTTGCTTCCCTGGTCTTTAAAAACTGTCAAGGTTTAGTTCTTGGAGGGATAATGCTTAAGTTCTGTAGTGTCAGTAAAGGTCACTGCAATTTTGAATCACTCAATAAAATCCTATACTTGCACATTCAATGCAAACGTTCCACATTAAAAAGCAGCTTTTGACAGTTTTGTTCAACACTTTTAACACGATCTTCGCGGTTATAAATAAATTGTTGTTGTGACTCTTTCTTGGCACTGTAGGAATGTTTTGGACACAATCGAAAGAAGGAAAAGGAATTCAAGGTTTTTCAGTGAGTATATCTTTTCCCTCTTTATTTCTGCTTAATCCTGGTCATGCACTTTACAAGTATTATATGAACTTAATCATCTTCATTCATGCCTATTCTCAAAATGTATTGCATGCTGCATATGACTTCTTTTACAAGTGATTTAATTGAAATGATTTAAAAAAAAAAAACAAACAAAAACAAATCACTGACAGTTGTGTTCTACAGTAAGTATTAAGACTGATTATAAGGAAGGGCTGTGTAGGCGATAGAGACGCGTCTTCAGATCGTATCTTCTTTTGCTGTGGCCAGGAAAGGCATGACGCGGTTAAAAATTTCCCTTCAGTGTGTGTGATTCATCTGTGTTTGCATTACAGCCTCACTAGCAGTTTATCTCTTACGCAATACACGTTGGCTGAAGTTAAATGAAATACAAAAATGAAAGAAATCTATGTACAGTTTGCTGCTGGCTCACGCCGTTTAAAAATGATCTTTTAAACAATCTAATATGGCACCTGCTCTCTGAACCTTTGATTCACATGGATATTGCGAGAAATGGGGCAGGCCTGCATGTGTGTGCATATGTGCTGTGTATCTGTGTGTCTGTGGAAGCCACAGACAGGTTTCTGCAAGCATTCACATCTCCCACCTTGAGGGAAAAACAGCTGCTGCTGTGACTTTGCATTCCAACAAGTATGTGTAAAAGGAATTTCAAATGCAAACAACTCGCCTTGGCTAACTCTGTTCCTGTCTCTGTCTATCTTCTTTCCTTTGCTTCCTGTATTTTTCAACCTTCTTTTTCCTCTTTATCCCTTTACTCTGTCTTTCTGTCTGTCTTTGTCTGTTTCACTTCCTTTCCTTCTCCCAGATGCTGCCCAGCTCTACCAGCAGTACAGTGAGGCGGCACAGAACTTTGAGATCCTCCGTCAGTCTCGCTCTGATGTGCTGTCTGTGTGCGAGGACAATACCTCCTCTCCTGCTCCCTCGCCTCCTCCTGCCCGCAGACCTCTACCTCCCATACCTCCTGTCCCACACCCCCACTCCTTGGCCCACACCGGCTCTATCACCAGTATCAAAAGCTTGCCTCTTCCTGAGCCCCCCAAGAGTGAAGGCAGGCCTTCCTCTCCTCGTCTATCCATCTCGCTCACACAGTCGTCCACACTGTGGCGGGACCTGCCGGGGGTCAGGAACAGCGGTGAGCTGGAGGAGCTCACAGAGGACCAGAGGCGACTGCAAGAGGTATCACATTGTCTTACTGCAAAAAAAATGAGAGTCTAGTCACCATTTGATGGCATGAAATTCCCCTGATTTTCATGAAAGCAAGATTGTTGTGCAAGTAACTTTCCAGTGACTACAGTGCAAACCTTCACACACAGCTGCTTGATATCTGTCTATCTAATCAAAATCACACATTCGCACTTCTTTGGAAACTTACTGGCTCAACATTAATGCCTCAGTGAAATTCAGGATAATCCCTTGGGCATTTACATGCATTCCTCCTATGGCTTTACTTCCTGATTTAGCTTATATTTATGGTAAAGATTGAGCAATGTAAGATTTGCGCAGTCTGAAGGTTTGCACTTCATTCACTGAAAAGTTTCTGTTTCTCCTATAATGAAATTTAGGAGATTCCTCTGTGATGGTTATATTTCACATTCACTGCAGCTTTACACATCTAATTTCTATGAAATACATTTTTGCAGCATTTAGAGTAAACTTCAGCAGTTATGGTTTTAGTGATTCACCTCCTTGTTTTCCACTTTCAAGTGACCAGACTGCTTTGGGCGTAGCTTCTCATCAATAGCTACTCTATTGTTACATTTGATGGTGGCTTTTGGGAAATTGCGTGACTGACATGAATCACTATCTCACTGTTATTGCTTCATACCTCAAACTACTCAAAACACGTAAAATATTCATACTTGCAACATCTCAGAATAACCCTACCATCAATACATTTTTTTTTTTGGCAGAGGAGCGTCTCTTTCCAGAAGCAAGATTGCATAAACATGTTGTGATCCTCTGCTACTGTAGGTGTTTACTTGTAAACTTTAGACGGGTGTCTTACCTGGAACACTTCCACTCATTGTGAAATCGTGCTCCTCTGTTAGTCATATCTTGTCCAAATGCCCTGGCTTCTTGAGAAGGGACAACTCCTTGCTTATTAGCTATAGTTGTTTCTCAATGTTTCTGATGTATTTCTCTATTTTGTGTGGTTTTTTTTTCCTAGGTGAGATTTGAAGTACTTACCTCAGAAGCCTCCTACTGCCGGAGTTTGGACATTGTTGTTGAGCACTTTGTCAAGTCAAAACAGCTGGGGGCGCTGCTGACCACTCAAGATAGAAACTGGCTGTTTTCCCGGCTGGCCGATGTCCGTGCCATCAGCCACAGGTTAGAGATGTTTTTGCTTGGATATGTCCCTCAGGCGAAATCATTCAGATCAGACATGAATGAGTCATGCTCAGACATGTATGTGCTGAGCAGATTCGTTCTCACAAATCTTTGGGGGAAATAAACCTAACAGATCTTTATGGTTTCTGTTTCAGTTTTTTGTCAAAGCTGGAGGAGAGGGTGGAATCAGACATCGTGCACTTCGCCGTGTGTGATATCATCGCTCGACACTGTCAGCGCTTCAGAATGGTTTATGTGCCCTACCTCACCAACCAGTCCTATCAGGATGCCACCTACCAGAGACTCATGTAAGCCATCCACTCCAGCTTTTGTATTTTCTCAGTTGGAAGTTAATTTTTGTTGGAGGCTTGGTAATGGATCCAGTGAGAACCACAGCAGGACCATATACTCTCTCTGAAACAAATACTTACCCAATTTCCAGCAGTGAATGTGATTCCCATTTCATAAAAAAAAAAAAACAAAAAAAAAACTGTCTATGCATTCAAATTCTCTTTTTCTTTCAGGAATGAGAATCCCGGGTTCAAGCGGATTGTGGAGAAATTAGAGAGGAGTCCTGTTTGTCAGAGACTCCCTCTTCGTTCCTTCCTTGTCCTTCCTTTTCAAAGGATCACAAGAATAAAGCTGTTGGTCCAGGTGTGTGTGTGTGTGTGTACATGCTCTGTGAAATGGCAAAGGTTGATGGTTCACAACATGTTCAGTCCTGTACCTTTTTATCCACTCTTGACACTCAAACACTGTTTCTGTCCAGAACATCGTGAAGAGAACAACTCCAGGGACTGCGGAGGCGCTGCAGGCCATCAAAGCTTTGAAACTCCTGGAGAAGGTACAGTAGGAGCCCCTTTTTCATACATTACCGTACAGTAATATTTTAATTTTGTTGTAAAATATCCTGGTTAGATTTGACTCCTTGATGATTTTTGTTTCTTTCATTCATTTCTCCTTCAGCTGATTCAAGAGAGTAATGACAGCATCTCTCAGATGAAAAGCATCGAGTCCTTGGTCTCTCTTAGTGCTAAGGTGGACTTTGATTGCAGGGTGAGTAATGACTACCAGGGATAAAGGGAGAAAATCAGTGGGATCACATTGTGATGATATGACCATGCCATGTTACTGTTTTACACATTTCTTTACAAAAAAGGTTTTTCTGACATATAGTTTAATACATCATGACATTGAGTTAGACCAGTGTGAACAATTGGTGATCATATATACGACACATGTAAAACTGATCATGAGATGTGGTTGAAAAGTCCAGAAAAAGTTAGTGACACTCAAAATAAATGATATGCTAACATGATTGTCTTATGTATCTCTCCCTCTCTCTCTTTCTTTATGTGTGTGTGTTATAGACTCTCCCTCTGATCAGTCAGTCTCGGAGGTTGGTGCGAGAAGGAGCGGTCACTGAGCTGATGGATTTCTCTCTGAAAGACACAGAGAGGAGCGTTTACTTGCACCTATTCAACGACTACTTGCTACTTTCACTACAAAAAGAGTGAGTCAACAGACATGTTGTTCTGTAATGTTAGAATGATCCATCGCCAGCTGATGTTCACCATTTGCTACATCACAGTTCTTACTTCGACCGTCTCATTTCTCCTTTGTGCTCTCGCTATCTGCTGTTTCCAGAGGGGGAAGATTCACAGTAATTGACCACTCACCTGTATCAGACCTGCGTGTAGAGAACTGCCGCGTCAAACTTCATTCGTTACAGAAGAACCTGTTCCGGCTCCACATGTCACACAAATCCCTGCTGCTAAGGACTGACACACAGTAAGAGACTGAGACAAATGGCAGGCGATGTCTGTGGTGGTTGTTACATCACAAAAAGTAGAAAAAGCGGCAGGGGATATACCCATCTTTGCTTTTTTTTCCCCTTCAGGAGTGATAAGCTACGTTGGATATCTGCTCTATCCCAGCCACATCCTGAAATAGATTTTTCTGCAGCTCAAGGTAAACTATTGATCCTTTAGTTTAGGTGTTGCAAAGCGCTGAACACTAAAATGAATATTGAACACTAAAATAAAATGGCAGATTGTATTGTTCACCAGGTAGAAAACAGGGGCTGATATAAAAACCACATTTATGTCACATCCTGCAGTTTACATGAGTGGGCAGATGGAGAAAAAAAAAACGTTCACGTCATCCTGTGAGTTGTAATTACGAAATATAGGGTATTTCTGAAAGCCATAAAATCCCCCACTTTGTAGAAAGAAGTGTCATCAAACTAGTGCTATCATCACATACAGTGCAATATAAATAAAATCAAATGTCAAATGTTAACGCTAATGCAATCTGACCAATCTGCAAGAACATGGAGTGTGAATGGAGTGTAACATACAATAGGCAGTGAAATAGTTAATATAAAATAGAAGAAATACCAATCTGACATGAGAAAGGTCTGCAGAACCAGAATCTCTTCTCAGACTTGTTATTTTTAACCCTCTCACTCCTTGAGGATACAATATTACTGACTGGTCAACAGTCACACACAGGGTTGTCTGATTGGTCTTCTGCTGAGTCACCACCGTAGCGGTTGCTAGGGAAACACCTATTTATCTGAGTTGCTCATCCCTGCTATCAGCATATTTCCAACTACACACTGGTACAATAGTGTACCTGTCTCTACACTCGCTAGCTAATCTTGAATGATAACTCATTTCCTACGTCTGGCCTTTAAGAATTTGCAGGTCAAGATAATCTGTTTCTCTTCTCCACCACTCTGTGCACTTATGATTTAATTAACGTACTATTTCTATCTAACTACAAGCAATATGCTTTAGTGAGTATATATTGAATACATATCAGACCAAGTACCGATTACACAAACATCACAGATTCCTTCAACAAAGGCCCTGCACAGTCACACAGGTGTTTTCAATTACCCGGGCTGATTAGACATGTAGTCAGGTGGAGCTGTGAATTACATGATGTCAACTAATATAAGAATTGCAAAAGGTCTAATTAGGCAACATGTGAAAACACTTGTGAACTGCAGGTGGTTAGGGACATTACAAAAGTAGATTTACTGTCTGAGCATTGCAGAATTTGTTGTAATGACCTTTTGACCTATTTATGACTGTATTTGACTGCTTTCTTCTCCTTCCTGTGCAGATTTTCCACAGATGCAGTGTATTCGAGCTTTTGTTGCCCAGCAGCCTGATGAGCTGTCCTTAGAGAAAGCTGATGTCATTCTAGTGCACCAACAAAGCAGTGACAGTAAGTTCATCACATTACCTTTTCCATCATCATCATCATTCCCTTACATGAAGAGCCATTCACCTATCCACAGTTTGATTGTTGCACAGAAAAAGCATTTGATTCCTTAATGTTGGACTCTTTCTTTTTCACAGATTGGGTAGAGGGGACCAGACTGTCTGATCGGCATCATGGATGGGTGCCCAATTCCCATTTGGAAACCATAAGCAACTCTAAAATCCGACAACGCAACCTGTCAGATGCGCTCAGACTTACAACTGCCACAGCTGCTGTTTGATCAGGATACTCAAGAGTGGGACTAAACAGTGGAATGCGCAGTAAAGACATTGCTGTCTGCTTCAAACTGTTGGAAACTGGACAATGGACATTCAGTGAACCAAGAGTGCAGCTGCTGAAATGCTGTTAGAATGCATCTCAATGTAGCATAACCTGGAACAAATATAATGCCATAGTGCAATGGATGAACTGCTGAGGCCTAACTGAAAGACATGAATGGTGTTGTGATTGTGTAAACAGTCGTCTATGTAATATCATCGTGTGTAACATAAGATAATCAATGGACAGGTGTTTTTACAAAGGGATATTGTCTTTTTCAATTTCATTTTCCTTTTTATTTTTGGAAAATTATTTGTGTAAACTGAACAGAATCTAATAGATAATTTTATGATGCATGTCTATTGAAAATTGGGCCCCTGCATGCAGGAGAGCTGACGGAAATAACACAAAATGCACAATTCAAAGATGTACAGAGCTTTGTAGGTTACACATTCAAGACATTTCAATAAACTCAGAATGGTGGAATAAGAATCACTTTTGAATATAAGCATGTCTCGTTGTGAATGAGTTGTGATCATATATAGATATAACTGTGACAACTTGTCAGCAGCAATGTTGCACGTTCAGAGCGAGATTTTAAGCGTTGCATGTAAATCTTGGCATTTTTCTGCAGAAGCTGTTTACAGAACATAGTGAACAGTGCAGATAATGAAAAAAAAAACATTGCACGCTAAGCACGTAGCCTGGCTGAGGCGTGACCGTAGGCGTCACCCTATGTCGGTCTGTTCCACCTTATGTCGGCCTGCTCCAGTTTCCAACTCCTGCTATTGATTAAATATGCCATCACTCAGCGAAAACAAGGGTAGATAGACAGCTGTACCAGGCCAATGAATGCACTGTCATACTGCCTTCTGTTCCCTTTGAATGGCCACATCCCGCTGTCAATCTTTACAGTTCTCTCTGATTGGTCACAGATGTGGTGGGCGGGCTTTGCAGTATTTGTTGTTGTTTTCGTTAAGCAGAATAAGTAGACCAGTCGACATCTTTGAAATTGATCGCATACTTGTACGTTATGACTGTATTTTGAGTTAAAATTGTTCACCCCGGGCATTTGTTTTGAGAAAACTGACGAAACAGAGGACCGAAAGGTTATATCTGGTTTTGTCCTGTTTTTAGTGAAACTTGTTTTTGTCTCTTTCAAAGGTATGTGACGTCTCGTTGCTCTGTTAGCTTTAGTCGTTAGCATTACCGTTGTAAGTTGATTTCTGGTACAGTTTGCAAAACCACTCTCTGCATGTAATATTATAGACGTAGAGACTACATAGATTCGTGTAGTATATCACATTGTGCATTGCTTTTTTCAGTATATTAGTCTCATAAAGAAGACAGGTTAGCGTATCTCGGTGCTGTTGTGAAAAGTGACGTGGCCTCACTTGACGATGACCCCAACCACCACAACATTGTGTCATCGTGATCACAACAGTCTGTGTACACTGATAAAAAGAAAAAACGTTAAGTGTGATTAGTTTGACCGTCAACAATGACTAAACATGAAAGGATACTGTGTGGATATAGTATATCATTAGCTTCACTCGTTACCCCCTGATACTCCTGTTTACTCCGCCCAGGCAAGTAGTAAACAGTGTCTGTTGAAACTGGATAATTCTGGGTTTTCTGATTTGAGAGGATATGACTGTGGTTATTCTTTTTTTTAAAAAAGGTTCCAATTTCTGACAGCGGTAAAAAATCAGGCTATTTTGTTGTTCATTGTATTTTTATATTTTCAATGTTACTGTATATTTACTATACATATTTTCCTAGAAATTAATTGAGAAGATAACCAAATTGAAACGTCTACGTTTAAACGATTGCGATTATTTCCATCATTTATTAATCTACCGATCATTTTTGTGATTAATCATTTAGTCTGTGAAACGTAAACATTTTAGAAAAAAGGACCACCATAAGTTCCCAAAAGTGACGTCATCCCCCCCAAAAAAACTTCTCATCTAAGAGGCTAGAATCATAGATTGTTTTTGCATTTTTGTTTTTGCTGTTTTTGCTTGATTAGTCAATGGATCCTATACTTGTTTCTGCTCTATGTACCTGTCATTCTAAAAATACTATAAAGCGGTCTTATTTGCATCAAGAGCTGAATCTAATGGTCAACAGAGCAAAAAATAATTGGCAACAATATCAATTATAGATTAATCCTTTAAACCATTTTCAAAGATATAATAGTGAAAAAAAATGTAGATATTTCACATCACAACCAGATATATAGGAATAGCTACTCTGGTGAGAACAATAATGCAAAATATATACATACATAACATATTGCCCACCCCTAATATTGTATAGCCTTTACAAAACACTTGATTAAAAGACGCCTGCATCTCATCTAGCAACAAACAATGATGTGCTCTTTAGGCTTTCAGTGTCACTTGTCGACTGAATGCACTAGTTGGTGAAGTCAGACAGTTCTCTTGCTCCTTTGTCTACTTGGTAAATAATGCTATTGTCAGGGACTTGATGTTTTGTTGTGTTGTTTGTTTCCTTGTGTTGTTCTCAGATGGGCAGTCAGTACCAGCGCTCAGTACCGCTAGAGGTGAGGAGAGCAGAGGGCGAGAGAGTTCGTGCTAAGCATCCTGACAAGATACCAGTGAGTGTGAAGACTGGCTTGTTTTGTAATAACATGTTGTGTGAACTGTAAGCAATCTTCAATCAATTAAACTGGGTTAGGAAATTATGTTTGATAATCTCAGTATAGACTTATATTTAACCCCAGTTCACTAAATAAGAGACTAAATCTGTGATTTCTTAAACCAATTTTATCTGTAAAGTAGTGTGAATTTATTGATTGTTGTTTAGATTTTAAGCACATAATCTGTATATCTGTTATTGATGACAAGCTGTTATTGGGTTTTTTTTAAACAGATAATTGTGGAGAGGGCCCCAAGGTCACGAGCTCCTGAACTGGACAAGAAGAAATACCTAGTGCCCTCAGATTTAACAGGTAAAATAATTACACACACACACACACGCTAAAACTTAACAAGTTGTGTTGTCTCAGTTAATTCACATCTAAATCTCAATCACCAACAGTTTTATTATTGATGGTTATTATAGCCTAAATGGATATCGACATTTGAAAGTTTTAAAAATTTTATAATTATATGTCGGCCACTAATAACTTTTTAAAAATATAAACACATGACAGAAACAATCTTGATATGGATCCCTTAGACATTTTACAGTTTAAAAATAAACTTGCTCTCAGTGCTCTCTGGTGGACAAACTATGTAATGGAGACTCTTGTTTCTAAATGACGTCAAATCAAGTTTGGCATTTCTGTACTGCAGTTTCTTGTTCGATATCAGCTGACAAATAATCAGATATCTCTGCAATGAGCTAATATTGGGTGATATATTGACCTTGCTGATCTATTAGTCGAACTCTAATGGTTACATAAGCCACCTTTGACTTGGATGAGGCCAATTCAAGATTGGATGACTGGCTGGCTCACTGCTGATGCACCATCCAAACCTTGATGAACTGATCAGGGTGACACGACTGTTTTTTTCCTAGTGCTCTGACTGTATAGACCTGTATCACAGCAAACATTTTGACATGTCATAACAGGGAAAGACCAGGTGTCTTTAATTACTCACTGGAACACTTAAAGGAACTGAGTTGTGGTTAATGTTAGATAGCCAGACGGTGAGGTTTTTTAAGAATTCCAGTGATGTGTATCTCCCTTTGCAATTGCAAATGACTGCTTAAAGCTTTTTTTGTCTCTGTGATTGAATCTGATCCCTTTCTCAAAACTGACCTACGACCTGTCCCACACATGTTTGTTTTCTTCCTCCTCACATGAAACAAATCTACTGCATGTGACCCTCACTGCGACCCTTGCTGTGACCCTCGTTGACTTGCATCTTGCTCTCCCTCTTTCTCTCTCTCCTTCCTTTTTTTAGTGGGCCAGTTGTGCTTCCTGATCCGTCAGCGTGTGTCTTTGAGACCAGAGGAGGCTCTCTTCTTCTTTGTCAACAACTCCCTCCCCCCATCCAGCTCCCCTCTCTCCGCTGTATATGAGGTAACTGCATCTGTCCACACACGTGTTCACATGAAGATTCTCCCCAACACACACACACACACACACACACACACACACACACACACACACACACACACACACACACACACACACACACACACACACACACACACACACACGTTACCAGCAGGAGTACATACATACTGACTGGGATTTTTCAGATCACTGTCACAGTCTGAAGCGACATCACTGAGGTCTTTCATTTTTCACCCTTCCCCAGCAACACAACAAACTAAAAATGTTTTGCCAGCTGTGGCTAGATAAAATCTGTTAAATCAGCAACATTGCTTCACTTTTCTTGAGCTCACAAATAGACTTCCAGTTACACCATTTACTGTAATGATGACTTAATGATGACAGCCATTCAGAAAGTGAAAATCAGCAGTTTGTTGTGTTTTCAGAAAAGAGCTGTTTGTGTGTATTTTCAGCTTATCGAAGTTTGGAAGGTGTAAAGCCAGCGTGTATTTAGAGTAATTTTTGTATTCATCTTATAAGAAGCTTTATTCTCCACAAGTAATTAATTATCTGGTCACATGAATTTCTAACTGCAATTATGTCATTGAAACAGAAGTTCTGTTTTGCTTATTGGGCGAATATGTGGTTAGTTCAGATTTGTCAGTCAGAGTACACACTCTTATGTATTCTTGTAATGCTAAATTATGCATTATTGTGTGTTTCGTTATTTTCCAGGAGCACCATGAAGAGGACCTGTTTCTCTACATGACCTACAGTAATGAGAGCGTGTATGGTGCCTGAGGGAGGACAAAAGACTGGAGAAAGAGACAGAGAGAAGACAAGAGGAGATTAAGTGAGACTGTCTGAGGAATAAAGAGTTATGGCTGTTTGTAATGTTTCACACCACTATTATTCTCTTTGATATTAGTTTTGATAAGTAACAGTACAGTACATGGTGGAAGAAAGGCTTCACACAAGGCAGAGGGATTGCTGGTAGGTTTTTACCTTTGTCAGTATTTCGGGTGTTGAGCATAATGCATTTTTATTACACTTCAAGTTATGTTGATCCCTTTCATGGTGAAAGAAGAAAGAGGAAGGTTGAAAAGAAAGAGAGAACTCATATAAAAGGAAGTTAATGAAATTATGTTGAGACAGCTCTCGGTATCTTTCTCAGTCATCTGTATTTAATGCAAATAGTATTTTTTCTTTTGTAAATTAATATCAAACTTTTGTGGAAAATAAAGATGAAAACGCAAAAATTCTGATTTCTTCTCTTCCCATTATTTTCTATTATTGTGTGTGTGTGTGTGTGTGTCCATCTGTCAACTCTGTGGTTTTAGATGCCAATAGAAAAAAAAAAACATGAAAAATTTAAAGCAAAACCATTTAGGCTTTTATTGCATTGAAGGATTAAAACATTATCTTTTTATATATTTGGCCCTTTTCAGAGTATAACGCATGGTCATCACATATTCTTAACATGCATGGTTAGACAATGTATACACACAACCGCCTTCCCCCAAAGCCACATGTCCCCTGTCTACATGTGTTTTAGAGGAAGGACAAAGTCAGGGGAGAAATCTTCATGGGGAAGTGTTCTGTCTTCACGGATCTGGAGAGCCACAATTTAAGTCTGGGACATTTGTTGGCTTCATTTTTTTCTTTTCTCTTTCCATACCAAAAATTTTACATATTGGCACATTAGTTGCAAACGGTGTTTCTTCTACACTTGTGCCTGCACAATTAAAGGATTACATAACCTCATTGTTTGTTGACCAGCCCTCTCTGAAAGACTTCCTGGGTAAAACGAAAGTCAGAGATACAGGAGAGAAGAGCCATGGAAATGCAGGAGATCATCACAGAAAAAGAAAAAACCAAAGAAGATGAAAAAGCAAGCAAACTGATGCTGGAGGTCAAAAATGAAGGTACAAGAAATTTAATGAATTCAGGTAACACTTGATAATAAGAATAGAAAACACAAGCCTATATTGTAGTACTAAAAATGTATGCACCTTATTGGAATGTTTGACAAAAATATTTCTATTTGACAAATATTTCCAAAAGGTGTAATAAAACACTAAAAATGTACTAATATTAATGAAGATTTGATTTTGTTATATTTAAGTTTATAATACACTGAATATTTGGAAAACTCCAGCTGGTTTATGTCTCATGTTGAAATACTTCTATATTTTTGTCTAGCTTTAGAGGAAGTAGACCCAGGCCATTACTCCAAACTAGAAAATCTACCTGAGGACATCTATTCAGAAGCTTGTCCGAGTGACTTTCCGGCTAAAACAAAAGCAGGTACAAAATCATATAAAATGTGTGTCTTCTCTTAACTGTGCGGCAGAAACACCCACAGACAGTGTGTTTCAGCATAACTCTTAGCATGCAGGTCTGTCTCTGTGAAAAGACATAATAGAAAAAATGTTTTTGATATAAAACAACATGACAAACTGTTTTTCGTTTTGTTTTGACACCTCATAACTGCTTAATCATACACTAAATTACAATTTGATTTAAAAAAAAAAAAAAAAAAAACTGTACAGAGCTTTCTTGCATCATCTCATCAACATTAGTGACTGAAAAAGTGAACAAAGTGGAAACAACACCATTACACTAGTTTTGGGAAGAGTGTACGCCTAACATGTAATCATCTGTAACATGCTCATTAGAGACAGTCTCCACTTGTTAAAAGACTAACTGTAGAGTTTGGTGACCGTTAAATTCCAACATTTCACCTGCCTTTAGAAAAAAAAAGCTGTAATAATATATTTAGACCTTTGCTATGTGTTAAATAAACACAACACAGGGACTTCAGGTAAAATTTCACATATTTTTACCACATGTAGTAGTAACTATTTTTGGAAATCTTGTTAGACATTTTTACATTTCTCTGATGTAACTGATATAAAAATAATTATACAGTCTTTTGTATATTCGTAACATTGCTCCAAAATAAAGTTAAAATGCGTAGGGTTGCAGCTAATGATTATTATTAATAATTATTATGATGATTCATTTTTACTTTTGTTTATTCATATTTTATTTATTAGATATTTCAATTAATTATTACATCTAAACAACAGTTCAAAAGCAAAAGACATTCAGTTTACTGTCACAGAGGACTAAGAAAACTTTAATGTTTAACCAATGACTCAAACAATAGATTCATTATTAAATGTGTCGACAGTTTTCTGCTATTCAATTAATTAATCACTTCAGCTCTAGTGGTAAGGAACATCCTTCATGTTAACCAGCATGAGAGCTTCATCCTTGCTCTAGTTAACTTGAGCTCCAAACATTGTATTGTGAACGGGGTTCAAATGTAATCCACTTTAACACACTAAATATTTACACATACATGTTAAGCCTATAATAATAATGCTATGCGTAAAAGAATATTTGTTAAAATTTCAGTATGTGTAATATATTGAAATATTAAAACATTAAATTGCCTTAGAACTTAAAAAATGTATTATTCATGGAAGAATGTAAATTACAGATGCTGAATATTAAGAACTGTATTTATCATTCATTTCTGTTTCTCATTAATAACTATCACTTAAAAAGCTCAATTAGTAATCCAGATGTAAACAGGCATTACACTGACTGGTACAAGAGGGCAACTAAATATAATATAATTTTTGCTGTCTGGTCTTTTAAATGCTTGGTTTATACATCATTAATTTTTGTGAACATGGGAGTAAAATATGCTTTAAAATTATGCTTAGTTGACAAACAAGATAGTTTCACCCAAGCAAACTCTTTATTTGATAATATATTTTTATTTTATAAGGTCAAATAGAGTTGAGGTTGTAAAGTTTCAAGGGAAAATATTTTGTCACATTAGAAAAAATTCAATTAATTATGGATTCAGGGTTCGGGTTGTTCCTGCTAGTTCACTGTCATAGCACGTTGTCATGACTTACTGGGACACTTGGACAGAACAGAGCCATCATGTTATTATTAGTAATAATTCTGCTTTTCCTCCTATGACAGGGTTACAGTGTGAAAAGTAACTAACACAATTCATTGTTCTCCTAAAATATCTACATTTTCTAAAAAAGGTTTGTTTAACTAGCTGAATGTGTGGCTGCCTACACCTTCACACACAGTTTGTCTGTTCTGTTCAGTCTGTACATTCTGACACATCCACTTTTCTTTATGCCTTTTATTTTGTTATATTGCACCAGTTCAAAAACCAAGAAAGAAGACAGTGATACGGTGAAATAGCACCGCAGTTACTGTTACTGTTACTGTTTTGAATGACAAGCCTTTAAACATAATAGTCATTAACGTGCAAAAAAAGAGGCAATGATGCAAACTTAAGCTAATGCAACACAGCTTATTATCCTTTCTTCAACTCGAATGAAATCATGGCCCACGTGTCTACAAGAAATTCTGTGAAAAGAATGAAAAAGTTTACATTGTCGACTTGAGTGAGGCCTTGTTTGATTTTCCTTTGCTACACAAGATCCTGCACTTCGCGTACAGTATTTACAGACAAACGTTAGCAGACAGACAAACGTTTGAAATCTACATCAGTGATAACCACATGTTCTGTCTCTGAACTGTGTTTGACGCAAACACTTGAATGCCTGAAAAGCTCTGACCTGAAATGACCTTAGGGAAGGACGCCTATCTGTTGTTTTGGAGTACAGAGTCTCTATGCTGACAGTAACTGTCTGTGCCTCTTTTACTCTCTCACACAGACACTCGTTCTTTAAGAGAGGGACAGAGAGATACAGTAAAAGTTCTGAGGACTTTAAGGACAAGTCGAGCCCTGTTCTCCATGATTAATTTAGGAATCAGTGAAGGTCATGTTACTATGGTGACGAGGCAAGGTGGGAGGTGGGGGTGTCTTAAAACTGCACTGCCACAGGCAGACGGGGATTTGCTGGACAGGAAGACGGAGCAAGAGAGGGTAAACAAGCCTCCTCACAGATCCAAGGACATTTTCCTCCATGTATATCAAATTCTGTCGCAGCTATGGCGGGGATAAAAAAGATGAAGCCAAGGAAAACTTGTCATCCAAATTATCGGTTGAGCTGGAGGGGGAGAAAGGTAGGCCTCAGCTGTTTTTTTCTAAGCCTTGATGGTGGTCTATGTTGTGGTTACTGAAACAACTCACTGATATCTGGTTGATGTTTTGTTCCTCAGGGAAACAGACTGACGGAAATGCCCGCCTGTTCCGTGCTGGCTGTTTATTCCTCACAATAATCTGCCTGGTCCTGCTGCTGGTTATCATTATCCTCGGTTTGAAACGTGAGTATCTGCAGCCATGCCAGTGAATTCATGCCAGGGCTTTAAAAACAGACCACCGCTGGCTGGATTATGTTTGCAACAACAAAAGACTGTAGCTATTAATGGCAATGCAGAATCAAAAGAATATGAAAAATACAGTAGGCCTGTATGTTAGGATCATGTAGCTTTCATTGCAGTTTTTCTCATAACAGCAGACAATACTGGAATACAAAGTGGGGCTGATTGTATTGCTGCATCCTGAAGACATTATTCTTTTCCCCGACAACTCCTCCCACTGTGCTCTGATTTCTAGTTCAAACTGGATCCACAATCTGCCCAGAGAGAGAGGAAATACCAGCAACAAACAATGGCCCGACTTGCGACTACGAACAATGCCAGAACCAATTCATCACCCTTCAACCCCATCGTGAGTGCAATGCTAGTAAAAACAACAAATGGGAAGTAAAATACCTTGTACAAGACAAAGAAACATCTAGATAAGAAAAAGAAATTATACATCGTCAAACACCATGCTTTTTAGTAAGAGTTCTGCTTTTACAGTTTCCCCAAATAGTTTTTCAGACAGAGGAAGTCAGTTTATGTGGTTGTTTTTTAGAGAACTGGGAACATTTTTAGGTTATTTAGAAAAAAAGTCAGCTGAGTTTAATCAGCTTTATTAGTTCCTCTTCGACTAACAGTATTACCTGATTAGATAAGGACACATGTATATAGAAACCTACAAACAAAATCTGGCCAAAAATTCGAATAAAAACAAAACCATAAGGAAAAACAAAAGTAACTGAAAGCTTTAAGTCTGCTTTGGAATTATTTAAATGTCAGAGGATATCTAAATTGGAATAGTTCACATTTGCAGAGTGACCTTTTGTTTATCTTGCTGCTTGAGCATTTTCTGCACTGAACGTCTCTCCCCTTCTTCCAGGCCTCGGCTGCCAGCAGTGTGCAGACGGATGGCTGACTCTTGGACGGACGTGTTTTTACCTGTCCACCTTCAGGCTGAGCTGGGATAAGAGCCAGATGAACTGCACCGCTAGAGGAGGATCTTTGGCTGTCATCACCAGCCAGAGCATTCAGGTGGATCTCAAGTCACTTAAGCTCTCGGTGCCACTCACTTCCTTCCTTGATGGTAGTATGGTAATAATTTGTGTTAATGTGAATGGTGCTCTATCTTGTAGAGATTTCTGACTAGGAAAGGGATCCTGAAATACTGGATTGGGCTGAGACACGAAGTAGATACATGGAAGTGGGTCAACAACAATACCCTGCAAAAGAGGTGATTCTTTTGTCCTTTCTAGCCGTCTGGTCCCTTTATCTTTTTTCTTTTTTATGTTTGTTAATTTATATTTAGGACCTATGAGTCAGTTTTACATTTTGTCTGAAAGTGGGAAGGAGATTACTTTACTAACAAATAACTACAGTATCCTGTGATCACAATATAAAAGTTAATTTTGTTTGCAGTTATTGGACCGATGGTATGCCACAAGGGGATTGTGGGATCCTGAGCAGTGAAGACCCATCTGAGAAGAACTGGATCAAAGCGCCCTGCAAAGCCTACTCCTACTTCATCTGTCAGGTGGCGTTCTGACAGCATTGTCTTTTTTAACAGAGAAATTAGCAAACCAATTCTCTGTCAACAAGCATTTACAATTTTCTCAATAACATTTCAAATAATTTCTCTTTCCACTTTACACCTCAATCAGCAGTCTCCAGCAAACTTATATATTCTTGTAGCATTTTGTAGCATAATTTGTATGTATATGATGCTTGTAAGCACTTTACTACTAATCAGAGTATATCTGTATCTTATGTTGGATCTATGTTACTGTATGATCCAATATATTACTGTATGACTTTTTTTAATAAATATATGTCAGTGAGTCTGTTTCAACAAGGTTTTATTCTCATATAAAAATGGTCATGCATCTACATAAGTTGAATGTCTACATTCCACTGTTTTAGCTTGGTATATATTACTGCTACACATTTTTTCCATTGCTATAAAAATAACACACTTTTCTATAGCATAATACTGCAGGAATAGTTGCACTGCGGACTATATAGAGAAACTGAGAATGTTGAGTCTTCTCGCAAGTTAGTTCAGTGAAATTCATCAACTCTTCAAGTCTACTTCATATGTTCAGGACTGTGAGATGATGGAAAGCCTCAGAAAAAGCACGTCAGGCTCAGGCAGAATCTCATTCTAAACATGTTTAATGTCCTGGTCCTCCTCTGGGTCCTCCTGCTCCATCTCCATACCCAAAGCGCTGTGGCGAATCATCTGCCAGCCTGTCAGAGTCCTCCTGTTAAACCCTCCTCTGTTTTTGGGTCTGAGGTTCAGAGTTCCTGTGCTCGGCCCCTTTATTGTGTCAGTCTTCTCCAATCCATCCATTTCCTTTTCATCCTCTTTGGAGAAAGCTTTGATGTATCGTCGCATCTTTTGCAACATTGAGTCATTTCTGTCCTCAACCCTGCAAAGAGGATCGAGTAAACCACATAAACACTATTACACTGAAAACTATTTTTGATCTATTTGGAGATGAAGTGTAATTTCATTTTTGGTGAACCCTCATCAACTGTTTATTTCGCTTTTTTCACATACTAAGAGACAAAAATCTGTTCCACTGACCACAAACTAAATGACCTTTAATGCTCTGCAGCTGCGACTCATGTTGTGCTGTGAGTAGGAAGCACAACTCTGATACTGATCTGATACTGTGCTATTACCTTCACTGCTGCCACACCTACACACACAGACTGCAACAACAATATTTAAATGAATAGTTCTACATTTTGAGAAATGTACTTGTTTGTTTTTTTCAACAAAGTTAGATAAGAAGATACGACTCTTATGTCCACACGGTAAATAGTATACTACATCCAGCAGCTGGTTAGCTTAGCTCAGCATAAAGACAGGAAACACAGGGAAACAGCTAGCCTGCCTCTCTCTAAAAATAATACAATCCCTACCAGCACCTCTGAAGCTCATTAATAAACATGTTTATTTAATCTGTAAAAAAAAAAAACCAACGTGTAAAAATGACACGTTGAGGTTGCCAGGTAACCAGCAAAGACTTTGGCAGATTCTGTTCTCTCTGGACAGAGTCGGGCTGTTTCCTCCCGTTTCCTGTCTATATGCTAAGCTAAACTGAGCTAACTGGCTCCTCTCCTCGTAGTGTCATATTTACCATACAGCCATTAGAGTGGCGTTGATGTTCTCATCTAACTCTCAGCAAGAGAACGAATAAGTACATTTCCTAATATGTCTGTGTTAAATTTGCTCTGGTCTGTAAGTGGTGGTGATAATAATAGTAGCAGTAAGAGAGTGAGATTTGTGCTTCCTACTCACAGGACAACATGACCAGCAGCTGCAGCGCTTTAACGGCTACTTAGGTTGTGGTCAGTGGACAAACTCGTGTCTCCCTGTGTGATTATTTCTATTGAAAATAGAAAGCCTAAAAAAAGTTTTTACTGTATGGTCTCATATGATGTCAGCTTTGTTATGAATGTTTCTGCTATATTAGGGTGTGGTTTCCCTCTCTCTCTCTCTCTCTCTCTCTCTTACCTGAGATACCAGCGCTCCTTCAGGCCATAGTTTATCCCACACACCCCGAGTCGAGGCCACAGGCAGCGTGGCAGCCTCCGCTCCAGCATCAAAGTTGTGGCCACCACCTGCACATTATCATAGTATAGCTCTTACTATAACACAGCGATGCACGGCGACATGACGAGTCCACGTTGTCGTCGGTCTATATGCGTGTGTTACCTGGGTTCTCCAGAGCTCATCTCTCTCCTGGGCCACCCTCCAGTGTGTGTCGCTCATCATAGCTATCAGTAGGTTTAGCAGCAGGATGTAGGAGACCACAGAGAAGGCACAGTGAACCACATGAACGATCGGGGGTGTAATGATGGTATGTTCAACAGGCAGGTCTATGAGGCCTACACTGAGCTCAAACTGGGAGAAGAGAGTGATGGGGAAGGAGCGATATGCAGGGATGGCGTCAGGCTCCTGGGTCATATACACCATCCACAGGGCTGAGAGGGAAAATAAAAAGAGTTCAAGATCTTCACTGCTGAAAAATCTTATTTCAACAATTTCTTATCTTAGAAGCTTTGTGAGAATAAAAGGCTTGCTTGTTATTGTCTATCTGAATATACTCACAGGTGGAAAAACCAATGAGCACAATGACAGTCAGCCACATAAACTTTGTCAGGTCTCCAAATATAATCTAAAGGGAAATGAGACACAAGGTTGTTCGGTCTGAAAACACAAATGGGTGAACCTCAAAAAGCAGTACAGGTGCGTACGGAACAAGCTACTATTTCAACATCACTCATGAGATCCTATGTGTCTGGGTCCAGATTGAGCTGTCTCCTACCTTCTGTATCATGATGACATAAGGGCCGAGCATTTCAAAACCTCGGGCGAAGAACATGACGTTGCACCAGCCCAGAACTAAACACACTGCCATCACCACGGCCTCCCCCTGCACCTCGCAGGCTCTGAACACACACAGCAGCACCACCAAGCAGGCGTAGCCGATACTGGTCAGCACAACACAAACAGCAGAAAAGGTTAGAAGGTATTTCACAGCAGTATGCTTTATCTTAGTGCTGAGAGGTGTTTGGGCTTACAGGATGACATGGAAGGGGCCTCCCAGAGCTGTCTGGCCAAAGTAGCGCTTTGCTCCCACTCTCAGTATATCAGGGATCTGTTGGAGAGAAGAATACAGCAGGATTTGTATGCATATATAACAATATACAATATGCATGAAGATGAAGCATGATTCATAAATCTACCTCCAGCAACAAGATGGCAAAAGCTCCTAGGACGCTGATGACTTCTCCTGCCAGCCGCAGGTTGTCCTCATATGTCACATAACTCTCCTGAGAGAGAAGAAGAGGAAATGTAGTTTGTATTAATAATAAAAGCACATTAGTGTTATACTGTTGGTCATATGCAGGTGCACAGTACAAACAGTAAGATACATACAGGCTACAGCTCCTGGTTTTTGTACTTTTAGAGTATTTGTGTGATTTTGTAATCGTCTTATTCATATAGACTTGACATTTACTACCCTTTAAAAAAAACCCTCCATAAACAGTCCTGTAACAGTATGAGTATTATCATCAAAATGTCTTAAAATTTGAATTATATATATATATATAATATATATATATATATCACGTCATTAACTCCAACACACATTGAGTGTTTTCTGGATCCGGATTGTTTTGTCCATGTCTGACTGTGTGTAGTTCTCCGGAGCGTCCTTCAGGGGGCGATATACACAACACAGTGTGAAAATCACGATGTACAGCAGATACAGAAGCAGCAGCAGCCTGACACAGAGAAAAGGGAGAAAAAGCACTGTAAAACAAGGCGGGACATGTGAACAGTTCATATATTTTACTTCAGAGAAACAGAAGAAACTTTACCTGAAGTAATGTTTTCCATACAAGTTCCACTTCAGACTGACCAGCTGCCTCACAGGGGTCACCTCCAGTATCCCCCTCGCCTGGACAAGAGAAGAAATGTCTGTGTTTCTGCTCAGCATCAGACCAAACTAATTTCTGACTAAATATGATAAGTGCTAAGTGCTGTATATCTTGATAGATCGTATTGTACCTCTCTCTGGTGGCTGCCCACAATAAGCTCCAGCACTGACATGTCATCGGCCCATGAATCAATCTCGGTCAGGTCATACAGGTTGGAGGTCAAAGGGCCCAGACTCCACTGGACTACACGTCTTTTATTAACCAGGTGCTGAAATGCCTGAGAGAGACAGAGGGAATCACAGCAGTGAGGCCAGGATTAGTGAAATAATCTGCTCCACCTTTCATGCCAAGGTTTCACCCTGTGAGACCTCCTAGGTTTCACTCACCACGATGTTGCCCTCTTTGGCAGCCAGTTTAAAAGGTGTAAGGCCTCGGTAGTTGGGCACCATGTCGAGTGGTAGTGACTGGTCCAGCTCTGCATCGCGTGCCATAATCAGGTCAATGGCCTGGCACGCAATCATCTTGTTGGGCTGCAGAACTAAAATGTGAAGCACTGTGTTGCCTAAGGAGGAAACAAGGAGGAAAAAACAAGAACGTGTATGACAGGAGGTACAAGAAGAGAAAAAAGAAAGACATCAATAATTAAATTAGCAGACAGATGCACAAATATGAAATAATATTGTATCTTCTCTAACTCTCCTACAACGTTTCATACCTCGGTAATCCTGGACCCTGGTGTTGGCCCCTGCATCGATCACCATGGAGATAATGTCCTCGCTCCCAGCACACGCAGCAAAAGACAAGATGTGTTCACCTATCGAGCAAATGCACATTTTGAAAAACACCATCTGTACATTACATTGGCAGGTGCTTTGGTCCTAAACAGTTTTTTTTTTTTTTTTTTTGCATATACACATTCATCAGGATCATTTGGGGCTCGTTGTCTTACTAAAGGAAACTTCTACATGTGGACAGGAGGAACTTGGGGTTGAAGCTACCACCCTTGTGATTAATGGCTGACCCACTCTACCAACTGAGCGTACCCGCCCCGTATCTTTAAGGCTCACTCATTCTGACTTACCGTAGTATATGAGTCCTCCTATCCTCTTCCTGAAGTACAAGCCGGTGACTCGAGGGGTAACCACATCACCACCTCGACTAATGAGGTGATAGACCAGATTGGTGTTCTGATTCACCACAGCGATGTGGAGAGGAGTAACGCCTGAGACAGAGCAGAGATAGACAGTGAACATCAGACCACTGTGAATGAACAAAATTTCACCATTTTCACCTGTTGTGCAAGTGAGGCTTACATTAAGTAGCAATGCCACTCTATGTTACAGCTATCCAAACAACATGTGCATTACATTTGGTAGTGTCACACTCAAGAAGGGAAAATGTAAATTGTTGCTTATGTTTATCCTTTTGGTGCTTTTGTAAATAATAAAGTCAAAAAAAGGTAAAAATTCAGTTAAAGCTTCTTTGTGTGAAGGTTTGTTTTTGCAATTTGGCACATTCAATGATTGTAATTCATTTATGATGTAATTTTTCTAACCTAAATATTATGTAATCCATCATAGCCATCTTAAATCTCTAATGCAACTATTTACATCAAATGCCTCTACATTCTCAGGCAGCACTTGTGATTTAGAAACACATACATGTGCAGTACATCCATATTTGAAACTAATAAGAAATCTTGATGAATGAAAGTAATACAAAAACACATGGGAGTGAATGGGTTAAACTGGCCTCAATCTATCTCTTCCATTCGTCTTTAGGTTTTTTTAGTTGCAGCCTATAAAGCAGGTAACTTTACCGGCACATGTGTAATAAAACTTTCAACCACATGATTACGTGTTTGTGCTCGTGTCTGTGTCTATGATTTTATGTATGTCAACCTTGGAAAAGCTCAGAGGTCATGGGCTCGTTGATGAGTTCAGGGGCTCCGTCCATCAGGGCCACAGCAGCCTCCAGGTTGTCATTCATCACGGCGATATGAAGCGCTGTCTCCCCAAGAGCACCTGAAAGGGAAGATCACAGCTTCATAACGTACGACTGACACTGAAATAAGAACACAGTGGAGTTTAAATTCACAGTGCAGCCGTACCTCTTTCAAAGATATTAGTGGATGCAGAGCTCAGCAGTTTCTTGATGCAGCCTACACTGTTCTGTTTAGACGCGTAGAACAGAGGAATGTCATTTATGCTGAGGGAAGAAGGACAGAGGAAAAACACCAAGTTAAGCTGTATTTAAACAGGTTAGGCTTTACTCCAGCATACCATTCACATTGACATAATCTACTATCTACTCTATCTTTGGAAGTTTCTTACTATTTACTGTGGAGCAGAAACGTCTCATCCAACATCTCGTTCCATCCTTTCTTGTTCTGAAGGCGAAACCTCAGCTGGCTCCACCAATGGTTGAGCTCGCTCGGAGCAGATCTGGCCAGAGACGGAGACATTGACACCTGGTGTTTGACTGGAAGAAACAATTTGAGAATGAAAATCATGCATCAGAGAATCAATCAATCTACAGTTAATCACATCTAGACCAGCAGACAGGAATGACTTCATCATTCTGGCCTTGAAAAAGTATTTTGGTGTTGTTTTTATTCAGTTGTATTTTCTTTCAAAATAAAATACAATAAAACAAATGAATAAAAAGAAAAGAAAGTTTCGGATCCTTACCCTTAAACAATAAAAGTGCCGGTCCTCAACTTCTGGTGATACTCAGTCATAACACTGTCAAAATTGGAAACAACACCTATAACATGTCCCTGAGGAGAAGTGAAATCCCTGTGACATGACCATTATATATGACCCGGCCATGAGGGAGGAGACATGTGGAAGGATTGAGAATGAATGGGTGGAGAGGGAGGATGAGTGAACAGCAGAAAGGCAAGACAGAGAGAGTGAGGCGGTAATGAGCAGGTAGACTTTCACCGCAGATAAGAAATCCCACAGCGAAAGTTGTGCTTTTAGGTCCAGCTCACCGTTGGACCAGGAATTCCTTTATCATGCTGATCTGAAATTGTTGGCTCGATTCAGTCACCTTAAAAGTGAAGTGACAATGGTCCAGTCCCTAATTCCAGTATATCTCTCCTATCACCAGGCCTGTCTGCATTCCTCTAACTACCACCAAAACCTGCATGGCCACTATGAAAATTCTGCAACATCATGACAGTCAACACATTGCCATCATTGTTTCTGGTGAACCGTTTAGGAAACCTGTTTGGAAATTGCAAGCTTGTATGTCTGAACACTGGTCTGTAATTTAAATCAGATATTAAGGTAAGATAGTCCATTATGTGTTCTTTTAATTGGGGAAAAATTTTCCAAGTGAATCTGGGATTATTTGTTGTAGTAAATATGGAGATGATGTATGATTTTCCAACATGTTACATCTTGTACACACACACACACACACACACACAGAAAAATACTTTCATTCACAATGATTTAACTTGTTGAGCACCATTGATGTGTCAACAGGAATGATCACAAACATGGTAATTGCCACATTACAAAGACCATAATGAGCATTTGGAGGCTGGCAACATCATGTCCGATGAGGGCATGTCACTTTCCTCTGAAGGCGGGAAATAAAGCTAATGCTACATTTTGTTTTGTGAAATTATCATTTTTTCATCTTTAGAGTTGAAGTAACTGAATGACGCAGACTCACAGATTTCATTTCCATGCACATACATTATTTGTAAACTGCTGAATCAGTCGCCTTTTACAATATCTCTGCCCAACCTGGTTGTAGTGTTCAGGTATTTTGCTGCAGCATTTATAGGTCATGACTAACAGGCTGGTTAACCACAGGATAAACAGGGTTTAGGGAGACTCTATAGGAGGCCCCGGTAATGGTTGCCGATGTGGCAGTCATTTAGTATTGTGGAGATAATAGTTGTTTACCAGACGGAGCGCACCATCTTTAAGTAGTGTCATAAAGACCAGTGGTTTCCAGTCTGTTAATGTCTTTATAAAGAAACAATAACACCATAAAAACATGATTTTGTGGTTTGTGTGTCCACTGTTTCTGAACGTACGTACCAACATCTCTTTCACAACACTGTGTTCAAATGTGTTGGGACACCACAGCAAACAATCATTACAGACATCCCTCGTACATTTATGACAGCCGGCAGATGCTCTTATTCAGAGTGACTTCACACAACAGAGCTCAATCATCATTATTAAAACAAAAGCAAGTTTACTGATTGAACTGCCATAACTTTCCTGAAAGTTGAAAAAATAGTTAATAAATATTTTTGTTTATCGACTTCACCTCGACCAGCTACAACAACAATGTTGCTCATAAAAAAGTGATAATCCTATAATCCTATAATATCTAAGTCATGTGAAAGGGGCCATTCGGCATGATGAGTACTTTTGTTCCCGTAGTATTGCTGATAATACTGAAGTAGTACTTCTTAATTCTTAACATTATTGATTCATTTTCGTGTATAAGAAGCATTTTAATGTAGCTGGTAAAGGTGGAGCTCGTTTTAGCTACTGCTGGGTAGTTTTAAAACTTGAGCGCATGTACTTAGTTACTTTCCACCATTGGATATTTCCTGTGTTCTGAGTATTTCTGCAAATGACCCAGCAGTGACATTGAAACAATGTGAGGAGTCTGATGTACAGTGAAATACATGACAGTGAGAGATGGATCTGACCGGCAGAATAAATGTCAGAGTATGTGCGAGTGGACTTGTTATCGGCCCGGATCTGGTCTGATATCAGCGGGACATGTGGGAAACCTGTCCCTGTTCTCCAACAGCTGCTGATCCCAGCAGATCCCAAACTCTGATTTGACTCAAACCTGCTGATCTGTGGAACCTGAGAAACATGGAGTCCCCTCTTTGACATTGTGAATGTGATAATATGTCTCCAAGGTGAGTATACTATTATTAATTTTGTAGCTGCATTGAAACTGGTGTATACTCCAGGTGAATATGATGGAGCTCAATTAGACAACCTTGCATGGTTTGGTTTGAAATGCATGAATCAGTTTATCAAACATTGCACTATGGTTTCTCTGTTGGATGTCATTCGGGATGACAGTGTTAACTGGGAAGCACTAACTTGCACGGTATGACTACATTACAGCTTATTTTCGTAATTTTCTCTCTGTGAGTGACATTGTTCGTCTTATACTGATTGCAATTTTTTTTTCTTTTAGTTGATTGGCAGGTAAAACACACTTACATTTGTTTGGACAAATAATACTTAGTAAAACAAGAAGCAAATGTGTTTTTAAATAAAATCATATCATTTATTTTACAAATTTGCACAATTATGGAATAGTGGTGAACACTCATACAAGTAAACACAGCTAATAATGTGTGTAGCCTGACACACCTGTCTCAAACACGCACGCACACACGCACACACGCAGCATCATATACAACATATACCTGATGTACATATTAACACAGCCTCATGTACGGCACACACAAGTTACAGACGCACAGGTACATACTTACAAAGCATTTCGCCTTCGTCCTTCAAGTGTAAATCAGATCAGATTTTGTCCATCTTTCTCATTTCACACATTCACAATGCTTCAATGACTCAGTGTCTTTACTCTAGCAATCAAACTAAAAGAGGTGAAGTGTGAAATGTACACATAAAGGTGAGTGCTGTCCGGTTCTGTCCTCTTCACAGATGGACACTTGTGTTTGCAGCTGTGGTGACGTTTGTAGCCTTTGACAGTCTATGATAGGCCTTCAGTGAGAGTGAGTCATACAAACAGGGCTGCTCTCAGACCATGGATGTGTCTTTTAAACAGGGAAAAAACATGGCTTACAGTTAAAAAAAGTTAAAAGCATCTTTTTGTTTAGTTTTGGTTTTCCAAATCTAACCTCAGGGTTTGTGCTACTGACCTTGGACATTTTGCTCAGACATTGAGCAAACTATACATTTTTCTGAAAGCTAATGGTAAGACCTTATAAGGCAAACCATAGGTTGCTAGGTAGTACGCAGTTTTCTCCTTTTAGCATTTGGCATTTTAAGTAGAGAGGAAGTGATAAAACTTTACAAATAACTCAAAAAATATTAGAAAAGAGCTTTGATTGTCTTCACGCAATTCTTTGTGAGGAGAGATTTTAACAGTACTTTAACAAAAAATATTTCTAAACTTTTATTGTACTCGATGGGGAAATTGAAAAGTTCGAGGGAGGGACAGTCGTGGAAGAGAAGGTGAGAGGTAGGACTGCAGATGGGTGAGGAGAGAGGATAGCAGACGACAGTAAAGTGAAATCTAGTGAAAAACATAGTGGAATCTTTAAAGTCCTCCTCCTCCTTAGCAACTCCCTAACCTTACTTTGATCTGGACTCCAGCCTCGACAGAGAATCTCTCTTCTGTTATTTGTCTTGAGTGACTGGCAGGAAAAGTCCGATCCTCTTTTTCACCCCTTCCGGTTGTAGTGTCAGGTTTGTCAGAACACACAGCGGCACTCTAAGCTGTTTCTCTTTGATTTTGGCTTAAAAAGTGCTCTGTGAACATGGAAGTGTTGCAGAAATTTCACACCTCCACCTGCCCCTGCGTCAGATGGGCCCTGAGCTGCTGGGCTGCGCTAACAATCTTCCTCTGGTGTCCGAGCAGGTTCACGCCGAGATTCTGGACATCACTGTAAGGAGAGAGCAGATGAACCTGGGAGTTTAGTTCAACACTTCAGCTTGTTGTGTGCTTTAAGTGATATTTCACAGGACAGTTATGGTAGTTTTATGTTTTAGTCTATAAATGCATTTTATTTATTGCCGCCTGTCCTGATGCTTCATCTGTGTCTGTTTATTTGTCAGCAGGATTACGCAGAAAGTACTGAACCAATTTGCACCGAACTTGGTGGAGGGATGGATCATCGTTCAAGAAAGAACCTCTTCAATTTATTTATTATTATTTTGTATATTTTTCTCAGAAGTCTGGTCAGTGTTGTTTTACATTGCTAGCAAGTGCATTAGTTGATTTTTATAGTGTACTAACATGAATGAAAAGTGATGGCTATCTGAAAGGAAGGAAATCAATCTAAAGTGTGCTGTGCTTTTGAAAGTGGTGAACAGTAACGTAAAATGCACAATTTAAATGATTTGCAGCTAATAGGTAAAAACACAGAAAACCAACCAAGATTACAACAGTTTTCTTCTTTAATCTGAGAGTTACAGCAATAACCATCTGTACTCACTCCATGGTCAGCTTGCTGACTCTGTCTAAACTGTCCAGGTGTGCCCGATCAAACTCATCCTGGTATCTGTCCATCCTCAGCGCCTTCAGCCAATCACTAACAGTTGCCACTGATGATAAATCTGTGGGGGTGGGACTGAGCAGTGTCTGAGAACAGCTTCTGTAAGACGGAGGAAATGTCAAAAACGACAGCTTTAGAATCCATAAAAAAGTTGCAGATTGTACATCACCTGCTGCCTCTGATATGTCTGGCACAAGTGTTTGCCAGAGGCTACCGTCTCACCGAGTTGGCTCAGCCTTGAGGGATGAAGGGTGCCTGATGAGCCGATCCAAGGAAGACAGGAGGGAGTCGAAGCCTGGCCGGTCCCCTCGGTCAGCCTGCCAGCACTGAAGCATCAGAGAGTGGAGGGCAGGGGGGCAGTTGTGGGGGGCAGGGAGGCGATACTGGTCTGCCACTGCCTTCATCACCTGCACAGAGAAAGAGAGAGAGACTTGAAACATAAGTAGGGCAGATGGTGTGAGGAGTCTTGTGTAATTGCCTTACATAAAAGGTCACGGACGACAGAGGGCCTGTGAGAGCGACTAAGAGAAAATTATGCAAACTCCAGCTGCCTGGCATTTTGTGTTTGTGGAATAAAGAGGAGGGGGAAAGTGATAAAGTACATTTACTTAGGTAGCTGTCTTCAATTTTTGAGCACTGGTGCTTTCCTTTAGTTGTCCACAATTATTACTTACAATTACACTTTTATTCCACCTATTATATATTATACACAACTTTACTTACACACTGTCCTAACAGGTAACAGTAATAGGAGGGACTATTACTTTTAATTGCATATTATTGCAGTGTAGTGGTTAGACTTAAGTTAAGGCTTTGAATGCATCTCCATCACTAATTTAGCGTGACTTCTCCTGCTCAGGCTAAATTCCCCTTCGTACTCACTTCCTGATTACTCATGTCCCAGTACGGACGCTCTCCGTATGACATCACTTCCCACATCAGTATGCCGAAGCTCCAGACATCACTAGCTGAGCTGAACTTGCGATGCTGAAAGGCTTCTGGTGCCGTCCACCTCACAGGAATCTTACTGCCCTGATAGAGGACAACAGAGGACAGAAGCAGTGAAGCAGTGACCGATGAAAGCCAGAGCAAAGAAAACTCCCTGTTCCAAAACGTACCAGTGAGGCAGTGTACGTAGGAATGTTATGGTCCAGGCCCCTCATGAGTCGGGACAGGCCAAAGTCGGAGACCTTACAGACCAGGTTGGAGTTCACCAGCACGTTTCTTGCCGCCAGGTCCCGGTGGACAAAGTTTCTCTCAGCGAGGTAACGCATCCCTGCACCAACCCCCCTGAGCATCCCAACAAGCTGGAGGACACTGAACTGGCCCTCATTCTCCTGAAGGAATTAAGATGGTAGGATCGAGGCAGCAAAAGAGAGTTTTTGGTTTATAGCATAGTGAAACATGACACAGATGGAAACTGTTGACAGTGTGTTGTTTTTCTCACCCTGAGGAACGCGTCCAGCGGCCCGTTTTCCATAAACTCAGTGATGATCCTCTCTGGGGGGCTGCGAGTGACCACACCCTCCAGTTTCAGCACGTTAGGGTGGTCAAACTGGCCCAGGACTCCTGCTTCACTCAGAAACATTCCCCTCTCCCTGTCGGACGCCCCCCAGCGCAGAGTCTTCACCGCCACCAGCACCTCCCTGCGACCCACCGGACGGTAACGACCTCGAGAAACCTCACCGAACTGAGCTGGAGTAGAGAGGAGGTGGAGCAGATTACACTGTGCTGACAGCTGTCACATGACTACGGTGAGATTTAAAAGAAACGAGAGTGTCAGGCCTACCTGAACCAATCACCTCCTCAATCTTGAGGTGAGTGGGATCTATCTCACGGGCGAACTCTTTGACCGCCTCACTGGGGTCCTCATAAGTGGATGGGTCCACATAATACTTTACTCCTCCTGGAATGAAAATACCATTACTATTTTATATTCATTCATTTTTGACATTTAAACACAAATGTATTATCATGACACTGGGTTGGGATGATTGTAAAAAAGACCTTTTACACCATAAATGATACTTCGTACTGTAAGAACATGGAAAGATCTGTTTCATTCATTCAGAAAAATATTAAGCAACCTTCTCTTTTTTTGGGCGAAATAACAAACGGTTTGTTTTTAGGTGGAAAAACTTTACATAAAATTAATTCTTTTATATCTATAAAATATAATTTTTTGTTAAACAAATGAAAACCAAACTTTATTAGTCACGGGGGCCTAAGTACACTCTTTTTCTCCAAATCATTTAAAATGCTGTTTTAATAAGTGGACTTTTGCACAAAGCAAATGTCTCATAATAAATAATTTGACTAAATTAAATATAAACTAATATAAAATACATTAAAATGAAAAATACCCTTGCTCACCTCGGTTACTGATGTACCTCTGGAGTCTGTCGCTGTACGGACTCTCCCTCCTCTTACTGCCATGGAAAAACAAACAAACTACGTGAGCGTGCGCATGATGATTAAAAACTTCACCATCATCACAACATTCAACATCACACTCCTGATTTTTTTGCATACACAGACCACCTACCTGCGGAATACCACCACGACCACAATGGCTGCCACAACAAGGAGAAACGCCGCCCCACCCATCACTGACCCGACCAGCAGAGGAAGCCGGTTCTGGATCTGCTGTGAATGTTCTTCTGTGGGAGAAACGTGATGTGTGTCATCGAGAAAGGTCATCAACTACACAATCTTAAAGTACTCTACTGTTTGTACTGCAGGTGGATACAGTATATTATTATACTTTCCTATGTTTCTGACATGTTGCATTTGTTTATATGTTGCCTCACTCTCATGAAGGATCTTTCTTCTGCAGATTATTAAGGGCTAATTTTACCATAAATATGAAACCAACAGTTTGGTTGAGTGTTAATTATAGTAAAGTAAAGTCAAATGGATTTCACTGGCATTAAATAAGTGTAGTACCCAGAGGCAGTGTGGTGAAGTAGATGGTGTTGCTGTAGGGGCCGTAGCCTCGTTCATTTCGAGCCCTGATCTGGAAGGCGTAGATGGAGCCCGGAATCAGAGAGTTGACGGTCACAGTGTTGGTCTCACTGTACACACTCGCTGCGCTGTCCACATCTGACCCCTGAGGGACACAGAAGAAGGTGACCCTCACGCATGTAAAGCATGTACAGTATATAAACGGGTTCGTGTGTGCATCTGCAGTGTGACTGTTCACTGAGTGTACCTTGTCATAGTATCTGAGCTGGTACTCCAGGATGTCTCCGTTGGGCCGGTCTGGCTGAGGCCACGAAAGAGTGATGGAGTCTGGGGCTCGGCTCAGCTGGTGCATCATGGGAACTGTACTTGGAACTGCCGGGGACAACAGAAGACTGATGCATGAGTTTGACTGAAGTTTTCCCTGAGGAAAGGTTAACCTCCCTCCAAATCATCCCACAACTTTTGAACAACAGTTTTGTTGAAAGTGACGGTGACCACATGGGGGCAGCGTTGCAGAGCCTGTCGAGGATATTTAGTGAGCATGAAACCGGAGTGGGAATTTTTCATGGAGCACTGAGCAGGATCTAGTTACAGTCACTGTGCTGGCTAGACCGGCTAAAGGGAACTTATCTGGCATGCCACTCATTTAATCAATAAACTCTGAGAGCGCAAACACAATGATTTTAGATCATTTAGGATAATTGAAAGTTCTAATAAATCTTGATCAATTTCTTGGAAAATTGTATAATGGTGTACTTTGCCTGCACAAGTGCCCCATTCTCCTCTCCTCTGCCCTCTCGTCTGTCTCTTTCTGTCTGTCTTTTTGTCTTCCCATTTCTCATTTGTCCCTTTCTTCCTCCACAGTGACTATAATGAGATCTGACAGGATATTGTAACCTCGAGCAACCTCCTGTCCAAAGAGCAGTGGCAGAAAAGATGGAGCAGAGAGAGACAGGGAGAAAGAGGGAGAAGGAGGGGAGGAGGAAGGGAGAAACCCGAGACAGACAGACAGACAGACAGACAGACAGACAGACAGATACACACACACACACACACACACACACACACACACACACACACACACACAGAAAACACACACAGTATCTACACTAACATCATCATCAGAGCATCTCTCTCTCTTTCATCTCATCTTTTTCATTGTCTCTCTCCCAAGCTCACCTGACTGGCTTGTCGTGAAATTGATGCTTGTGTATCGAGCTGAGAAAGGACTCAAAGCTGACACCTCATTCATGGCTTGCACCTGTCAATAAGAAGAACACACACAGACATGACACACAAAGCTTCTTTCTATCGACTTGTATCACATGCTTCAGTGTTTGAGAAACAAAGCCTCACATGTGCGGCTCTGTCGCTCAGTCAACAAACACCAGTAAATGGGAAATATCTGCCCATTATGAATAAGAAATAAGCGATGATTTAGTTTAGCTACGCCAAGCTAAATAATAAATGTTACTGTGTATTTGCTGATGTGGAACTCTTGGAGTAATACAGCAGAAAGGACCTGCCGCCTCTGTGGCTCCAGAAAATCTTTCACCATTCACAGAAATTTCTTAAAAACAACTTTCAACCGGCTCCATCGATTCAGTCCAAACATTCACCAGCAACACAGTGTAGCAAGAAGCTCAGGTTAAAACCAACTCTCATAAAAATTTCTCATTTACAAGATGCTAACAGAGAGTGGTTTGTGTCTTTAGCAGACAGTACCTGTATGAGATAAGTGACTCTGGTCAGCAGGTTGTTGAGGGTGACCTTGGTTTGTTTCAGGTTGGTCTGGGAGGGGCTGAAGGTGACACCCTCCCCACACCAGGAGCATGCTGCCGGGTTAGAGAAGGTGGGTGAGGGGCAGATGCGACACACCACCCCATACCACACTTCGCTGCGGCCTCCCATGTCCACTGGGGGGCGCCACCTTAAAGACACCCCGCCATCGCCGGTCTCATACTCCCAGGATACAGAGACCGGAGCAGATGGAGGAGCTGAGGAGAAAACAGAGAGATCGAGACAACGGGAAGGGGTTTGACATGCATAATGTAAGCGAAGGATGGAAGATGGAAGCATCTGCTAAAAAGTTTAAGATATGAAAGACGCTGCATGCTGGCAAAGATGTTTAACAGAGCACATGTAATGGAAAGAACTTTATAAAACAGAGTTTGGCAGTGAGACAATTTAAGCTAAGCGGCCACAGAAACTAAATACCAAGCACTTATTTTTCAGCTGGAGCAATTAGATTCCCATTATATTGTGATTTAAAAAAAAAAAAAAGAGGATGAATTCTGGTCACTGACTGTACATGTTGGTTCTCACAGTCTGAGTAAATGACAAAGGACTCCACTGAGGCCCCTTGAACACCTCCCAGGGAGCCAGGCACAAACAAACAAACAGACAAAGCTCACTTGTGCAGGCAGAAGAGTTGGCATCATTGGCTGCCCGGTAAAAGCCACTGCGACATTCACACATACTCGACCCCTCCTGGCTGGTTCTACTGTTGGAGGGACACGCCGAGCAGGGAACAGAGCCCGAAACAGACTTGAAGTAGCCCACAGGACAGGCTGCAGAGGGACAAGAAGAAACACAAGGAGGGTTGAGCTTCATACACATATTATAATCAATTAAATAAAGTAATCATTGTTCCTTCTGAGTCACTGGTGTCCAAAAGAAAGAACACTGAAAACTTGTGCCAAGAAAAAACAAAAGGAACTCTACGTAGATAATGGAGGCTCCATGACATCTTGGTCGAATGTTCGGCAACAACTGAGTTAGTGGCTCCTTGAGATAAGATTGTTTTGTCAACTGTTTGGTTTAAGATCACAGATTCATTGATGAACGGATATATGAATATAAAAGGTTCAGCATAAATGAAGCACAAATACCATGTCTTTTTTGTTATACATGTTTTTGTGATATACACTGTTTGTATAATTCTAATGTGGTCGGTTGTTCCCTGCACAAAATCAAACAGCAGACACTATTTTTGGGTAAAGCATCAATTTCAGCCTGTGGCTTGAGCTTCCCTTTGAGTCAAAGGTTCATCTGAAACACAGCGGCCTGTTGTTTGTTATTGGCTTTGTCCAGCACAGTCATTTACTTGTGTTTACAGAGGAAGTGGTCCACGTTAGCAAAGAGCAGCAAAACCACACACACACACACACACACACACACACACACACACACACACACACACACACACACACACACACACACACACACACACACACACACACACACACACACTAATTGAAAACACAAGTTGAAAATGACCACACTGACCCTGCAGTTTTGGGAAAGATGAGAAGATTGGGACCACTCTCATGTCAGTATGAAGCTGCAAATCAATATGGACCATTTTAATAATACAGTGGTGCAATCCTTTAAAAATATATATGTTATATAATAACACTTTACAATATGTTAAACACACAAAATTGTGAGTAGTTACTGAGGAATGAGTGAGGAACAAATCAGAGTATCATCAGTGTATCACTGACAAGTATTTCCTGAATGACTCCACACTGAGGACTATAACAGGAGTCGTTCCTGAATGACTCTGAATCAGCTGCTGAACACCCCATTTGTTTCTATAGCCCCTTCAGTACTTCATGACTATCAGACCATTACCAACACTTTTTGTGCCCCCTCGAGTAAAGTGACTTCATACTGAGCATTGCCAAAATGTGTTCCCAAAAATTCAATTCAACAAATTCAAGTTCAATGCATTCACAATTATTTCTCTCTCTCTGTTTCTCTGTCTCTCTCTCTCTCTCTCACACACACACACACACACACACACACACACACACACACACACACACACACGGGTGCATGCACAAGTGCACACACATCAATGTCTTGCTACTGTCTATTCTTGGGGACCTATCATTGGCATAATGCATTTCCTTGCTCCTTAACCATCGCGACTGAATGCCTAACCCTAACCCTAACCCATCCTGAACCTAATTCTAACCCTGGATCCTGTCTTAACCCTCAAACAGCCATTTAAACATGTGAGGTTGAGCGCTTTGGTCCCCACAAAGCTGTCAGGCCCTACAAATATTGTGGGCTCCTGTTTTTTTGACCACACAAATGTAGTAAAACAAGGTTGTGCACGCACGCACGCATGCGCACACACACACACACACACACACACACACACACACACACACACACACACATTAAAAATACCTTTTGAACCTGCGGGCTGTTGTCCTGAACTGATGTGTTTTACGATGGAAAATCTGTGAAATGTGCCAATTGTTAATGTCAACAGCAGGACAGCTGAGCGCGGAGGTCAAGGTGACACACACTTCACTTCGTGCTGCCACCTGCCAGAGCCTCGAGTGCTTGTCCTGAGCGGGACTATAAGAATATTGAGAGCACTGGCCTCTGGGTTGGTCCGCTGCCATTTGCGCACTGTGTGCGTGTTTGTGAATGCCTGAAGTAATGTCAACTAAAGGTTGCATCGTTCAAAAAGGGGTCCTTTTGTCTGTAAGCTAAATGTAGAGTGTGTGTATATTCTCATACAGAGAGGCTCTCTTGTATCTTTTGAGTGTGTAAATGGCACACCGGATAACACCTGAGCCAGCAGCTTAAAAGAAGGACCCTCTCATACGTATCTGAAGAGTGTTAAAGTGCTCTTACAGTTGGCGGATGAGGGGGAGGATGTGTGTGTTTGTCGTTCATGATCAGAGAGTGAACCCCTGACTTTATTTATATAACCTTGTCAAGAACATGTCTTAAATTTGACCTGGTGAATGTGTGTGTGGATGCATGTGTGTGTACTAGGTAGCATAGGAGGAAAAGATAAGAAGGTAAGATAGAATAAACAGATAAAAGGCTTTCTGTGTTCTCACTTGGCTCTGAGAGCTGACTTTGCTTTCAAACAGGTGAGAAGAGGAAAAGGGAGACAGAAAAGTAAAAAGGACGTCGGGAGATCACAAAGGGCGAATAAACTGAAAAAGTGAAGAAGTAAACATGAAGATGGATAGTCCAAGACAGCTGTAGGATCAACAGTAGGATTATGTAAATGAGTGCCAGATGATGGGTAAAAAAAAACCAGGAAACGGAGAGGGAAAGGCAGCAGGCGAACGACAACAGAGGAAAAGAGGGAAATATCCTCCTTCCTCCATCATTTATGTCCCAGCTGCACATTAACAGACGTGTTCTCCTACGGCTCTGACATGAAACACGACTTTGCCACAAAGCCTCTCAACGCTACTGTTACGAGCTCTGGTAACAACTCAGCCCCCTCCTCCTCTTCCTCCCATCCTCATCCACCTGATGACAGCAGCCAATGAGAGGCCAAGCCCTCTACCCTTCTGCTTCATCTGCAACCTCTTCACGCCCCCCCCCCCCCCCCCCCCCCGCCTGTAAAGTAACCGTGGTAGTGACCAGAGAGGGAGGAGGAAGCGTCAAGAACTGAGGAGTTAATCTGAGCTTTGGTGATAAAAAGAAATCCACTGACAAATAGACATGGTTGAGTGATGCATGTTTCATGGACCTACTCAGAATTAGAGCAGAAATAATGAGTTGATGAAGAGGAAATGATTCTGTATTCAAAATCGATTTTTCATTTCTGTCATTTTTCAAACAAAATTTTTTTTTAAATTATCATAAATTGTATATCTTTAGGTTTAGGTCATCTGTTTTTTTATTCTTTCTTTACATTTATTTTCTTCAAAATATCACAACATGCAGTTTTGCCACTGTTTGTACTGTATCTGATTAGATGCTAAACTTTGTGCTGCTACTAACTTAGTCTAATGACAAGAAAGACTGAATCTAATCTATTCTACTCTAATCCAATGACCTGATGAGTTCATGGCAATGAAATTAGTAAGAGTGATGGGAAGAGACCAGATGGATGGATGGATGGATGGATGGATAGAAAGAACACATGAGTGCAATTGAAAACAAATATTCATTTCTGAGAGATAAACAGAAATAGAAAAAAAGACAGCAATGAGGTGAGTAATTTGACGTTAACATAATACTTTGGTATGTAGATCACTGACCTAATTTCTCTCTTTCTCTCTTCCCTCTTTCATGCACTCATTCCCTCTTTTGGCTTCCAGCATAATCTCTCTCCCTCTCTCTCTCTCTCTCTCTCTTTCTCTCTCTCTTTCTCTCTCTCTCTCAGACACACACATAAGCTCGATCGCAGATGCGGCCACACAACAGGAGAGGTGGGTACACACGGTTCAGACTGTATATGCCGTCCCCCGCGTCCCTCCATCCTTCGTTATTTTGTACATTTTGTCGTTGAGCGCAGCCAGGAAACGGACAGACACAGAATCATATGCGCTCAAATGTCATCCGTTCTAAGCTCCAGCAGCACACTGCCATACGCAAAGGCAAGTAATCCTTTGTTGGATTTTCTCACATAAACAAGTCGCTCTTTACAACCCATGAAATACTCTGGAGCAAAGCTGGAAGCTGAACTTTACTTAAACAGCGACAAAGAAGATACTTCCTTGGCTTTTTTCTAGTGCAGAATATTAAATTCAGTGACATGTTTAAGACAAATCCTACATGTTTGCAGGAATCTAAGGGGAAGAGGAAAAAAGGATGAGCGGGTACTGTGGCTAGTACACTGAATATTGCAAGTTCCCAAATATTTAATGAGGAAACTTTTTGACCACCAACGATTTCCATCATCCATGACAAAACCTAAACTATGTGCACCTCCACCCACAATTAGAAGGTTACATAATGCAAATTATTCTAATGGTAAGTGGGTTTGTAATTTCATGTGTATATTTAGGCTGTTATTCTTTCACATGGATGTTTGCCTCATTACACTTTAGGGATTTTGCAACTTTCAGTGTGCTAAATACTTTAATTATACTTTAAAATACTGCTTTTTCTTCTGCAAGCTGCTTTTGCCCTGCAAATTTCATGAGCACATGAGGAAAGACATCTTACCTCAGCATCATGATACTGACTCTAGATTCAAATAAGACTAAATCTGCCCCTTGAGGACAATGAGATCATGTCCTCAGTATTGTTTCTGTGAACGTAGGGATCGTAACGATGTGAGGGGAAGTATTTAATCAGCAATTACAGAGAAATTACACGTGGTAGTTTTTTTTTTAAGGTGAATCTGATGGTCATGAGTCAAAATCTTTAAAATAGGCAAAAATTTTATGATAAAGAAGTATTGCTCCACCAGAATAATGCTCCTGGCACCTGGAGCCTTCTTTGAAACAGTATTTAGATTATCATGTAGAAACAGAATTTACAGAAAGTGTTAAATATAATGTGAAAACCATAAAATTTGTGGGTTTTTCATTGGCTAGTTAAGCCCCAAGTACTTGAACAACTGGGACTCATGACCTCTGTGTTTCTAAAATCCTCGGATTAAAAAACGACATGGCTAAAACAAGCCTTCTTGCTGCTTGATGACTCGATGTGCTCAATAAATTTGCTCCACAGACAGCTGATGTGATGTAGTTCAGGTTCATTTGTCATCACAGTGAGGTCTAGCCAACAGTCAATACTCTATCTCACTGATCATTTCAATTAAGTGTGGTTTGCCCAGAGCTTGACCTTTATTAATAGACTGGAGCAGGATTTGAATGTCAACATTGGTAATTGGTAAGTGTCCACTTGACATAACATGGTGGGTGAAAAAAAACAGTCTTACAGGAAAAAAAATACATCTGTCTGCTTTCAGGAAAATGCCCATGCTGACCAGAGTTGAGTCACGCAGCTCACTCAAAACAATATCACACTTTCAGTTGTACTTCACTTTCTCCCCCGGCCACATGTTCTTGTTTTCTACAATATCGTGCCTCAGGATAGTTAGTGGATGTGTCTGTGCTAAGAGTGAGCACGCTGGGTGACAAATCGGGACAATCTGACATGTTGAATATTTCAATGTCACAACACAGCCGCACGCCACAGAAAATACCAACATGGGTCCAAATTAACTCAAAGCCCGTTACAGCTTTCGGCATTAATCCCTGTCCCAAATCCTCAACAGTGGCTTAATATTTGGGAGGAATCAAACAGAAGGAGGAGGCTTGTCTGAGGGTGATGTAGGGCCAGCTCGGACCAGCTCCAGGAGCCCACAACTAAAGGACTGTTTCATGTTTGGCTGAACAGGTGTAATTGTGTCTCATGCTCGGTCGTGTTTCCGCCCGTGCTCTCCGCCTCTCCATCTCCCTTGTGGGATGCAAATGTCAAAGGAGAAAAACATCCGTCTGTTGTTTGGCAGGAAAATGAAATAACAGCAGATAGCTGTTGCTTTTCATCTGCCACTGTCCTAAACATTTTTCAAAAGACTGGAGATGAGCGTAGCCCAAAAGTGTCACAGTGTTCACACAGAAACCAAATGTTCTTTTAGACCTGCTTGAAATAAACAGCTTCATAAATAATTGAGTAATGATCTTTTAATGTCTGTCTGCCAAAATGCCGGACATGTTTTTGTAAGTGTTTCAGATGGCTACTCAATATATCATCAGTCCAAATGGTGCAGTGTTGTTTTGGTGGGTCTGACTTATCAGAATAATCAAGTATCACACACGAGGTGGAAGTTTTTTCTTACCAGTACCCAAGTGTTCTTGTCATTTCTAGTGATTCATTTTGATTTCCAATTCATTTTGATCTGGGATCATCTAAGTTCTGATGTTAAAGTGGAAGAAAAACTGTAAAATAAAAATGACAAAAAAACCAAAACAAACCAAAACAAAACAGGATAAGGCTGTTACTGCGTGTTTTAAACACCCTAAAAACCTACTTTCGAAGCAGGGTCCCATATGAACACGCAATTTTCTGCTAAAGTTACAATAGTTTTGGTAATGTCACATGTTATTGTGTAATTTATAAAATAAAATCAGTTGGGAAAACATTACATCAAGTATGTCTATGCACACACACTCCTGAAAAGCACAAGAGTTTCAGTTTTGAATGTTAAATTCTTTGTCCTATAGTAGACTATAGTACAGAGCTAGGTTAGGTGATAGAATGCATAAGCCATCAGTGACGGGGTAGGAGGCTCCACTCCTGCCTCCTGCTGTCTATGTGTCAAATTGTCCTTGAGCAAGACACTGAAGTCTAAACTCTTCCTCATGTTTTTAGGGAAAAAGCCAAATGGTGCAAACATATGAATACAAAACAATAGACAGTCTCTGTCCTCCATGAACTTGTATCTCTAAGGGTATGCTGTGTTGAGCACATAATAAACCTACTCCGCTCTGACAGGACAATTACTGGACTATGCATGATCCCACTCACAATGAAACACAGCCTATCGCTCTCCCAGCTTTTGGGTCCAGATGTGTTAACGTCTCGAAGTCACAGTCTACAGCCTGTGAGGCTGGACTCAGACACATCCTTGGTCTTTGAGCTAAATGCTAAAATCAGCATGTTGACATGCACACAACATGCTAATGATTAGGAAGCATAATGTTTATATTCCCCATCTCAGATAAAAAGATAAAGGATCACTAAAGAGATTACAATCTCTAGTACATCTTTTATCGTACATCATCATCTCTTTGGACAAAAGCATCAAATGTTAATGGCAAATGAATGTAATGTAACAAGCACCTTATCAAGACAAAAGCACAATAGTTCACCCCTGTGCTTACCTTATTTACTTTGTAGGGTGGAGTGTTATGACAAGTCCTTGTCATAACACTCCACCCTCATAAATAAAGAAATATATTATAGAGCAGCCGCTGAATATAAAAATAGAAAGCTATTAGAGCCGTGTGTAGTTAAAGGCAATCATTTAACACTGATATTCATTTTCACACGGGACTGAGAGAAGGGGGGAGCTAGAGTCCATTATTTGTCCCTAAAAATTATGTCTTGCATGAGGGGGCAGAGCTGCGCTGGGTTTAGTATTCTCACATGGCCATCAAACAGCATTAATTTACATTGCAGTGATTCACTTAAACAGCAAGTAGCCTGATACAATTCAATGAAATAATGAAAAATGGGAAAAGAAATGCACATCAATTCATCTTCAAAGGGTTCTGGTGAATGTACTAAATATAATGTGTGTTGAATAAAATACATGTGGGTTATGATGACACACTTGCAGTAACTGGAGATGAATGTCAGTTAACTTGATAAAGTCTTTATTTTTTTCTCAGAGCTGTTCAAGCTACATTTTGCAGACTGCTGTGTTTTTAATTACAGCTTCTGACCAATGCATACGTTCAGTGCCGTACAGTCTATCATTTGCACACTTTGTGCTATTATTAAATGTCCTTGGTGCTTAATTCAAACAAGAACAAAATGTACAACTTCTAATAGCGAAGAAAGTTCAGTGCTCCACTTTCTGACGAGAACGAGGATCGGCTACTGTTAATAATCCTTGACGACCGCATCGCCAGTTAACCATCTGCCTCTTTTCTCAATATTCCCAGGGAGCCAAGGAGGACAACAATGTAATGATGCCAATCCACATCATTAGTCAGTGAAGTGATCAGCAAAACATAATCAAATCAGAGTTGGAACAAAAAGCCGGAGCAGCGTGGGCAGCAACGTGTTAGATCATTCACAGACAGTCAGTGCGAGCCTTTGGTCCGGCAGCTGAGCAGTGTCGAGGGGTTATTTGTCAGTAAATATCAATCAAGGACGGACAAACACAAGTGGCGGGCCCGGTGCAGATGTAAAGCATGAACACATTTCACAGCTGAGTTGGCAGAATTGGAGGATTAATTGTGCTGGAGTTAGTTAGACTTTGAGGGCCCCCATGCAAGGGAGTTGAGCAATTATGTCGAATGAAATTCCTGGTAGATTAGTGTTTTACAGTAATTCTGTAATTTGCAGTCCTCAGACATATGTGACCACTGTGAAAAGCAGAGATTGGCATCACATTCACACAAAAAGAGTCACTCAGCAATCCATTCTTTTCCCTTCACGCCCTCAGAATTTTTTGCCTGCTCAGTTCTTTAAGTCATTAACTTGCATCCTCCTATCTTTCACTCTCCCTCCATCTCTTCCTATTTTCCCTCCACTCCCCCTCTCTCCCCCTGCGGTTTCTGTCACTTGTTCACAGACGAGTGGCCATTACATCGCCATGACCTAAATGTGTCACATCCCTCTCACTATGGCTCTCTCCCTCTCTTCCTCTTTCCCTCCTCCTGCTCTCTCCCTATATCCCTTCCTGTCCGTCTGGACGTCTCTCAAATTTTTTCTACTTCTTTTTTTCCTCCACTTACACCCACTTTAAAAAGTGCAAACGCTTTTGACCAGTTTTGCAAATGCTGACCTCAGTACTATTTGTCTGTGGCTCCCAGCCATGTGCTCTCCTCTTTTCATTTCATTATACAGTCACACCATGAAGAGTAACCTGTTAATATAGCACCTCTGGTCAACCACCTGTATTTCCTGATCATATTTCTGTAAAACTTGATTTGCAGACAATATGTGCAAAGTTATATCACTACAAATGCACTGCATGGATAAGATACAATCTCTCTGCCTCTCATCTCATCCCGACCTGACCTGCCTGCCCTCGTTTCCCTCTGGTCTTTACATATAGCACAGTTGTGCATCAGAGTGACAGCAGCTCCTTTCAGTGCTGAGAGGAGCTGCTGTCATATCTCATAAAATACCAAGAAGAGAACTGACAGGGAGTCAAGACTGGCCCAGAAATTTGACTGTTTACCGATGGATTTCTTTTTAGATATTTAAAGGGGAAATTCACTCATCAAAGTCAGTTACTTTAACAGGTCACTTTTTAATTAGAAATTTGAACTATCATCTAGAATATCTATAAACTAAAGTGGCACATTATTTCCTGAGAAATTGACAAAAATGTTGAACAATGTCTCACAATGTGAGAGAAAATTCCTAGATGTGCCCCTATAACTAGATCCATAACTAGATCCACACCAAACCGGTTCTTCCCCGGCCCATGCCCCATCACTCCACCAAGTTTGGTGCAAATTGGTTCAGTACTCTTTACATTATCCTGCTGACCCCAACCCTAACAAACAAACAATTTCACAGAATGCACTGTCCATCTGACCCAGTGCATGTGTTGTTGTGTCAGCAAACAATTATTAATCAAACAGTTATTAATGTTCTATTTAAAAAAGCAAAATGGATGAATTCTACTATATTGTTTAGGTGTTGTTTAGGATTACGTTGTCTAGAATTAACCCACAAATTAGTATGCATTCATTCAAATTTCTTTGAATCTGATTTCTTTTTGAAAGAGGGACTAAAAGTCTGGATATTGTTGATCAATTTTTAACCATTCTTTTTTTTGATCTGTCAATCACAAGGTGGAAGTGCAGTGTGAAATTAGAGATCTCTTAACCATCAACACAAGGCTGATATACTGCAGCTACCATGATGCATGATGATAAATTAAATTAACATTGTGCAGAGACTGTGAGATCCATCTCTGTGGGGATCAACCTGATCAGCACACTGTCAGTGTTCCTCAGACTCACCCAAGCAGGCAGATCCATTAAGGTTCGGCTCATAGCCTTCATCACAGACACATCCTCCTACAGGTACCATCCACTCTCCTTCAGCATTGCAGTGCATACGAGGCGGCGTGCCTCCCTGTGCTTTACTGTGGGGGACACATGTCCCGCTCACAGGCACTAAGGCCGTTGGCTCTGCCCCAGACGGAGTCGCCGGGTAGGACGCCAAGTAGAGGCTGGTGGCTGGACAGCGCCGGTAGAAGATAGATACACCCATGAGGGAAACACAAGCTCCACTGTCGACAATTGCCAGCACAAATCTGGAACAAGAGTCAGACGTTAAGATAGAGAGCAATTATGGGAGCAAGAATATTGGTGAGACATGAATGTAGTCCAATGTTACCCATTGCGTGTGAGAGGGGCAAAGCTGCGTGTCTTGATGTTGATTCGGCTGTATCTGTTTGGTTGGTACTGGTGAGGTGAACTGGGCTCAACCTTGGAGAAACTCTTATCAGCCGCAATGGTGTCGATCTTCACCCAGCCCTCCCTGGTGTCCTTCTCTTTGCTGGATGGCTGCAGTGAGGTCAGAGCAAAGTGGACGGGAGACAGTGGAGGAGGTAAACAAGAAGAAAATTAGGGACATTAAAATAAGTTAGTTGACAGATGAATATAGATTGGAAATAAACAGTGCATTATATCAAAAGAAAAACACTGAAAAAAGAGGGAGGAAAATGACAAGATGAAAGACAAGCTCAAAGTTGTGCTGTAATTTTTCCCAGGCGCATGTATAATATGAAGCAGTTAAGTGAGGAGTGTAAATGTTGACTTAGATCTGCAGTATGGAGGTCCCAGTGGGGGTTCCTGCTCAAGTCCCTGCAAAGATTTTTAGCGCTGCAGTGCTTTGTGCTCTTCTGTGACTCTCCTCTGATTCCTCATCAGGGTTTGATTTGCATTTTTAAAAAGCATCTCACTTCCCTAAGGATAAATGCATCCCTCCCACCGTGACTGCTTCTGCCTATGTAGCTCAGATTCAGCAATTCCCTCTCCACACACACAAACACACACACACAAAAATAAAGCATTTTTCGACAGTCAGTGTCAGTCACTAACAAAACATTTACTTTAGTTACTGCTTCATTGACAACAAGAGGTACAGAGAATTTCCTAAGTGTAAAATATTACATACATATTGTAAACCGTAGCGTGCTTCACACCAGTGTGGTCTGAGGAGGCCGTCAATCAAGCATAATAATAGTAATTGTATATTCAGGGTGATTATACAATTACTCCTTGTCGTGGGATGATGAGAGGTTTTGCTGTTTTGGTGTAACATTAGAGTAACAACAATTAAATTTTCATTTTACTTTGTTTAATGATTCTGTCTGAAGGTTGTTTGCCTCAAGCAGTGATGGAAAACAGCTGGAACAGAGGAATTACTCCCTGTTTAATTCACTTATGACCAGATGAACTTTAATCAGAGATTAGCTGCTGAACATTTTAAATCAAATTCAGTTGTTTGTTTAATAATGTCTATGCTGACATGCTGAGACAAAACAGAGGTAAAAACAAACAACAACAATATTAATCATTGCAAGTGAGCAGGTTAAGATGAACATGCATGATCCATAACCTGGATTGAGTAGGTTTTACCATTAAAAATTAAGAAATACCACAGCTAATGAAGAATTTATGACGTGTAAATCCAACTGTAGCTCCTCGAGCTTCAACATAACTGTCAGGGTCTGATGAGGCAGGGGTGAAGGGGAGAGACTCAGATGCGGAGGGGGAAACCAGTGTTAAGGAATTTATTCACAAAAAAAAACAAAATCCATACATACGCAGATGCTGCCGACAAAACAAACCTCATCACCAACAATGATACCACAAAGACAAGACAGAACAAGGGCTTTTTAAAGGAATGGAACGGATTAACAATGGAAAACAGGTGGGGAAGCAGACACAGGTGGGACACATCAGGGATGATTAGCAAAAGGAAGCAAAACTAGAACTCAGACACTGGGGTGACATGACTATCAAAATAAAACAGGAAGTGCACGGGGAAACAGAGCACAAGACAGGAAAGACTAAACTAAACACCAGAAACACCCAAACCAGAAACACTCAAAACCCAAAACAGAAACCCAAAACACAGAAAACCAAACCAAGAAAGTCCAAAAAACCAAAAACGTGGAGCCTCCAGGCTGAGACCATGACAATAACTGCCAAAACAACAGTTGTTGAGGGGCAAATGATATGTCAAACTTTACAAAATAAGTCTAAGGTATTACTTTTTTTATTTATCTATAAATACATGGAGAAATATGTATTTTCATTTATCCAGTTTAGAGAGAGAAATTTACCGACTATGCTAACTTAACCGATGCTAATTATTAATTAGCATAATGTTATTAGCATAACATGTTGTAGTTTAAGATTAAGAAGACTAAGTTATTTCAAGTTATTTTAGTGAAATGTAATTTAAAATCTTCCCCGTTTTTCCAAGTGTCAGGTCAAATATTTCATCCATATTTCATATTACCTCTTGAGAGGGGTCATATATTAGCAAGCTAACGTTTTGTCCATTAGCTACACAGCTGTTAGCAACACTTGGCAGTTATCCGAGTGTCAATATTTAGTGACACCTAAATCTCTATGTAAAAACTAGTTTGTGTGCTACTTCAAATTTTAATTTAGTGATACATAAATGTTCATTCGGTCATGTTAGGTTACCGTATAACCAGTATCATCTTACAAAAAGCTCATACAATGGCTGCTGAACCTCCAGACCACCAAAGCTGGATGCCCCATGTTCACCAATAGATATTTCTTTTTGTTTTTAGTCTCCTTGTCAGATATGGAAAGAAATTTGACCGGTTGTATAAATAGCTGCAAATGAGGTTCTATTTTACTGCAATGCTCTAGATTCAAACTGGGCCGGGTGTGTTGCAAAAAGCTGGAAAATGTCTTATTTATGCCTGATAGAGGAGACATGGAGCTAAGGCTACGTGTCTTGGGCAGAACTTCTCTTTAACTTTACTTGACCTTGTTACGATTTCTCCATGGGGCGGGGGATCAGTTCTTGTTATGTTAACCTATCCAAATGAGATGCATGGCACTTAAAGTAAAAGAATGATATAGCACATTCGGTGTTGTTGTTTTTCTGCCTCACCTCAGCTGCCCAGGTCCTCTCCAGCTCCCTCTGCGAGTCGGCCTGTTTGTAGTACAGGGTGAGCGTCTCTCGGCAGGTGGGTGATGGTGATCGCAGGCTGGCGCAGTCACGCACCGAGAAACGCAACGTGACAAACACCCGTGGAGCTGAGTGTCGGTACAGGAAAGGCGTAGCCAACCAGTTGTCCTGCAGGCGGGGATTTTGGTTGACATTACAGACCTCAAAGGTTCGTATGAGCTTCCCCCGGTCGTCCAGGACACTGACCTCATCCCACTGAGGGAGACAGAAACAATATTATGATCTTGTGTAAACTCAGCATTGTAAAAGAGAAACATGAGCCTATGCAGGAGCTGTACAACCAGCCTGTACAAACTGTTAAACCCTGGTATGTTTTAACGTCTGTTCAGCTAAGAATCTTCCTTGTATCTTAAAAGATGGTTTATACGTCAGAAGGTAAATATTTAGCAGATTGCCAGTGCTGCTGACTTTAACTAACATAGCTGTTTGACATCTGCATCCCTAGTGAGATAAGTATTACAGAGTGTTTTGTTCTGATTTAGGCCTAACACACACTGGGTTTGAATCCACAAGTGAAAAGTCACTCTTCACTGTCCTCAAAGATAGGTCATCTCTGTGTCCTTGTACTCCATGATAGACTGTCCATTGTATAATTCAGTAATCAATGATTATAAAACCAGCAGTTAATTAGACCACTTGAGCCTTTCATTTAGACGTCACACATTCCAAGCCATTCAGACAAAACTGTACTGATCCAGAAATTATTAGTTTACATATTTTCTCCCTTCTAGTGTAACTAGCCATTTAGATCATTTCAGAGAGCAAAATTGTTGTGGTGAATTCCTGGCCACATATTTGTGTTTCTTCAGTCCCCATACATGCCTGGTTCCTCTGCTCTAGTCTGGCCCATGTAGCATGAGTGTCAAATGCTATTTCCACCATCTGGGCCGATTTTGGCTGTTATCCGCCAATGTCAGCTGTCAGCCAGTGAGATTATCTAAGTGCACCAAAATTGGAGCAGACGTGGAAGGACCACCAAAGTCACTGGGAGATGTCGCCCACAAACCATGAATTTCTGTACAAATGTGCGAATGCTGAGATATTTCATTGGATGATGCCATTCACCAAAATAAGTAGGATTCATCCTCTGGGGACTATGAATGCCACTGCAAAATGTCACAGCAATCAATCGAAAATTTGTTGAGATATTTCAGGCTGTACTAAAGTGGCAAACTGATGGACAGATCAACATTTCCACTGTCAAAGCTAAAAAAAAAAATCAACATCAAGGTCGTGACTACTCTGGATAGTACACAGAACACAATGTCATTGGTTTTCAAGGGAACATTTTCTTCAGGTCCAAACATTTCTAAAGGAAATTCACAAAGTATCTAAAGTAACAAGGACACTGTTTCTGAAAGGACACGTTCATATTGAATTTCTTAATGTGTTACTGAACACCACAAACAAAATTCAGTTCACCTCCATTATAGTGAGATCGGGTATTTGAGAAATAAAACCAAACCTGTTTCCATGGCAATAAACAACAAAATGTAAAAGAGAAGTAGGTTCAGACAGCGAAAATAGACAAAAGATAAAATATGATGTTTTCATTTTTCAATTAAATATGTTACAGTGGTATAATGACTGTTTATAATAACAATATATTCAGCTTTATAAAGTGATTTGTAGTTGGTTTATCTCTTGCATTGGTTTTGCATTTGCATGTGACAGGTGGTGGACACTTGTGTGGCTGACTTGTGGCAGCCGTTGTGCTATAAATCAAGCAGATTTTGTCATATTTTAGGGAATCTGAATACTTGTGGATGCACTAATGGAATTGGACATGAGTTGGATCTTGGAGAAAAGTGAGCAGCACAGAGACACAGCTCTGAATGAGTCAAAATGTAAATGTAGGCATGGGGTTTAGTTTCACCAATTATACAGTACGGTGCCTCCAAGATGAAAAGGCTCTGCTTTAAGCCTGTGTAGCCCTGAGTGACAAGCAGGGCCTTTTCTGTTGTAACACAGAAGAATTATGTATTAGGCCTCATCATCATAATTCTCCCTGCAACAATGGCAAGAGGACAAAAGGTCCTGACACCCTATCAGGGTGCATTTGGTGTGTGTGTGTTTCTGTGTTTGTGCCTGTTAGTGTATCTCTGCATGCTCATGTCTCTTTCTCTGTGTGGTTCCGACAGCCAGTGCGAACAAAGATCTTTGTAGCATCACACATGAGAGAGTGCATTCATATTGGGTCCAATTGGAGTAATGATAAGATCAGTGAGCAGATAAAAAGAGTCTGAGGCGCTGTCAGTCTAATGGAGTGAAAGGACAGTTTTCTCTCTCCAAGGCTGTGATTCGCTCTCCATCAGACATGGGAACGAGGGAAATCGGATGGAGGGGGATAACAGAGAACACATGGTGGTGTGGAGGGATGCAGATGGAGAGTGGGGAGAGAGAAAAGTGGGAAAATAGTAAACAGAGAGTGCATGTGAGTGTGTATTTTCGTGTGACAGAGTCAGGTGGCTGCAGTAACAGCCAGACCATGTGGCAAAAGGCACAGACTTTCAGGCACAGACTTTCAGGTAAAGGGAGAGTAGCCGCTGGTAACGGTGTGTGGCATTGCGTGCAGTTTGCTTCTGTACCTTTGTGAAAAAAACACAGCTTTCATTTGTTTTCTGACCCTAAACCCCCACCTCCACCACCACCCCTCCCTCTCCCTTTCCTATTTCTCCTTGTCTCGTTTTCTCCCTCCCGCATGAAAAAGAAGAAAAAAAAAAAAAACGGGGCAGATTGGGGAGGAGGGGTTGGATGAAGCGTTGGAAAGAAAGAGAGAGAAAAAAAAATAGGGACGACTCATCTCCATGATTTAATTTGAACCGAAATGCCAGAGAGCCACGCAATCTCTCCAGTGACAGAGGACAGGGGAGGGGCAGGGCCTCGGACACAACTGTCGACACACAAACAAACATGTAGAAGCAGAGGAAGGCACGCACATATACCCTAAGACATATGCATGTGCACACACACACACACACAGAAAACACAATGGAAGAACAGAGAGTGAAAATAAGTGGAGAGAAAAAAAAGCAGAGACTACTGTAAGAAGTGGGGAGTCTCTGCTGGTTTGACACTGAGGGGAAATGAGGGGTAGAGTGGAGATTGAGTTGGGGGGATACAAGAAAGAATATGAGGCAGAGACCCAGTGGCTTTGGGTCTGTGGAGGGCAGAGGGAGGAAAGATTATAAGAGGGAGAGAGAGAGAGAGAGGCAGAGACAAAGACGCTTGTCAGTGAATTGAAAGAATGGAAAGATGGTAAAAGAGCAAGAAGAAGCAGGAGGAGAGCCCAGTAAAGAATATCCACAGAGCCGCAAGCAAATGAAAAAAAAAAAGATGGGATGTGAAGAGAAAAGTGAGGAAAGGGTTAAAAAAAGAACACACAGACACACACATTCGACACACACATCCTCCCTCTTTCTCTCCCCCTTCTCTTGGTCTGTCTTTCTACTTCTCTCAGCTTCATGCCCCGGGTCAAATAACCATATCTCCATCTCAGAAGCACTTCTCATCCAGGGAACCATAAAAAAAAAAAAAAAAAAAAAAAAAACTAATGTAAATGCTTGACTTGCTCACTCTCACACACGCACGCACACACACACACACACACACACACACACACACACACACACACACACACAATCCCTCACTTCCTCACATACACAAATGGATGGCCCCCTATTAGCAGCTGCCCGTCATGGTTCACAGATTCCTAACACACATGAGGCCCTAATTAATCCAACATCATGTACAATTATAGCCCGACACTGGCGGCCAGACTGGGGTGATAATGACGGCGCGTAAAGCTTAAGTTTAGTGTAAGGTGAGATAAAAGGCTCGATGCGAGTGTGTATGCCTGCCAGATGTTGGTCAGAGACTACTGTACTTTCATGCGGCCCTTTTTTCAGCTGCCAGCATGTGAAAATCTGGTGGGATAAGGGTTGTAAGTGTTGGCTTGCATTTAGCAAAACATGCATGAAAGTAGTGTTTACGTAGCTAGTTGCAACTTGTTTTCATTTCATGCACAGTATGATGCTCTAATTTTATATATCAGATGATTGAAACATATTGTCCATGTATGGATAGAGACTTAGAATAATGTTGTTCTGAGTGCTTGATATAGGAATTTCCTGCACAGTGAGAAGAACACAGTAAATGTGATGTCTTACAGTTTCTCACATGTAGCTTGACTGAGTATTTCAAAGATGATGACAATGAAGACGATGTCTGAGTGTAATTATGAGCCATATTAGAAGTGAGACGCAATCACTCACAGATGAATGAATTTAACTGACCCGGGAGTTGACCCTAGCACAGTCACGCAAGTACACACACATGTACGCATGCACGCACGGACACACACACACATGCATTCACACACGTAATCCCAAACACACATATTTACGTATATCTCAAGGTTGCAACAACCTTAAATAAAAAGCAGCTCAAGGATGGGGGATCTATAGTTCAATCACTGCGATCTTATCATGGATGAGGACACACATTAGAGACCAATATAAAAAAATAATTAAGAGGCATCTAAGGCCCTCAAGGCTGTCTTAAAGGCAAGGTGAGACCTTCATGCTCATTCTCAGGCTGTGCGACACCCGCCAGAAGTTCCACCAATCAATGTCAGACGCCAGCCATGATTCTGCAAGATAATGACACTGACCTTAACCCATCACCCAAACATAAACATTTATAACTTTATTCCCATAATCTTCCAGCAGTTCTCAGTATGGCAGCGGTGGCAGAGTTTTCATTAAGGTTAAAGTGGAAGCCTGCTGTTTATTTAAATCACTGCAATCAATGCAGCTGGCAAAATGGATAGCACAGCACCCTTGCTTGATTTTGATGTGTGAAAGTACAAACATGGTGAGGAAAACATGGCAGAAATCGTACTGGCTCTGCTTTAAACAGACCGCAAGAGCTGGGAAATGTGTGCGCCAATTGGCTGGTAAACATATCTACAGATGTACAGTCAAATGTGTGTGTGTGTGTGTTTTTGACAACCTGATATATTAAAGATCCAATATATGTATATTATATATATTATGATAAGCTGAGAAACACAGAAATAATTATTCTTCCTCTAGAAGATTTTTTTTACCCTTGTGCAAGGTGTGTTATTATACTGTCATAATAATTACACACAGGGCCTTTCACCATGAGTAACCTAATACATGAGCATAATCAGTTCTAATCTTATACCAAAATGTCACCAAGCTTATTTTGACCGTCGATAAATCATTTAAGCCATGTTTTTTGAATGAGATACTTTGCTGCTTTTTTCTCGTCTTACAGTAAAGATAATATATGTTTTGGTTCTGGACTGTTGGACAGACAATAAACTGCAATATGATTAGATCACCTTGGGGAAATCTGAACCTTTTTCACTATTCTCTGACGTTTTATAGACCAAACAATTAATCAGTTAAACATGACAATAATCAGCGGATAAATCAATAATGAAAATAATCATTAGTTAGTCATTTGTAACTTATGCCTAAACTTTACCATCAGTTGAAAATGTGTAACATATTATTATGATTAATCTGTCATTAGAATTAGTACCAAGCCCAACAATGTGATTACAACCTAACACTTAACACATCACCATGTGTAACATGTGTTGAACACATTGGATTCCATCCAACATCCCAACAGCTGGAAAGCACATTGACAGCCCGCTCTCTGCTTACCCCTGTGTCTGGATAGGTGGTCCAGCCCAGCTCTGAGGTAGACTCTGTTGTGTCCAGCAGCATCACTGAGGAGAGAGGAAGCAGAGACAAAGACGAGGTATAAGAAAAGAGACGAAAACAGGATGTGCAGAATCCAAATGAAAGCTATTGATTGCTGCTTTAGAGTTAAAACTCAAAGTGCTAAAAAAAGAGAAAAGAGTGTGAACCAGAATCTGTAACCATCAGATATCCTCTCATCGACTGGAAGCCGCAGAATGTGTGATTCTGAGATGCCTTAACAAAGACGGCAATATATTTTGGGGGGGGGCTTTTACAAGCAATCCAACAGTCTTTTATGCTTTTGTTAAATACCACAAGTAGTTGGAAGCTGCTTTACTGTTGGTGGAACAGGTCCAGGATTTGTCCACAGTTCTCTTTGATTTTTCCTCCCATGCGATAAAATCATGGAGGGCTCCAGCTGTGCGCATCTGTCAAACCTAATAACGTATTCTGAGTGATGATGCATTTCGGCACAATGTTCTGCTGTTTAAAAAATGAAACTGATTGACCTGATGGGGCACTGTGATTAAAGGTCAAAGTTTCCAACTTTAAAAGGCCATAACAGTTAATGTCACATTTTGTTGAAACTTAGCAAGCTGATGCTTCTTGTAGTCTCGCTCAAAGGAAACCTTCATCGTTTTGCGGGGGATGATGATGATATGTTCAATGTGAGTTTCTCTCTTATTTCAGGTTTTAAAAGGCACTTGCTCGATTTCACTGATCTGTAATGAAAAGCGTGAGAAGAGCGTATGACTTTTATGTTGGAGTGTATTTTCCCATAATTTGCTTTTATGTTTAAGTGCTTTAAAAAGCAAGCTGGGAAAGAAATCACACACACACACACACACACACACAAAGTGACTTCAATGCTGAGTGCTGCGTGCTGACACATGGCAGCTTCCAACACAAAACTGAAGCCCTTGAATTTTCCATTAGTATTCCAAAACCGTGGTGGCTGCCGTTCCTTCAGTCTGGCACAGTCTGCACTCGGTTCTGTTGAGCAGCCACTGATTGAACGCAGGCCAGAGTTTGTTGTGCACACAGAGGTGGCACAAACATCAGACTTCAGGTTTGGATACTCGCACAGATGGAGTTAATGGAGAAAAACACAGTGCCTGATTTTGTCATGCACGACACTAATCACCCAAAGGCCCATAGACACATAAAGTATTGTGGGGAGGCAGGAGCCATCCGCCTCTGTTTACGGATAAATAATTCTCCTCATTGTTGTCATACAATTTTTATACTTTTCGTTTCCATTTCATGTCACACAATCGTTCACCAGAGAAAAGGAGGCTCTCTTTTCCTCTCTCTGACAACCAGACAAAGAGCGACTGAACATTTTTATCTACATAATCATCAGTCACAGGATGGGATTTCAAAAGGTACCCTAGTCTCACCAAAACACTGACTCACTGAGATCTCTCAGTTTTTATTCCTCAGGTGTAAAAGCTTGTGCGCACACACACTGAATCCCTCTTCTTAAAGAAATCAAACAAATAAGAAGAAAATGGTATCATTTGTGGTTTATGGCATAAATCACCCCCACCTTTCTGTTCTCTGACTCTGCTGTAAACAGATTTTTTTCTTTTTAGGATTATGCTCAAATATGGAGACCCCGCAAATCTGTCCTCCAATCCTTCTCTTCCCTCCTCTTTTTTTTTTCTCTTTTTACAAGCCCCCCTTCCCCTCCAGTCTATCTGTTTTCACCAACTAGCCTGTCTTTATGTCAATCTCACTAAATTCACACATTTTCCATGGACGTCCTCCAGGATTCAGAGTGATATGAATTGTATCAAGAAAAGAATACAAATGGACTGTGACAGCTGAGGATTATATGCAGCCACAGGCATCAGAATAAATAGTTTTTAGTGCAACACATGTCTGGACAGCTTGGCAGAGCCGATCAGGATAAAATCAGCTACACGGAGAAGACTAAATCCACCAAGCCAGCAACTCTAAAGCCTTTCAGAGGAATGACAATTTCCATTAGTAACACACCTTTCCTGCTTTGTTTAGTGATGCTCCTGAAGCAGGACACACATTGTACCGTGCTCTTGCACATCACAACATTTAAGATGTGCGTCATGACAAAGAAACTGCCCATTGATTAGTTTCCCAAGACGCATCCTTCGTTTCACTTCAAAACAACAAATGATCATTATGTATGAACCTGTGCTGCATGAAACGCATCACACATCATATATTGTGACCTCATTAAGCGCCATCCTATTTGTATCAAATAAGAACCACACACACAAATGCTGCAAATGTGTCATTCCAAATTCAATTAACCCTCTGCTGCAGGGCAGAGTCATGCATAAATAATATATAGCAAACTATTGTGACATTAATATTTATGCCTCTACTATTTAGCTTCTTGTCGAGGGGCCTTAGGGACCACAGGTCCTTGCGTCGCCTCCCATCTTTCCGGGACAAACCTGTACATGAGGATTACATGGAGGGGTGTTCAAAGAGCTCCATGCATGTCTCATTGCGTGACATTAGCATGTTGAATAATTCACCACGACATCTCAAGATAAGCGTTGAGTGCCGTGTTACACACACCTTTCAAGGATTAGCTCGAGCTGAGGCATCATGACTGGATCTGGTGTGTGTGTGTGTGTGTGTGAGAGACAACGTTGAACAAAAGAGAAGGACATTGGCTGGCAAGTCCACTTGGCAGTAAAAGCCCCTTTATTTAACTCTCAGACAACCCCTTCATGTACACAGAGCACTACGGCGTCTCCGTTATTGGTCCCTCCGAGGGCCGAGACACTCAAAGTTTGTCCCTGACAGTTTGCAGAAGTGCTGAGTCTGCAATCTGGACCTGAGTGCTGCTTTAATGCACGGCAGTCTCTCACGTCTTCCCGCTCCACTCCGGTCTTTTACTCACTTTACTTGATAACTTTCCCTCTTTTTTCTACCTCCATCTTGTCCCTTGTCCCTCTCATCTGCCCCCTCTCTGCATGTGTGTATTATTCATCTAAAAAGTGACAGCAGGGTAGGCATCTCTGTACGTTAAATAAGGAGAGAGTCTCTGCTCCATTATTGATGCCAGGTCCGCTGTTTGTTTGGGAAGAGCTTTGATAGGAAAAGAGGAGACAATAGAATAATAAAGGCAGGATTATGAAACAGGAATGAGAGGAGGATGATAGGATTGCGTTTGTGCATACGAATGTGCTTCTTTCACTCCTCTCCCCTCTCGTTCTGTGTGTGGTGTGGGTGTAAATACTCTTTTCTGTTGTGCAGGGGTGACATGCATTAGTTCATGGCTGTCCCCTCTGCCACTGGAGTGTTCACTTCAGCTGAGTGACCCTCTCTCCGCTCTCTCCATCCATTTCTCTTTCCACCCAACACTTTCCCTCTCTGTGTGGCCATGCATGCACCGACACTCTTGAGCGCTAAGTGTAGTGCTGTCGTTCATGTCACGCCTCTTTGACGGCAGATGTATGCTACTTTCATGCACACTTACCAGAACCCCCTCCCCTGCCCACCTGACACTCATCAGAATTTAGGTGTTAACATTAATGTAGGCTAAAGGGGTGTGAGTGTGTGAGTGTGTGTGATATTCCTTAACACCAATGTAAATGTGTCTGCAATGGGTACACAGAGCCACTGAGCTCACAGGTAACAACCACGATACACAAACACACACATGCACATACACACTTTCACAAAAAATTCCCACAGTGCCTGCAAGCGTTCTGGGCAGCGGTCAGGTCGTGTTTTGTCTTTTGTCCACTCATCCACCCATCTCCACCCATCCTTTATACGCTCCAGATGCTCCCACCCACAGACAGTCAGTCAAGGACAAGGCCTACACCAAACCATCATTACAAACAACCACAGCAAGAGAGTGATACGCCAAGACAGAGCGGGAGCAGGAGGAGGAGGAGGAGGAGGGTGGAGGAGTGAGGAAGGAGGGGGATTAACGCGATTCCAGAAATAAGCATGCACATGTCAAAGAGAGTTATCAAAAACTCTCTGGTGGTTAAGCTGAATGACAGTGCAGCTGCAACAAACAGCACTTAAGCCAGGTTAGATGACAGAGCAAGGAGTTGCAGAACAGGCAGCAACAGGCACAGGTAGGAGGACATTTCACAAAAGCTGTTTCCTGATGGAAACATTCGAAAAAGTTAATGTACTTGTTCACTTTGCCGATGGTTAGGGTTGGGTTATACTAGAAAAGACATAGTTTGTACAATATCTTGTGGGAAGTAAGAAGTGTGTATACCTGGTACAAGAGAAAATCTGACCCCCTAAGAGCCGAGAGACACGATAAATATAGATAATGGCATACATTTTCAAACAGACTTAGTGTTGTACTTGGTTGTCTGTAGGAAAAGTGACAGAAAATGTTGCATAACAAAGAAAAAAAAGAAAGCAAGAGAGAGAAATTCCAACCCTGGATACTAGGGAGCTGCAGGGAAGCTGAGTCGCGCTTCCAATTCACTGAGTCTTGCCTCCATCACGGCAAATAAACTGCATTCATTATATCTATCCTTATCACTAAATGAGGCAGAGGAATAACTAAACATAGAGAGAGCAGGACAGTGACATGGAGGGAGAGAAGCTATCAGTAGCTGCTAAGCTAAAGAAACTAGCACATCTTTATTTTTAATTCCCTCTGTTTGATCTGTTTAATTGGTCATTGCTATATTTTACTTCAAAGCCTCTTTTTTGGTCCACTCTTATTACTCATTAATACAAACTCAATGCTTCATGGACAGAAACCCTTTGTGTCTTAACAGTGTTTAAATTGCTCTGCTAACATGCAACAGTAAGAGTATTGTTTCATTTCCGGTTGCTAGCATTTCTGTTGTTTACATTCTCCTCAGATCTGCTAGTTTCTTTAGCTTAGCAGTTAATTTTAATGATTTCCCTTTTGATTTTTGCAGTTTCAGTCCTCCATATATCATCTCCACACAGCTGGCCAATCGTGGTGTAAAGTGGATGTGACTGTTGAATTGTCTGTTTCAGAAAGTTACAAAAATGTTTGGACCTGAAATATCCCCTATAACTG